GTGGGTGTTACGGCTGATGAGTGGCATCCCCCGCCGGCTTCAAACGCACCCGGCCGTTGACGAACAGGCAGACCGATGTTTGCTCGACAAGTGCCCAACGAAAAGAAGCCCGTCGCCGTCGAGCCGTGCCGCCTGTAATAGGGTGCTTCAGAGGATGTAGACACGATGTGGGTAGCCAGGCCCCCTCCCCCCACCCAGCGCACCGTTGGCCTCCATGCCGAAAGAGCTCATCAGCCTGTCCGATCGATGCGTGACCAAACTGTTGCAGAATGGCACGCTAGGAGCCCACCGTGGTAAGATAGGGTAGGGAAAAAGAAAGAAGAAGCAATTCCGAGCAAGGGAATCGAGGAGCAGGGGACGAAAAAGAAAGCAAAATGGGATCACCAGGTGGGGGTTTCTTCTGATGAACCAAACGCCATCTGGGACTCGCCTGGGAAAAGGAAGCATGGCGGACTCGCGTGGTCCATCCCAAGGGGGTGTATGAAGAAAACGAATCTAATTGGCAAATTGTCGGAAAACAAAAACAAATCGGAAGAGCAGCGCGGGGAAGGGAGGGGGCGGCGGGCTGCTTGCCGGACGTGTGCGTGTGAAGCTTGCTTTGGAGCTTCAGGATCGTACGTTTGCACGGTCGGTACGAGGAGGCGAAGGGCATGGTCAAGGGAGGGGATGCTGGGTCGATGGAAAGAAACTACAGTATGTGCGAGAAGGTGGTGAGATGGGCAGTCCCCGAACAAGGCAACGAGAACGAGGGTCAGAGGAATGGATGGCGTTGGTGTGGATGTTTGCTCGAGGTCTTGGATCTTGCAATCGGGGACGTGTCGCCATACGAATGGTACGTAGACCATTACATAAACTAGTAAGAGGGACTGGACTGCCTTGGAAGGTACGTTCCTCAGTCCGAATACCGAATGCAGCATCTCCTACCTTGGGGTAGGTACTACGTAGATGAGTGGTACGTACACATGTACTTGTAGTACCTACCTACCTACCAACCCACCTTAGCTGACCGACGTGGGCCTGCAGAGAGGTACAGTAGGTAGGTTAGGTAGTTTACGATGCGATGCAGGAGCAGGGACTCGTGAAAGAAGGAGCGTGTGAGTGTGAATATCGGCCTAGGTGTGGTTGTGGATGTAGTGGATGTGGATGTGGATGTGGATTTGCTATGTAAACTAGGTCCTTCCCTACACTAACACGACACTGCATGACCTCGCTTGCGGCTTGCCTTTTCTCCCTCTGCCCAGACTTGACACCGTTGGCTGTACCTCGTAGAGCTCTTCTGTCCAAGAAAGCATGAAATCAACTCCTGTGCCTTGGATTTTTATCTTCATTGCCGCTGCTCCCTCCCCTCTCTCCCCACCCCTCGTTCGTTTTTCCTTCCACGCATGCTGTCTCGCGAGAGCTGAGCCGATGGGTATGCAAAGAAAGCAGCGCCATGGGGGCGTGTGGGCCGGTATATCGAGCCATCCTCGTCTCAAATCCGAGCTGCTTGCAACCCTCCCGGCCAAGGTCGCCTGGCTTGATGGGCTCGAGGCAGCTTTGCGCGAGGGAAGGGGGCGGAGGGGGGGAGGAAATGTATCTGTATTACACAGCATGACGGAACACGCGGTATTTTTCCGACAAGTGACAGAATTCGAATGGAACGCATCGATCAAACCAGGGTGGGTGGGTAGGAGCAGCGATGCGCGCCACCCATGCATCCGATGGGCCACCCAACAATCGAAGCGCGGTTGCAAGATGCTTATCGGGCACCCGCATGACAAAAAAGATGGCACACCTAAAGTACTTTCTCACACCACATCTACCCCAAGACTATTGACAAGTGTTTTTTTATACACTAACACAGCCACAAGACGCAGTAAGGATATAGGAAAAATATATTTAATAGTAGGTAGAACATACTGGCATTAATTCTGACTATTTTATATAGGTATATCTATGTATTTAGTGTTGTGCTGTTTATAATAGTACAGGGAGTGTTTAGGTGTGTCATCTTTTTTGTCATGCGGGTGTCGGGATGCAGGCAGGGCTCAAACAGAATATGACGTTCCCCCTCCCCTCCCCCCTTCACAAAAAGAGGTGTGTTGGTGTGGGTGCGAATGCAACTGAGGCCGCTTGACCTCGTGTCTCTCTCTGTCTCTCTCTCAAAACTGCGAGTCGTGAGCAAGTACGAATAGAGGTAAACTGGAATGATTAATCGTCGTCGTACAGAGTTAACTAGGTAGGAGGAAGTCGATAGATTTACGGGCCATTAAATAAAGCCACCAATCGGGATAGTCACCGGCCCCCAAACCACGGTGAGTGAGTGCACATCAGCCGCCATACACATAAACTCCCCCCCTCTTGGGCCCCAGGAAGGTCTTCCATCCTCATGTGGCCAATAGGACCATCCGATGCTTGACCCGGCCGGGGTCGCACTCGTTAGCCTCGTTGGTTTTTGCTCGTCCCAAACCCTATATCCCGTCAGTGTCAGAGCTCGTGCGGCTGCTCATAAGAAACGAATGACACGACCAATTCCAGAGAACTTCAGCTGGGGCTTACCATCCCGGGCCAGACCCCTTTCGACGAGTACCCACGTGCAGCTAGGTAGGTAGCGGGTGGGCCAATTTTAGCATTGACCCAATTCAAGGCAAACGACGACAGTGAAGGCGACGGTGCGACGACGATCGGCCACTACCAGGGAAGGGGGAAGGGAAGGATCTCCTGACCCTGGCAATCCAAACAGGGTTTGATATGAATTCTAATCCCCGACCTGTCACACGCAGAACTTGAGTGTCTCACGCCGTTCTAGGCCACACTCTTGTTCGTTCCGCTCCCCCATTGCCGTCTCTACTCGATCGCGCCATGTGTCGCCTGCTATTGGATCTCCCCCCCTTCCCACTTCGCACAAGTCCCCGGACCCGGACAAACGACCCCTGGTCCCATCGCAGTTTACATACAGTGATCAACACCACTACCGACGACGTGCGTTGGCTGCCGCCGACCTTGCTCGCATTGTGATGGGCGCGAATGCGACGACTGACGCACGGTACCTAGGAATAGGCAAGAAAAGCAACAAGTCGTCTCTGCCGAGTCCAGTCTTCAGGCTCGGATTTTGCCTAGCCCTGTGCTCTCGCCGTCAACGATGGGTCATGAAACCGCGGGAGCCGAATTGTTGGGGGTGGAGCGGGCCTTCTGACCTCGTCTTCAGAAGCCTCGCACGCCACGAAAAGCAAAAGTGCAGAATACCAAGAAGAAGAAGGACATCCAGGCATTTGGGGGCGACGGCATCGTTTGAGCCTCCCACGTCGATTCCGGCACGAGCTACACCGGTTCTGCAGGGTTCTTTGGCCGTGTCGGCGAGACGTATCCGTACATGTACCATGTATTCGTCCGAGCATGCAAGTAGGCAAGCAGGCATCCTTGGCTCGTAGCGGCCTCGGTAGCCGGTCTGCGATGGTGAGCCTCCGTTCGCTACGTGCGTACAGATCGACAACTAGCAAATATATGGGATGGCAAGCGAAGACTTCGCGATACTTCACGCCGCCTAGTCGAGAGCAATCATCACCCACGGTTCGCCGTACATCGTAAAGTCGCATGACCCAGAAGCAAATCTCCGGGACGAATCCCGGGGCAGATCGAACAGAGCTCTTTGATCCACTCGCCCGGGTTCTCCTTCTAGGTGTACTCGTCCCCTCCTCTCCCCCCTGGCCGGCTGATCCTTGCTGCAGTAGTCTTTCGATCGACTGCCTACCAGGGTAGGAGGGGCCAATGGGTGAACCGGGGGCCATGGGGATCGGGTTGGAGAAGGGGAGAGTTGCAAGGGTGATGGGCGTGCGCTGGAAAAGGGACTGATTGACTGGCCGAATGAATGCGGTACTTTCGTAGCGGTAGCCTGTACGGATAGGTGGTATGTAAACAGACGAGCATCATAGCGCCGGCTCACCTTGCTTTCCACTGCTTGCGCGTTGCTTTGCCTTGTGTGTGTGTGTACCCCAGTTCCTACAAAGAAGGAATCGAACAGACTCAACCCTTCCTCCCGGAAGCGCCGCCGCCAGCCGCGAGAAGTTGCAACGTGCCTCAACAAGCCGGGCCCCCTTCGCCGTGTGCCGCCCTCAGACTCGGGGGCTTGCTGATCTGGTTCGACTCTGTCTCACCTCGTCCAGAAACGAAAATGATGAAATAAAAACGAAACAAACAATAATCCGACTACGAGGTAGGTACAGGCGCGCCCGGTCTTACTCCCACAAGCTCTCCCACCCCCCGAGCTCCTTCCCAAAAAGCCAGGAAACGCCTGCCAAAATCGAGAAACCATCCAGCCAGAAAGAAAAGAGAGAGACAAAGACCGATGCATGTACCTACCACCTACGCCCCCCCCTCTCTCTCTCTTTTGCACACACACACACACACACACACACACACACACACGCACGCACACGCCGGTTCCCGATGAACAACAATTCTTCAGCCATCACCCGGGGCCTGGCCCAACCCACACTCTGACGGAGAGTCACACAGGGTACGTCCCACCCAATCGTCCATCCTTGCGAGGCAGGCCGATGTACTTACTCTACCTCCGTAGTAGTCAGTGCCCCTCAGATCCTACTCATACGCCTCCCCGGAGAGAGGGGGGTGTCTTGCTAGTGTGGTACCGCCCCAGAATGTGATATGCGCCATCTGCACTGTACCGACCTGCCGGCCTGGGTCCTTTTTTTTTTTCCCTCCTTTTCGTTTCTTTTGCTTGCTGTGCTTCTGCTGCTGGCCTTCCGCCGCTTGCTCGCCGATTGATTATTATCAGATGCCACTGCCATGTTTTCTTCTTGCACTAGTAACCAGAGCAGGGACTTGGAACATCCGCTCTCGCTTGACCTCTTCTCCCTCGCCTTGCCTTGCCTACCCGGTCCTTGCCAGACTTTCCAGCCCGGCTGGCACAGTGCTTTGTCCTCGTGCAAGTTCAAGGGAAACAACAGCAAAGTATAAGAGACCACGCGCGCCGCCTTGAGCTTCTGCCTCGTCTGGATCACCATCATCGCACATCACCAAGAGTCCAAAAGCCTCGCTTCCATCACCACGCTCACAAGTTCTTCAACCTGAACAGCTCCCGTAACCCCACCAACCACCCCCACACATTTCACCGACTGCATCTGAGGGACTACTCAGTCTACCATCTTCACTTCTACCATCCCGCCATTATGGTCTGCTCAACGCAATATCAGGTCGACAAGGCCTCCTCCCGAACCCAGCAGAAGCCCTCGTCGTCGTCCAAGAGCGGTTCCAAACAGGTGAGCCCATGACTGACTGCACTCCACATCCACACCGCCCCCCCCCCCCCCCCCCCTTGGAAGGAAAACTAATAAAAAACTAACTACTAAAAAACCAAAACTGACACTTGTCGCAGCATCTCCTTCCGGGCATTCGATGCCCTACGTGCCATGCCTCAGGTAAAGAAGTGTGGGTACTACCCGGAAAAGAGTGCGGTTACTGCGGCACCCCCTGTGGCTAGGCCAGTTCGTGTGAGTTTCTTGGACTTCTTCCCACGCCTCATGGCCATGTGGCAGTGTGGCTGACTCTTCAACAGACGATAATCCCCCTAGTCAGGAGTCTTGTTGGTCCGACTGCGACGCAATGACTGGCAACCCTCAAAACATTAACGATACCCTGGGACGACGGCGAACGGCGACCCACGAAAGCTAGTGGATGAGGGGTTGTGCGCGGGCATGACACCGGATGGGGTCTGCTCGAGTAAGAGAATGTCATTTTCATCATATTTTATTATTTTTCCTTTGTGAGGGAACGAGGAAAAAGGGGTAGATCAAAACGATTGGGTGGGCCAATCTGGGTACTGGCCCTGTAATGTTAACGAGCCATGTCTGCCCGATTCTCAGATCGGTTTGCGCAATTGTAGGGTAACAACGGGCGGGACGACGAACAGAAATCGGCATGGCATACGGAGTACCACGACCGGCGCCTGGGATTTGAAGCTTCGAAGGAGGGGGGTGGGGGGTGGAATTAGGAATTGTAATGATAGCCATCTGGAGATGCCTGCTTTTCGTTTGCAGTATAGAGACGTATGGACAAAAAAAGAAGAATCTCTCTATCCATCCCCCAAAGTCGTTGCCATCTTGTTCGACCCTTTGGAAGCCGGTGGTCGTCTCGGAGCGTGCGGAGGGTACATATGTGCGGTAGTATTACCAGCACTAGGTACTACGCAGGTAGGTAAGGTGCTCCCCCCCTCCCCCCTGATCTGTAACCACCCACTGACCGGCGTGGAGGCAGGCCTATCAGTACCCGACATGGTGGCTGCAGCATATCGCATGGGTGCACGATCGCGACCCTGCCGGGAGGAATGCGGGAGGTGCTCTGGTCGGAGATAAGCCCCGAAATGTGTTGATTGGTAGAGTTCAAGTCCTCATCGGTGATGCGCGGCGATGAACAAGGGGAAAGGAAGGATGTGCAGAAAAGCAAACATTGGGCACGCATCGCAGTGTTGAGAGTGTGGTATCGGTGGTAGACTCGACTCGACCCGAGTCTCGCCATCTCAAGCGAGGTAGCGTTGTGATAAATAAATAAAAAACACAAAGGCCTGGCATTCAGCCGTCTTCGTTCGAATGTCCAGGATTAGCACAATGTTGCAAGTTGTCGGTACTACAGCCCGTTTCGTTGAATGGCGACAAGTCATCCCAGTCCTCCTTGTCGTTCCATAGCCATAGCACGCCACGGGTGACGGTGATTACCGAGTATTACGAGTATCTAGGGATGCATATATCTACAAAGCGACGACAGACCGAGTCCTGCAACAAGGGGGTGACGTCGGTATCGCGGCGAGAAGCAGCGAGTTGTTTGCCCGGCGTCGCGAGCGAGGTAACCACCCTGTCAGCCCAATCGGTTCCGGTTCCACGGGTCCACCGTCACCTGTAGCTGGAGCTCGGAGCTAGGCCTGGCTCGTTACACCAAACGGTCTGCAGGGTGGTGCATGAGCGAGTCGACGTCCTGCAACGCTCCACTGTCAAGGAAACGCCCATCCGGAGCGAGAAAGGGAGGGAGAAGGACAGGCCAGCTGAAAGCTACCCAGCTGAGATGCAGGGTCCTTGCTCAGACCAGCGCAGATTCCAGCTGGCCAGATAGGTAGAGGGCTGGCCGAGTCATCCTTCAAGGGCACGGCAGTCAGGGCAGCGCTCAAGGTTGAGCAAGTCGTTGGTACAGAATGGGAGGGCAATAGGTGGGCTGCGTCGCGGGACGCATGCCGGTGGTTACTGAACGCGAGACGATGGCTGTGTAGGCTTTCTTGTCTCGCGCCGTAAAGAGTAAGACATGCGACCTGTCACTAATGACACGGGCAGTCCAGGGATCTGTAGCGAGTGCTGCATAGCTTACTATGTACGTTAACTCAGGTAGCGGCGGATACACCGGGGCGTGAAAGGTACAAGGCTTGGCTTATTCACCGTTGGTTTCGGAGGGATGTGGACGACGTAGGTTGTTTGGAGGCCTGACAGAAGAAATGGCGACGAGGGAGGCAAAGATAACAAATGGGAAAAGAAAGGAAAGAAAGGGGAGGGGGGAGGAAAATGTGATTGACGCCGACATGCGCAGAATATGAGATTTGACAAGTTCTGCGGCCATGACACCTTCCATCTGCAGCCCAGAGTTGAAACCCCCTTGCTGGCCCAGAGTGCTTGCTTGCTTGCTTTCTTGACCGTGTGTTTCTTGCTTCCCTCTCAGCGTCGGACTCGGGAGCACGCAAGCATTCATCAATGGCAAAACGAGTGCATTGCCCCCCTTTTGGCCCCTTCGGAACATCCTATCCTCTGCCAAGAACCTAACCTTCCCACCGGGGAATTGGGCCAACTTCCGATTTGAGACATATCCGTTCGATCATGTTCGTTCGATCTCTGGAGATGGAAATGGGGCCCGGCCGCCTGCCAATTTCAGGTCCATCGTGTGATGCGTAAGTCAAGCAACAATAAAGTCTCGAGACACAAACAAAAGTCATGAGCCCACAACAGGCCGAAACCCGGACCGACATGGTGGTTCGTTCTAATTGGCATGCTTATTACTAAGTTGGAGGTTGTGCTATACTGTACATACCTACGTCGAGCGCGATTACCACTTGGGTTTACCTGCCTCTCGGAAGCAATGCCAAACCTTAATGTCCGTATTGTTGGGGACGTGTGCGATGGATATTAGGATTTCCACAACCTGGGAAAAGCACCGACGCAGTGAGTACACTTGCGAAAGCAAAGTTCCCAGCATCGGGGTCGGCCCCCTGAGAAGTCGTGGCGTCTATTTACTCACTCATGCCACCTTTCTTTTGGAGAGTCGTGGTCCCTTCAGCCCTGTCTAGCTTGGTGCTAGATGCTGCAAGCGAGGCTCTAGTAATCAACAATATGTTTCAAGTCTCGTCGAGATGCCTACCTCGGCCCGTCATAGATTCCTTGTCATTCCTGTCGCCCATACCCATAGTCGCCCGCTTTGCTCTTCCTCCCCGACATCTTGGCCGCCATTCAAAGCTGGCTTTCTGCCAGTGTGTGAAGACGATGCGCATCGCAGGCAGGGCTGTGCCGTGTTGTGTGCCATTGTCCCTTAGCTTTCTTCCTTCAACACATTCCTTTTTTCCCGTCTCAGCCACCTCGGATTCAGCCAAGGCGGCCCACGGGCTCCACGTAGAGGAAACCAGAAATAGTTGAGAGCCCGGCCGACATGGTCCGAAGTTGCAGCTCGAGGCTTATGATGACAATGAGATGCGTCAACTGGTCAGACTTAAAAACGACAGGCCGTGCTGGCTAGCCAGTCAGCCAGCCAATCACGCACGGCCAGTGAAAATCCAACGGCGCCGCCGACGTTCCCGTTGGGCAAGTAAAGTAAAGTGGTACCTAAAGTAGTACCCAAAGTAGGTAGGTAGTCTTGGCCTGTCTTGGTCTGGTCCCCCAAACCCCGCAAAATGCTTGGGGGACAAGCGGGCGGTCGCCAGATCGGACAGATCAAGGAAGGTACCGCCTCATACGCAACTCGGTGGAGGGGTACCTTCTCCCCCACGACAAAGTCCAGAAGCCCTCCCAATTGCCGTCCAGTGTTTCTTGCTTGCCCTGCCCACTCGCGGCTGTAGCCAGCCACTTCCCGGTGCCCCATGCCTGATGCCGATGTGACTGCCATTGTAAAGACTTGCGCCAAAGAGTTTCTACAGCCGTCGTCAATCCACCTCAATAACGCAGTCCCCTTCCTCCATCCAGCCCGCCTCCTGCCGTATGTAACATGAACGGCATCGACATCCTTTGCGATGCCGCCGGCTCCGACATGCTTAACCCACTCTACTCCCCGCCCGATCTCCCGAAAGAGCCGGCCCAACCTCCACCCCAACATCTCGGGAAGCGCAAACTGAGCACGTCCGACGCCTCACCCTCCGCGACACACGTCTGCCACATATGCAGGAGGGTCTACGAGCGAGCCGACCATTTGACCCGCCACCTGCGTTCCCACGAGAACGCCCGCCCTTACCAGTGCTCTCGATGTCCGAAACGATTCAACCGCGCCGACCTTCTCACTCGCCACGAGACAACTCACGACCGGGATAACACGGGCAAAGGCAGGACCTTCATCCGGAGAAGCGATCGGGCCGCCGAGGCATGCCTAAACTGCGCCGCCTCCAAGTCGAAATGCGAGGTAAACACTCCTTGATCTACATCATCGTCATCCTCCTCATCATCATCATCATCCCCCGCAGACAATACACACTGACACCCACCTAGGACGTTAAGCCGTGCTCTCGCTGCCGCTCCAAGAACCTGCCCTGCCAAGTCCCCTCGAAACGTACACATCCCAATCGATCCTCCATAGACGGCATCTCGACACCGTCCGAAACATCTACGATGCATCATGCCCTCGACATGAATGGCAGCATGAATCCCGCCTCGGCCTACGACGACCCCAAGATGGCACTCATGCCTCCGCATCACGACATGACCCACGAAATGGACGCAGCTTCGTTCATGGCGGATGGTTTTGTAAACCCCGCCATCGACCTGGTCATGGACGACATCGCTTACCTCAATCCCATGCACAACTACTTACAGGACATGGACTTTTCCTCCTGGGACCTAAACTTCGACGCCATAGCCATTCCGCAACCCGAGACGATCCAAACCCCCGAGTCTGCCACAACCAACCGGTCAAAGCCGAATACGCGGAACGCTTCCAAGGCACATGCCGCCTTCAAACGATCGCCCTGGCTGTGGGAGCCAGGCCCGAATGATTACGCCCTTCACCACGTATCCCCTCACGACAAGGAACGCCTGGCCCTGGACGATGGCACCCTTGCCAACTCTCCCGCTTTTAACAAGCTTACCAGCACTCCGGGTACAAAGCTCAAGATGACGTCCTCATCTAGAGACAGCCTGCTGGTCATGGTAGTGGCCAGCACAGTCCAAAAGGGCGCCCGTCAACGCACGCCGTCCTTCCCGTCTTTGGACCTCCTCAACTACCTGGTTCAGGCCCATTTTATTCATGACGAGCACCAGGGCGACAGCTGGATTCATCTGGCTACCTTTGATGCCACGACGGCGATACCTGAACTGCTTGCTGGCATCATATCCAGTGGTGCGACATACATATCCATCCCGGCGGTTTGGCAATTCGGCTTCTCCCTCCATGAAGTTCTGAGACTCGGGCTGGCAGACTTGGTATGCATCCATGCTCTTGCTTTTTCAGCCTCGGTCAACAGCAAGGCAAATTCATCAAGTGGGGAGAAACGTTGCTGACACACCTGACAGTTCGAAGGTTCGAATACTTTTACGAGAGACCTCGAGGCTCTTCAGGCCTCCATGCTCACGTTGGACACCGGTATCTGGAGCGGGTTCAAGAGAAAGATGGAGATAGCAGAAAGCTTCCTGCAACCTCCAATGACCATGCTCAGACGCGCAGGTAGCTTCTCGACGCCACCCGACTCACCCGCAATAATCCCAACACTCGAGGACCCTCCCGACATACTGGACTCCAAGTGGCGCAAGTTTGTGAAACGCGAATCCTACAAACGGCTCGTCTTGCACATGTTCTTTCACGATATACAAACGTCCATCGGGCTTTGCAAGAATCCCTTAATGTCATACACCGAGCTCAACTTCAGCCTTCCTGCCTCCCGAGACCTGTGGCGAGCCCGATCTGCGGAGCAATGGAGAAGCCTGTACTTGGCCAAAACCAGTGCTGCGCCCGACCGCGTCATCCCTCGCGTATCGGAAGTCATGCATTGCACCGAGATACTTGACGAGTTCGAGCAGCTGGTCGACACTGAACTCTGCTACATGGCCCTGCTACATGGATACTGGGGCCAGATATCGGCGTATCGTGAGGCAATCAAGTTCTACGCGGATGGAATCTCGAGCAAGAGAAACGCAACCCACCGCCTCTGGCTTAAAACACAGTACCAGGAGCTGTACCGTGATCTCGGCGACTTTTCGACCATGATCCTCACGTCCAAGCGACCGACAGCCCAGCTTGCAGTCATGTCGGAGGTGCTCATGATGCTCCTTCACGTCTCCCCTGATATCCTGCAGACATTTGCGGGCAAGGCGGGCGAAGACGAAGCTCGTCGAGTTTTCAGCAAGCTCGAAGAAAGCTGGGTGAAGACACCCGAGGCACGCCACGCCATATGGCACGCTGGCCAGATCTTTCATCACGCGCGACAACTTCCGCCCGCCTCCTTGCGCGAGTTCAACGCCATCGCAGTGTACTTTGCTTGTCTCACACTCTGGGCTTACGGCTTGCTCTCGTGTCCATCATCTGGGCAGGCAGAGGGCCAGGAGGCGGGCAACGGCATCGGTGAAAAGTCCAATTCAGCATATATTCTCATGGACTTTGAAGAAAGCCGCGAGACGAGGGCGTTCTTGCAGTTTGACCGAGGCGTGCCTGGCCTGACACTCAACGGGAATCCGACTGATGGCGTCGAGTTGCTGTCGAACCCGATCATGGTGCTGTCCATTGGAAGGGACATCTTCCGAAACAACTTCCCTATTGTCTCGGAGCCGCTGCCACCCCTAGTTGAGAGCCTCAAGAGGCTCCTGCAAGACTTGAGCTCTGGAGCAACAGGGAGGCCGTCTAGGGCGGCGAGCGAAGACTACCCCCATGTCTGATTACGTTTCCCACCTATGGGTTCTGTTTTCCGTAATGCAGCGTACGAGTAACGGCTGAGCCCACGAAAGGTACTTGACTGCGAGATTTATTTGCCGGTCATGAGTTCTACGAACATAGTTGTCGGAGCATCACGGGAAGTGGTGATAGCACAGCGTTGATTTCAGGAAGGACGCTGAACCAACTGAATGCCACTTTTCTTTCTAGCTAATAACCCATCAGGTAAGGAGCTATTGACGAGCGGATACCTTTGTCTAGCATGGAAATTTGCTAGAAACCTGCCGTTACACTGAATAAAACAGTCCGTTTTGTAGACTCGAATGGGTGATTCCTCAACCAGGGCTCTGAGATATCCGGCTCGCCTACCTCGTCCCAAAGCGAGGTGCCATGCCCAGCCTTGACCAATGAGAGGTTGGCCGTGACTGAGTTTGTCGACTGCGGGCGACATGCCGAGCCATGACCTCCCCTTCTGACCCCTAAACCGGAGCTTAACAATTGCCCCCACAGCAAGGGGGGGGGGGCAAAAACGAGGCGGAAGCCGTTCGTCGAATGATGTTTCGCACTTGGTTTTTTGCCAGTATTTTCCTGGTTCTGACAGCCAGGCCACGTAGAGTGTTTGTAGGACTGCGCCCGCCGCGCTGTTCTTGTTGATGTTATCAAGTTAGGGGTTAGCCGGCTGAGGGGGGCGGCATTGGGCCAAATGGCCGGGCACTAGTGTAAGGTCACAGGCGTTGCATAACGAGCCGCCAGGGAATACAGTTGACAGCGCAGGCTTCGTTATAGCAGGGCGGCGCGGCCCAGTCTTCATTTTGCGGTTTCTTCATGCCCCCATTTGCATTGCAGGCCAATTCATGGCCACCACGTGAGAGGAAGGGCCCGGGCGGGCGGCCTGCCTTGAGGCCGATCTCCGCTGCTAACAGTAAATCGCCGAAACGCACAAAGCCATGGCAAGTGGAGTTGTCCACCCCGCCCAGGAAACCCCGGTCTTGGGCGGAGAGGGGCGGGGAGCAGCCAGGATCCGACTCCGAAGGAAACTACCACACATCCGGGCCGCGGCACCCCGTTCTCTCCCACCACCTCCATTTGTTCGACCTCTCTCCTCCCTCATCGTTCAATCTCAGGCGCGCAGCATCGCTCGGGCCAGCCTCATACCACAGCTTCTCCTCTCACTTCCCTCGCACCATCAGGGCCTCAACCCCTTCAACCATCATCCCATGACGCATCTCTGCTCACGAGACCAGGAAGTCTAAAGCCCAATCCCGTCCATTTGATACAATTAACCTGAATCGCTCCTGTTTCTCTTTTCCCTTTCTTCGACCGCCCTACTTCGCACACGCACACGCACACACAGCCACTTTTTCTTCCGGGCTCCTCCCTCATATACCCTCCCTCTCTCTCATCTATCTACATCAACTGTCCATTAACATCCACATCTTCATCACGCCCTATTATACCCAGAGATACCCCCAAATACCCACACCGCCTCATTTTATTTTCTATTTTATACCCGGCACCACGTAATCTTCGTTCCGACACCATGGAGGCCATTCGCCAGAAGATCCAGATCCCCGACTCCATCAAGCAGCTCCCCGAACAGCTCAAGCCGAAGTCGCCAAAGGCGCTCGATAAGGGCTCCGATTCCATCCCCACCTCCCTCACGCCCACGCCTGTATCGCCGCCCCTCGCGACACCGTCTCACGGCGACCTCGGCGCCGTCCTGACCATCGCCTGCGCGACGCCCATCGCCGCCAAGCCCACCACCGTCCTCTCCACCGTCCTCAATCCGGCCACCTACCCGACCTGGAACACCTTCGTCCCACGCGCCACCATCTCTCGCCCCTCGGGCCTCGCCGTCCCGCCCATGCTTGCAGGCGAGCCCTCCATCGCCAAGCTCCAGCCCGGCGAGCTTCTCCTCGAGGGCACCCACGTCACCTTTGAGGTGCACATGACGCTCGACCCGGCCAAGACGACGACCAAACAGGCCCTCATCGTCACCAAGCTCGAGGAGTTCACCCGCGCCGCCGCCGAGGCCAACGGCGAGACCCACCGCGGCCGCAAGGGCTACCGCGTCTGCTGGAAGACGGGCGGCCTCGTACCCCCCTTCGTCCTCAAGTCGGAGCGCGTCCAGGAGTTCCTCGAGACCGAGGACGGTAACGGCACCGAGTACCGCTGCTGGGAGACCTTTTACGGTCCCTTCGCCCAGGTCCTGCGTTTCACCATGGTCAACCAGCTCGAGACCGGCTTCGCCGCCTGGATGGACGGTCTCAAGAACCACCTCGAAGGAACGGCGCCCTCGGATCCTGCTGCCGCCGCCGCCGCCGCCGCCGCCACGGTTGCTCCGGCGACCACCCCGGCGGCTGCACCGGCTCCCGCGCCCGCCGTCGCCGCTGCCTCGTGATCTGCGTGACGCTCGCGTACGTGCCCGTGCACTGGTTAGGTCCCTACGGGTTCAAATGGGTTTTGTCATTCCTCAGTTGTGTCTGTGGTTTTTTCTTGTTGTTTCAAAAGGGCTTATCACTCACACAATACGAAAACGAAGTGGCTAAAAAAAGATGGGGAGGGTAGGAAAGGTTGAGACGAGGATGCAAAGGCGGGGAAATGAGGATGGGGCTGAAAGACGGTCGTTTTCCTAGGAAAGGGGTTCCTATGTATCCAACGTAGCTTGATACCTGACCGCAACCGGCAATAAGGAGTGCATTTGACATTTTCTTCCTACAAGAAAACAATGCAACTGAGGGAGGAGAATGCCTCCCGCCACAACAAAAGGGTACGGAGCGGCGCCGCGCAGCTCGCCCTGATTTTGTCTCGAATGCTTCAAACCATCCGTTCACCACGGACCCTCCCCTCCCCCGTGGGATATCGGTCCCGTGGCCCTTTCCCCCTCCCCTACCCCTGACATCGGACGACCGCCCGCCCTTACACACTATTGGCGATGAAGCTGGGCTCAAAGTAGACGGACATGAAGCCGGAGACGGTGATGTTCTCCTTTGCGTAGGCCTTGAGGGCGGCATGAGCGGTGCACCCTTCGTCGTAGAACTTCATGTCCTCGAGCGAGGCGAACTCGGACTTGGAGACGACGGTGAAGCCCTGGGCGCGCGGGTCTTCGGCGGCGAGGCCGACGATCAGGTTGTGGATGTAGGGCTTTCCGTCCTGCGATGGGCGGAGGGTCAGTCTAGTTGATTCTTTTTACAGTGACCTTTCTTTTCCCCCTCTTGGCAGATCTGACTAAAGGTTCGGCGAAAGAGCGCGTCTCTCGATGTTCCTGATGGCTGACGGTGGGGCCGAGACAACCGGGGGGGGGGGGGGGGGGGTAATCCGATGGGATCCACGCTCCGAACCGGGACGGCGGTACTCCCGCCGGTGCTAATGGGGGAGAAGCGGGGGAGGCAGGGGGTCAGAACAGTCCGGTCACCGGGACTCACCTTCTCCGCACTCTGCATGACCTTGTACTGGTCAATCAGCTGCTTCTGCTGCCCCTCGTCGACAATCTTGAACATGGTGACGCGATGGATGCGGCCCGCCATTTTGTCGGTGGTTGTGGTGGTTTGTGATCGGGAGTCCGAGAGTGGGGTTCTGGCGAGTAGCTGATGTGCACGCGCGGGGTTCCGAAGCCGGAGGAGGAGTTCGATGGCAGTGATAGGAGCGGGGAGGGGGCGCCGCCGGTGTAGAAATGTTAAGAGCGTGCGAGAAAGAGCAGCAACAGCAGCAATCGGGAAGAGGAGAAGGACTGAAGAAGTGGAAGAGGGAGAAACCGACGGAGCGATGGGGAGCGAGCGGGAGAGTTTATATTCGGAGGGGGAAAAGGGGAGGTCTGGGTCGGTCCGTAGGCTTGCTGCTCAGTGTCCGACGAGGTGGAGGGCGCAGGTAGTCTTACCGCCGCTGCAGCCCTCGGACGGGGGCGCCATGCAGGAGCTACCTAGTACAAGGACAGACGCCCTTGGGTAACGCAACAAGTTGGATCACTCTGGCCGGATATCCAATTGATTAGTCACCAATCCCCGTACCGGTCTGAGTTTGCCCTCGCAGAACACTATAACTTACTACTACAGACCTACAGGCTGCCTACCTACATAGCCATGACTTTCTGCCGGGCTGAAATAAGGACCATGATTTGGACAACTCTCCCCGTAATGATTTGTTTATATGGGGAAAGGCGGGGAGAGGGGAGTTCCTCGAGAGACGCACCCCATAATGAATGAACTGTTTGGATGGCGGTATCCGAGTCCGGTGAATCTTCGGCAAGGTCAAACAAAGACCAGTTGCAAGGCGATGGCCAACAGTACCTATATAGTCACCCGCAACAAGAACTTTGTCCTATATCCAGATTAACTGTAGGAACTAATCTATGGCCGCTTTTATTGAAGTGGGCAATGTGGCCATGCGCGCCAGAGCAAAAGGAAAGAAAATAGCGGGAATACACTAGTCATTTCTAGGATGTATTTCCCTACCTAAATCAAGGAGAAATAATATTCTACACCTGTACCCCTTGGTAATAGCTAATTAGCAAGGGTAATACTAGAATATAGCAAAAGACAACACAATCTATTAATTAAAGAAGGTTGATTAGTGCCGGGTTATATACTTTAATAGTTTTAGCTACTATGATTAATAAGTGCGCACGATACAAAACCAGGCGCATCAGCGGAGGCAGAAGAAGAGAAAACAGAAAACTCGGCGAAACGGCCGCCTGAACTGACAAGCACATCACCAAAATCGCCAACAACCCACATATCGCTTCCCCGGCTATTTGCCATAATGAGAACAAAGCATCCTCACCTGAGTTCATCTTCTTGCAGGCTCACCCATACTATTCAACAGATGCTCATTTCCTTACTCTCCGACCTAGCCATATTCGATACCTATCTGACGACCTGCTATCTCGGAAGCAACGGGCTCGAGTTGCTGCTGCCGCTTTCCCTTTGTCTCTCTTGCTGTCTCTCCCAAGCCGGCATTGCCCACTTCTCCATGTACTCTGATCTCATCAGCTGCTCAGCTGTCAACCTCTCAGTATGTTCGAATGCCATCATGCTCCGCAGCAACTCCTCCAAAGCCTGCATCTCACCTCCCTGAGTATCCCATTGGCATGTATCAGGCGTCTCGCCACGCCCCATGTCCCACATACGCTGATGCAGAGAACGGGACCCGGGGGTGTAGATCCTGTTTTCATTCATATGGCAAGTCCATGAGCCGTCAGACTCAAAGAAGTCCTTGCGATTTGACCATTTATTCCACCATCAAGCAGGTAGTGGCCCAAATGTGCTCACCATCTCGGCTATAATGTCGTCCCGGTCCCAGCCAAACGATTCAACGAGAGGTCTCTCTCCGAGCACTTCATAAAGACTAACACCAAGTGTCCATATATCTGCAGCTTGGGTGATGGGATCGTTGACGAAGCCTTCTGGTGGAAGATAGAGAGCAGGTGTGTGTAGCTCAGGTGTGTGGGGTCCAGCCGATGCCTCATTGACAGTCGCAACCACAAAAGATGTTCCATAGTCAGATATACCAACCATAGGATCCACAACATTGTCTGCAAGCGTTTTAACATGCATCGGGTAAACAGCATATGGCGGCGCGTGAGGCCCAACTGGTGTGCCATCAAACCTGGTGATAGGGGCCTTATCTAGGCGGTAACGCTTATAAAGCCCTTCAGGATCCAGGCTGTTGAGATTTTGATTGAAATCCTGACTGTAGAGAAGAAAGTTCCTCATGTGAAGATCTGGATAGCGTTAGAACCACAAGATAGTTGGGCGAGGATCGTGATCCGAAAGCATATGAGATTGATTAACTTACCACCGTGACATACTCCACGGGAGTGTAGATAAGATACTCCCATAATGATTTGAGCAGCAATAGATCTGGCAGTCTCGACAGGGAACATGAGGCTTACGAAATCTTCCTTGGATGCAGTAATATTACAGGCAGCAATTGGTTTCTGCACAAGGCAAACATGATGTCCGTTGGGGCCGCTGAATGAAAAATCGTCCAGTAGATGTGGAACAAACCGTTGCCCGGGGTGAGAGCCACCGCAGCACAGTTTCCGGAGAAGAGAGGCTTCGGTTGATTTTGGAGATTCATCGGCAATCATGATCTTCAATGAGACGTACTGTTGCAGGTGTTTGTCGCGGGCTAGCCACATTGTTGAATAGCCACCAAAGCCGAGCTTGTGAACAACCTCGTAGCGATTGTTAAAAGTGTCCCCGATGGTGGTAGGGTGGTAGCCGCCAGTCGTGTACTCTTCAAAGTCTTCAAGGTCGACCTCAGGGATGTAGACCGCCCCGTTTGGCCCGTGCGAGGAAGCGTTGATGGCCATAGCCCGGCAGGAGTTCGTACCAAAGGACTTCTGCAGTGATGGAAATGTGCGTGAGGTTGCTTTCTATGAAGACCGCTGGCGAGACTGCACTTGACAGAGAATCGCTGTGCGAAAGCGATGTTGCCAAGCGGTACGCACCATGGCTGTTGACCTGTGGTGGGTGAAAAGCTGGAAATCCAACGACTGGGTAGGGTCGGAAGCTGGAAGAGGTAGTACCCCTGCCCCCCTCCCTATGGTCACCTTAACTACGTCTACTCTAAGTTGCCCATCTTAATAGACAGATCTGATTTCACTTAGCGATATATCGGTAGGAATACCTCTCACACAACCACCAGCCCCTCCTTTTCATCCGCCTTGCGAGGGGGTGAAGACAGGGGACATAGTGGGGGGGCGTGATGAAAGCCACCGTCCGAACGAAAGCTCGTCAACCAAGCCGATCCGAGGTACGGATAGCAAGTGAAGCTTGGGTTATCGCATGTCAAAAGTCGCCGTGCAAGGCGCGGCAGAACACCGCTTACCCCCTCCCCTCCCCTCTTCCGGAATCGTCTGAGCAAAAGTTGTCGCCCGCGGGGGCCATTGCAATGTCGCATATGAGACGGACCATCATCTCACATGCCAGGTGTCCACCTCCCATCTGTCTTGCTCACCAGATATTTCCACCGTCCGAGAAGCCGGGCTGCGCTACCCGGGCCTGACGGGAGGGGTAGGGCGGAAGTGGCAAGACGAGCCGGGTGAACGAAAAGAACCACCAATTTCTTCGCCTCCTCTCACGCGCACCACGCATACCTCCCTCTCTCCCATCTACATCCTCGGGGCGCGCGGAGGCCAGCTCTCGTGTCCAACCTCACCCGACGAACGCAACACGGCAACCGCTGCTCGTCTTCTTCTTGCTTCTCGTCAGAGTCTAGCCACTTATACCGTCACCACCCACCCCCCATATGACGTTGGGAATGCTCGACGGAACAAGCCTCGGGGAGCAGGCGCGGGTTTCCAGCCAGCCAAATCGCCACCGCAGTATTGACCAGCCCGTCAACCACTCAACCCTCGAACAGTACTGGCCCGGCCTGGTGGCTTGGCTACACCACACGCAGGACAAGACATCACTCGCGAGCACGAGGTCTGAGGCATGGGGACGTCAGATTAGGCCGTTCTGGTATTATTCCGTCCTGTCATCCATGTCGTTGGCCCCCGCTCCCAGTGGCCGGTGGGCGTCTCTCTGTTGCTTTGGCAGAGAGTCAATCTCGCCGTTTTCTGTGATATAATCTTCTTCCCACCCGTTGCAACACCAGAGGCGTGGCCGGTGTTCGCCGCCTATTATCCTTCTACGCCAAGCCCCTCATGCGTGTGCGACATCCATTGTTGGGGGTATTTCTGTCTCGACAACCGAGCCAGATCTGGTATCTCTGCTCCTACTCCTGACAAGCAACCACATCATGACATAGAAAAGCTGTAACCAAGCCAATGCCCGGAAGCAGTCCCCGTCCCCAAGCATAGTCCCGCCCGGGGTTCCCTTTACCTATACGCCGTATTCGCCTTTGCATTATCACTAACCCTTGCTTTTCTGGGTGGCGGATCCCGTCTCCCCTCCCCTACCTTCCAGTGTTTCCGCCGTCACCCCCCCATAGGCGAGCCAGGTGACAGACCCCCCACCCGCCGAACGACCATTTGCATCTTCTCGATCAGCTCCGGCATCCGATAGGGTTTAACCAGCACATCGTCGCATCCCGCTTTCTTGGCGTCTTGCATCTGCTCCGGCCTTGCGTTGGCGCTAACGGCGATAATGGGGATTCTTCCACCGCTGGCACAAAACACCCTCCCTTCCCGCTCCAGCTCTCGGATCCGCCGTGTGCACGTTAGACCGTCCTGCACCGGCATCTCAATGTCCATGAGGATCAGATTGATGGCCACGGGAGGAAGCGTCTGAGTGTCTGCAGCGCTATGGGCAAAGTAACCCTCCTCCTCGTGTTGCAGAGACATGGACCGCATGAGTCTCTCCAGGGCCTCGACTCCGTGATTGGCCACGTCGACGGTGAAACCCCTATCCTGCAGACCCCGGCGGGTGATTTGCTGGTTGATAAGGTTATCCTCCACGATCAGGATGCCGTCGAGCCGGGGGTTGAGAACCTGGGGCTTCGGCCGCGAGCCAGGTGTTCTCCGCCCGTTCGTGGGGGCTCTTGCCCGGGGGACGCCAAGCGGTGTATTGGCCGCGGTAGCTAAAGTCGCCATCCTTGCGGCTGCGGCCGCAGACTCGGCCTCTTTCAGGGACGCTTCGCTCGGCACGTATGCCTCGATGAAGAAAGCGAATGTGGAGCCTACCCCCGGCAAGCTGGCCACGCCAATGGCTCCCTTCTGCAGCTCCGTCAAGCGCCGCGAGATGAACAGCCCGAGTCCCGAGCCGCCATACTTGACATGGGTCCGCGAGCTCGCCTGCACAAACCGGTTGAAGAGGTTGGATTTCTCTTCTTCAGACAGACCCTGGCCAGTATCCTTGACCTCGAACATGATGTACACTGGGTCCTTGCGGATGTTGAGTGCAGGCTGCTCGTACTCAAACTCCTCCTTGCAGGATCGGGGGATGAACGTCACGGGAGATGTCTCGTCCGTTGGTCGTTCCCGAGATGCTTTCATACAAACCGAGACGTTCCTGGTGGATCCGGATTTGGTGAACTTGAGGGCGTTGGTGAGCAGATTGATGAGCACCTGCTTGACGCGAGATGGATCAAGATCGAGATAAACGTGTCCCAATTCTTTGTAAGACTTATCGACAGTCATCTTCAGGTCAATGTCCACACGGCGTGCCTCCACGTCGAACATCTTAATTGCCTCTTCCCCAATCTGCACTGGGTCGACTGTGCAGGGCGTGACGGCCAAGAGCTTGGAGTCCAACTTAGACATGGTCAGAATGTCGTCCACGATGCGTTTCTGATGCTGCGCACAGGCCACAATGGTCTCGGCGTTCTCGATACTATCCGCAAGGAGCTGCTTTACATCAAAGTGTTTGTCGCTGTTTTCGTCAGGTATTCTGAGGATCGTCGGACTGAGTGGCCGGTTGACGAGTTCCTCGCACCTCGCGAGAGAGGCAATGATGGCGTCGGAGCAATGGATGATGGCACTGAGCGGATTTCGCATCTCGTGGGACGTCATGTCGATAAAGTTGTCTTGCTGGCGCTTCGAGTCGATGGCCTCCTCGGTCCGTTTGGTCTCCAGTTCCAACTGCCACTTCTGCAACGAGACATCGCTGACACAGCCAGTGAACGACTGGACGACGCCATCCGAGCTGCAGACCGGCATGAACGTGGCGTTGACCCATCTCGGCGCCGTGATCTGGTTCCCCACAGCATCCTCGGCTGTCCATGTGGTTTTCAGACGGATCTCGGCTGTCTGGGGCTTCTTCTCGGACACAAGCCGGGCTACGCTCTCGCTCAGATACGGAAGGTCGTCTTTGACCACCGAAACCTCCCACGGCCTCACCTCATGCTCCATGGGATCTACCTTGCTAATGCCACACAATTCGAAGAAGACGTTGTTGGCGCCAAGGAGACGCCCTCCGGTATCCATGTCAAACATCCCGACAGTGGCAAGTTCAGCCATTCTCTTCAGGTTCTCCGCTTGCTGGGCTCGTCGGGTCGCTTCGTTGGCGGTTCTTTGGTGAGCGGTAATGTCCGTAAGGCAGGTAAAGGTTCGGATGATAGTTCCATCCATGGCTCGTTCCGCCTTGGCCTGGGCCATGACGTATCGTTCCATCTTGTCGTCCAGGTCGCCGTACAGGTCGGCTTTGAAAGGGGACCTCCGTGTTAACATGTTATTGGTGTTCTCAGATCCGCGCACACGGAATTGGAATTCGACTTCATCCTTGGTTTTCAGCTCTTTATACGCCTCTCGGATCTTCTTTCGGTCTTCCTCCAACACACAGGAGAAAGAACCTCCGTTCTCGGCTGTTGCGCCGGGATATCCTGTTATGCGGTACCAAAGGCCGTTTGCAAAAGTGATGTTTCCTTGGTGGTCGCCAATTGAGAAGCCATTGGGGATGAAGTCGGAAACTGTCTGGAACAGCCGTGTGTATTCCGTCGCCTCCTTTATCTGGTGCGCCAGCTTCTCTTTCAACATGGCCTGGTCGTAGGCAGCTTGTTCGGCAGCGTTTCTTCCCCGCCGCCTTTCCTCCTCCAACAATACGGTGCACGCCAGCGACGTTGCAAGCTTCTGTGAAAGGAGCTGGATGTAGAGCGTGTAGGCGTCGTCATAAGGCCGTCGGGGGTTGAGGCCCAGCAACAGAAGCCCCATGACCTCCTCCTCTTTCGTGGGCCGGATGGGCAGGATGATGGCGGCCTGGCAAGGGTCGCCAAAACCACGCCATTGCAAGCCCGCCAGTAGTTCTTTTGGCAGACTGCCGTCCGATGTGCTGATTATTAGAGGCTCCTCGTTACGCAGGGCAGCTCGGAATTGTGGCGCTAGGCCCGCGTCGGTTTCATTTAGTCGCAGGATTCCAGGCATGGCGGGATGGTCTGCCGGAACCCCGAGAGCCCCTTCCAGACGACATGTGTAATTACACCCGTGCCGTGCCTCGCTTCCGGAATCTGACGACCCGTCGCATTCGATCGAGTACAGCATGGCGAGTGGTATATCGTACGCAGGCTCGCATTCCGAAAGCTCCATGATCAGCTTGCTCCAGTACGACTTGACATCCTTGGCGGTACCCAGCTCCTCGCCCATGTCCACCAACATCTGGATCCGTCGGCGAAAAAGATGGTACAGAGTTGTGTCTGTTATCAGGTGGATGAAGCCGAGGCATTCGTTGTCGTGCAAAACGGGGACAATGGACCATTTCAGGTACGTCTCCAGCGGCGGCCTGTCGCGCTGTTCAACGAAGAACCTGAATATCTCTTCGTTGTTCGCCCGCCGGCTCTGTCCTGGATTTTTCATCATGTCTCTGAGTTGGTCTGCGATCTCGGGGAACACCTCGGTGACGGAATGGCCCATCAAGTCGGGGTGCCGGGCCCCAATTATCTCTCCGTACGCTTCGTTGTAGACTGCGGTGAAGTTGCTGCCCCAGTAGATTGCCATGGGCTGAGAGTTGCACAAGATCTGGCTATATGACTGATGGAGCAGTGACGGCCATCGGTCCATGGGCCCGAGGGGCGTTGCGCTCCAGTCAACACTATCGACCATGTCGAGGAAAGGCTCCTGGTCCGGAATGAACTCTGGCAAAACCAAAGATGGCTCAGCAGCTGCCCAGATGATTCGGGGATGGGAGAGGACATCCTCTTGAAAGGATTCTGGCGAGGATGTGGACTGGGCGGCCGAGGTATGCGAGTGCAGTATGCCGCTGACAGTCTCTCTTCCTTCCGATACGTCGGCGCGTGTCTTCCTAGGCGGCTCTGACGAAATGGGCAAGTCGTTGGAACTCACGACAACCCACTTTGAGAGCACAAGGTTCCGGGTCCAAAAATGGTTGTTGTACCGGAAAGACTGCGGCGGGTCGGCGCCCTTGGCGGTGATCCAATCCCAAAACCTGGCGTGATCACGGCTCGTGATAGAGATGAGGACGTCATTGAGGGCTGGTGCGCTGGCGAGAGCCGGGTTGCTGTAGACGACCTCGGCGTTGGCGGGGTCATTGGGCGAAGCCGGGATCGCCACGACGAAGCTCGGTCGCGGGTCGGAGTCGAGTAGGTCGACGACACCCACGCCGAGGAGCGGGGGAGGATGCATGACGGCGGGTAGGGCGTGAGTCGTCCACTCAGCCAAGGGATCGGCTGGTTTTGTTGTGAGTCTCAGTCTCTTCTCTCATCCTCAACCAATGGTCGTTTGGATATAGGATCAAGATCCTGTGGGCGGACCAGTCGCGATTCTTGGGCGCTATGTTCTTGGGGGGTTTCTCAAGGAAACCCACGCAAGAACAAGAAGAAGAAAAACCAGAAGAGCAGGGGAATCAGGTCGGACCCGCCGAAGAAGGGTAAACGCTGAGTCGACAAGTGCGCGGGCTGACCAAGGGCAAAAGCAGGGCGACTGATGCTTGGGGGCTGCGATGCAGCAGAAGTAGATGGAGGAGGAGGGGGAGGAGGAAGAGGAGGAGGAGGAGGAAGAGGAGGAGGAGGAGACAAGGTGAGTGGCCGAGAAAGAAAAGGCTTCAGACGCGAGCCGGGGGCCCAAAGTGTGCAAGAGCGGTCCAGAGTGGATGAGGTGGACGAGGGTGGTTGCGCTACTAGAAGTTGCGATTCTTCTTTGCTGGGTGGGGACGATGGGCGCACGCGGCGGCACACCCAGTCTGTCGTTCTCAGACCGAAAGAGAGGGACCAAAGCTAACAAGGTTGAACTGGCGGGTCAAACTGGATGTTCGGCAGTACCCCTAAATCAAACATGCCCGAGGGAGGAGTCAGTACAGAATGTATTATGCAGTTGGCGGCTGTTGAAATGTGCACCGGGTGGGTATCTCGCACGGAGCCTTGGCTGATTTTCTGGTCGCGGAAGGCGTGTGTTATTATTTCCTCTTGCAATAAAAAAAAAAAAAAGATGGCAAGCGGTCTTGGATGGATAGGTGGGATCACTGGTGGAGGGGAACCCGTTCTCGGGGGACGCGGAGGGGCACGGAGACAGGGGTTAGCCTTTGGGGGCTGAAGGTCGGACGTCGCGTCGCAATGATGTGGCTTGTTGCGGAGATGGCAGAACCTCATCAGATATGATTTTCTGATCTCTCGGGTTAGATTAGGGCTGGTAATTAATGGTGATGGTGATTGTAATGGTAATGGTATTGTCGGGAGAGCAGTAATGGGACTGGGCATTAGGCAGACAAGGGACGGGGACTCGGAAAGCAGGCCGATGACAACGGGCGCTGCGGTATCGTGACCCCAGTAGGTACAACGAGAACCAGCGCGTCAGCAATGGCTGGACGGCGGGTCTCGAGGGTCTTCAGAGACAATAGTTTAGAAAGGCCGGTTAGTGCTTCCATACCATGCCATTTCAGCCGTGCGTCTCAGCCCTCTCCCTGTGGATCTCTGGGCGACGAATTATTCTCTGATGTGGTAAAAGTACATCCGGGAATGGTGATTGAGTAAACCAAAGCCACAAGCACAGAGCGCAGACGCGGCGTGGGCGACGGAGGGTCGTCCTGCGAGTGTGAGTGTGTGTGTATGTGGTTATTCAGTCGTCTGATGACGAAGCGGACGGACGCCTCTATGTCGATGAGATGGGATGGGATTCCCGGCCTTAAGACTACTTGGCAGCGATCAGCAGAAGGGCACTTCCCTGAGCGTGGGATCCGACCCCCCCCCTCAGACTTGTGGATTCGGACCCAAGAAGGCCGTCCTCCCTCCATCTCAAGAAAAACAAAACGACAAGACCCGGGGAAGCGGGAGGCAGGCATAATAAAAACGGGATTCACAGAGGAAAACCGCACCCGGCTGCTATTTCCACAACGGAATCTACATACCTACGTAGTATACTCCGTAGGGTGCGGCGCATCCCCTCTTAACGTCCATGGTGGAAGGAGGGGCGTTCCGTATCAGACGCTATGTGACCATCAGACCCCTTCTTTGGCTTCTCTTCTCCCAACCAGACCAGAGCCTTCTTTTCTGTTCTTTTCATTTCAAGCCCGCCAACAGCCCCTCCGGAGGGTCACTCCCGCGAAACATATCCTAGCATAGGTAGTGTAGAGCGCTGTCCTCGCTCGCTTAGCAGGCCTTGGTCGATACCTAGTTTAGCTCATAGAAACAAGCCGCTCATTTGTCAGTGATGCTGCTCTCCACACGTCATCCCGACCTCACACGTGGGGTGGCAATAATTAATGTGAAATCCCTTCCCACTCTTATTGGTGTGCTAGTACGGAGTATATCTGTAGGCTGTACGGATAGTGTACCTGGTGTAGGCAGAATCACTCCCTCCCCCCTCCCACTTCCACGCTCGCATTTTCCCGGGTCACCACGCTAGCTCCGGGATCCGATCGATGCTGTTTGTTTTGTTTTGCTTAGCCCACCTCAGTAAGGGTATACTACTGAGTATGCTAGGTACCATATGTACAATGTAGGTACTCTGCATCTGCCTCGTGTGCTTCCGCCAGGTACCCTATCTAGCGCACAGGCTCTGCAATCGCGGCTAGCGTGCTCCCTGTGACGTCACATAGCGTCCGACGCCGCGTTCCCGCCGAAGAAACAACACGACATCGTCTCCAATCTTTCTTGGTTTGATGAGCCTATCGCAGCCTATCACAGGCCGTCGCTCGACAACCTCATCCTGCTGCTCACCGACGCGTGATTCATTGCGCACCCAATTATGAGAGCCGTCACCGGCGCTCACCTGCACGATCCCAAGTGGTCTTCCGGCATCCCTTTTCGAACGAACCGAGTCCGGACTAGATAGGAAAGTCGTATGAAATCGATCGGCGTGCATCCCATATCCAATATCCTCTCCACTCTCATCTGTCACAGCGCTCGCTTCCTTGGGTTCTGTTTCTCTGCTTCCTTTTTCTTGTTTAGCGGGACTTGTTTGACATGTTATGGCCATCGAGAGACATGCCACCCCCCCTTCGTTTGTGGTCCAATCGCCGTCTCTCCGCATCGAGGGGTCACGGACGTGCGATTGCACTGACGGGAGAACCGCCTATCTCTATAAAGGAACTCCCAACGTCATTTACCCCAAGCCCGTCTGTCTCACCAGTGAGCGAGCTTGGGTAGGCAGCCAAAGGTCTCACTAATCAACCCCCCGCCGCCAAAAGCCAGCCACATCGGTGCTACCCTGAAAGCACGAAATCTGACAAAGCCCAATGGTCTGTTCTTCGATCACCTCCTTTACAATACGACGCCAAATCTGAGACCGACACGATATGGCGTGAGCAAACTCGCTTCGTCGTGGTGGTGCCCGCCATGTCCAGGAGTGTTTATCCAGGACCCAAAGCCTGCTGCTGCTGGCCAGCGTTTCCTACGACACTACCCCAATATCGATTGACACAGATACCATAGGCATGGACCTGCATTGCATTTTGGTCCGGGCAACATCACCCCAATAATATTTTCGGTCTAGAAATGGTATCTGATCTATCTTGGGGTATTCGAGGCGTCTCAAGCTTAAAAAAAAATGTATGAGGCGGCCAAATAATCCTGATTCTGCTGTATATCATTTCAGATATGATTCTCAATTCGCCCCAGCGGGCGTGGTGATTGTGAGAAATCAAACTCCCGTCCGTTTCCCCTGTTCTGCCAGCCCTCCCCCGTGCCCAACCCACCCGGTGGCTTATACCACCGCTAAACCATGCCTTCTCCGACATTTAACGCGCCGCCACCAAGCTCATGTAAATGCCCCAGGCAATACCAGCGAGGGAACCGACCAGGTTTCTGCCTTCGATGCTCTTGACAAAAGCAAAGTTGACGAGGCTAACCAGAGGCCACAGCTTCAGGCCGGCGAGGAAGATGGGCACGAACTCGAGCTGGCTGCTGCGGACGACGGCCCGCCAGTCGACCTTGCTGTAATCGACGGCGCCGCGCGAGAGGAGATACGACCCCGAGTGGTGCGCGGCCGCGAGGTGTTCCGGGCGGGCCATGGCGGTTTGAATGCTGTGCATGAACATGCTGAAGGCGAGCGTGTTGAGCGCGGCGCCGACAGTCTGGTCGAAGACCAGCTTGACGAGCGTGTTGCGGATGTTGAGCTTGGGCTCGACCAGCTTGTCCTCACGCGCCTCTCGGTCCAGCTCCTTGTCGTCGTTGGCCGCCGCCGAGGCGACGGCGTCCTTGGTGGGCGAGACGTGGTAGGCCGGGAAGGTCTCCTCGAGGAAACCTTGCCTGCGGGGTGTCAGTGACGACGTTCGAACGCTGCCCCGGCTATTGGGGATCGAGTGAACACGCGTGGGCCTATCGACGCTCGTGTAAGAGGAAATGCGCTGGGATTGAGACTTACCACATGAAGTTGGGCGGCGTACTGATAATGGTGTAGAGGATGAACTGGAAGACGGGCACCCAGTCGATGGCCAGTGGACTCTGGTCGTCGGATTAGCAATGAAATCTCTGGCCACAGTGAGACGGCGCTGTTGTATGCGACGACGCAACGCATCCTTCTGGTGGCCCAGCCGTGTGGAGGAGGTCATCATACATCGGTTTGGTAGGCCGTCAAGGCCTGGGCCAACAGGTTCGACGTGCCACTCAGGACAGCAGACTGCAGCGTCGCCGTGACGATGGGAGAAGGGGCCATGATGAGGCTCTGAGGGGTCGAGTTGAGAAGCTTTAACGGCGAAGTCCTATGAACGGTGTACGAGAACCCCCTCGTTGTAAGACGCGATGAGCGATGCTTTGTGCAAGGTAGCTAGACAGAACGATATGATCTCTTTGGTGCATACGGCCCGTGTAGGGTATCCGAGCTGACGTTATTTATATGCCGCGGTGTTGCGCAACGGATGCGATTCTAATGCAGTCTGTTCAAAAGAGCACCCTTGAGGCTGGCGAATTTGTAATCACGACGACTTTCGATAGGTTAACGAAACGGCATGGGGGCCGGATTGAAGATTCGGCACAGGTGGTTCGTGTGGAGGAATGGGGAAACACTCACTGCCCTCCAAAGTTTGGATCGGCAAATGAGGGATCAAGGCTCGCACTCGTGTGGGGCAGACGGCTGTCCATTCCAGCTTTCAGCAGACATGTCGAGCTTTGGTGGGCAGTCTTAGGCCGAGGCATCGGGCTAGTATCAAATATACCTGCGTTCTATTGGCCGCTTACGCTCTTGTTGTTTTTGGCTTTGAGCCAACAACGGATATACTGTATCCTTGGCCGTGACTGGCTGCATGCCCTCGGGGAGATACAATGTATATGTATGCAGGGAACGGCAAGGAAGGTGATTCGAAAGGAGCTTGACGTGTCGGCTGACGAAAGCTTGTTGTAATAGCAACTTTGCCCAAGCAGCACGCCGCTTGCATTGTCATACGCCACCAGTTGATTGCATTGCAGGACCACGATGCAGGTTTCTAATGCCGACATGGATGCCAGCTCTGTTTGATTTCTACTTATTTATCTCAACCTCCGCCTCGTAACCTGTTCCCGGTCACTCCAAACTACTCTGTACAGGGATTGGGCTTCCTCAACTCGGGGCATATCTCAACTGCATAACAGGCTCAACAGCAAACCGCCCCAACACGCTCTAAATACGTGACGTGTCGCATTATCGTACACGTGTGTTCGACTCCTGGAATAAATCTTCGCCTTTTGTAAAGGGAAACCTGTCCTTCTAATTGGCTCCATGGCATGTGATGGCATGTTCAAATCCAGCCGCGCTCGGATTGCTTTTAATGCCAGTCTTTTTGGCTCCGTCCGTTTTGCATCATAAACCCCTCCGGAGTTGCGTGATCAAGGCCTCGTCAAGATCCACATGAACAGCAGCTGGACAATGTACGAGTAAAAGAACAGGAACTGGGTTCTCTGGTTCCGCTTGGCCCGGGAATCGCCTGTCTGCATAGGGCCAACGCCATTGGCCGAGTTCTCGGGCAGGAGGACGTACTTGAGAGACCGCATCTGAAATGAAATGTTAGTAATCACAGCTGTGATAGGGGGCTGGTGCGAGCATGCATACCAAGAACAGCGAGTTGGCCAGGAACGTGTAGAGGAACACCGACCAGCCAATCCAGCCACCTGTGCCTTTGCCGCCGTTGAAGGTCTCCGCCACCGCAACGGTAACGATGATACCAACAAACTTATAGCCTGAGTACGCGATCAGATCGTAGAGCTGCGAGTCGTTCGAGATGCCCAACAGATAGCAGCCCAACTTCAGACCCAGGATCTCCGCAACCACTATTACCAGAGCCGTCGACGCCGTGTATCCAAGAAGCTCGGGCTGGAACTGGCCGCGAAGACCGGCAATGAGGGTGGAAAGGAGGATGTACGTCACCACGGCCATGACGGGGATGTACATGTCTGGGCTGTTGATGTCGTCGCGCGGCGGGAGATACCACCCCTCCTGGCCGCTAGGCCCAACGGACTGCTTGCGCGACCATGGCTTGTGCCTCCAAGGGAAGAGGACGAGGAATAGCTTGTTGATGACATAGGAGTTTGAGACGTTGAAGTAGTGTTTCAGGGCGTTGACGTTGACGTATCGATTGAACTGCAACAAGAGTTAGCTTCGTGTAGGTCCGGCGCATCTTGCAGAGCCCACGAGATTCGTGTGTTGGGGCTTTTCTCTCTCTCAACATACATTCTGTTCCATGTACTCCTGGCCATGCCTGAAGGCCGACTGTCCGAACTGTGCCGCGACTTGCGCCGTGGGGTCGTTCATGAACTGTCCATATGCGCCGAAAACGTTCCCACTTGCGCCGCCTTGCTGCTGATAGGGGCTGTTGTAGCCTTGTTGCGATTGCGATTGCGACACGGGAAGAGGGGGCGAGCGCAGCTGGGGAACCGTCGAGACATGCTGGGGTACAGGGTGGTGCAAGGGAGGCGACTGCCCGTACGTTTGTGGACGCTGCATGATGGAAGAAGGAAAGCTTGTGTGAATTTCCGATTATGTCGTGGAGGGATATGGCGAGGGGTTTGTCGGGAAACCAGTAAGCTGCGTTGGAGAGGGCGTTCAGCGTCGAGGGTGTTGGGATGCCTCCCTTCTATGAGTCCACGTCGTCTTTGTCGGGCCACGAGCTGAGGTGGATGTAGCTGGTATGGAAATGTGTTTACTTCCATGTCATCAGCAGGGGCCGAGCTTGGATTACGCACTGTATAGGACATTGCCTTCGTTAGCGGGGGATTACAGTGTGGAAGACTGGCGGATTATCCTCGCTTCCGGATCTTATCGATAGGGTTCTCAAGCGATAGGTGCAACCAGCCCGTACGCCTTAGCGGCCAAGGGTCTACGCCACAGGCCAGCTTTATGGATCATCGAAGAAGTCGCCCCAAACCAACGGTTCTCCCTCCCTCCTTTGTTCTGCCTGTCGTCACTCTCCTCGAAAGCATTCCTTGTCGCAGAAACCCAAGGAATTGAAGCGCATACACAATGCTGGACACGTTCGAGATCCTGACCACCTCCGGTGTGGTGCTCTGGTCCAGGACCTATGCGCCTATCAACCCGTCCGTCATCAATAACTTCATCGCCGATGTCTTTATCGAGGAGAAGGGCGGCGCCGCGTCCAGTCAGTCCGCAGCCAGCAACCCACCATACAAACGCGATCAACACACACTCCGTTATACCTTTGTTAAGGAACTAGGTGTCATTTTTGTGGTATGTTCCTTCGGCACTCAATGCGCACCCCCTCTCACCAGCCATGCATAGCACTGACGGACTTGCGGGCAGGCCGTTTACAGATCCCTCCTCCACCTGTCATGGATTGACAAACTTGTCGACAACATCAAGACGATTTTTGTCGACTTATACGGCGAGCAGTTGACGAAACCTCACACGACGTTGGTCGAATGCCACAAGTTCGACGAGTATTTTGATCAGCAGGTCCGAGAGCTGGAGACGACGGGGTCCAAGGGCGACTCAAACATCTCGGCGGCCGAGTTCGCCAAGGAGGAGAAGACGTTGTCTGGAAACCTTGGCGATGACCCTCCCCTCCCCCCGGGTCTGCATTATAGGGGTAAGCCGAATGCGCTGCCCGCCATAGTATCACGCGATCAATGCTAACCGGCGACCAGGACGCGGTCTGAACGCTGCGAGCGGAACATCGAACGATTCGACGCCCATTGCGACGCCCAGCACCTCGCGGCCCTCGACCCCCAGTACCAGCAGTGTAATAGTAGGAAAGGCCGGCCCCGTAGCGAAGATGTCGCGCCGCGCGCGCAAGGCCGGGAGCTCGGGGCCCGTCTCGTCTGGAGACGAGTCGGCCGGCAGGAGGCCCAAGGTCGCCACGCGGTCATCGACGAAGAAGGGCCGTAAGTGGGACGCGGACGGTATGGCGGACGAGGACGACGACGTTGTTCTAGACTACTCGGCAGCTCCGAAGTCGGCGACGAGCGACTCGGAAGTCGAGCCGGTCGCCCGCTCCTCCGCGGTCGAGCAGGTCGACCACACGACATGGGGGTCCAAGACGGCAAAGGGCCAATTCGTGCTGAAGGATCTCGACGACGAGGTACACAACATCCTGGCCTCGGCGCAGGCCAAGAATAACACCTCGTCCAAGACGGAGGCCTCGGGCGGGCTGATCGGGTCCGGCCTGAGCACCATCGGTGGCCTGTTCCGCAACGTCGTCGGGGGCAAGACGCTCACCAAGGCGGACCTCGACAAGGCTATGAAGGGCATGGAGGAGCACCTCCTCAAGAAGAACGTGGCACGCGAGGCCGCTGTCCGGCTGTGCGAGGGCGTCGAGAAAGAGCTCCTGGGCGTCAAGACGGGCAGCTTCGAGAGCATCAACGCCAAGATCCAGGCCGCCATGGAGGCCTCGCTCACCAAGATGCTCACGCCGACGTCCTCCCTCGACCTCCTGCGAGAGATCGACGCCATCACCGCGCCGCCCGCGACCTCCCTGCGCAGGGCCCGCCCTTATGTCATCTCTATTGTCGGCGTCAACGGCGTCGGTAAGTCCACCAACCTGTCCAAGATCTGCTTCTTCCTCCTGCAGAACAAGTACAAGGTGCTCATCGCCGCCGGCGACACCTTCCGCTCCGGCGCCGTCGAGCAGCTCGCCGTCCACGTTCGCAACCTCAAGGAGCTCACGGTCCGTGAGGGCGGCCACGTCGAGCTGTACCAGAAGGGCTATGGAAAGGACGCCGCCACCGTCGCGCGTGACGCCGTTTCGCACGCCGCCCAAGAGGGCTTCGACGTCGTCCTTATCGACACCGCTGGGCGCAGGCACAACGACCAACGCCTCATGTCTTCCCTGGAGAAGTTTGCCAAGTTTGCTCAACCCGATAAGATCCTAATGGTCGGCGAGGTAAGATCTCTCTCAAGTGTAGAAGAAGAAGAAGGAGAAGAAGAAGAAGAAGAAAGCTAACATGCGCATATCAAAGGCCCTTGTCGGCACCGACTCGGTCGCTCAGGCCCGCAACTTCAACGCCGCCTTCGGCGCCGTCCGCACCCTCGACGGCTTCATCATCTCAAAGTGCGACACGGTCGGCAACATGGTCGGCACCCTCGTCAGCCTCGTCCACGCCACAAACGTCCCGGTGCTCTTCGTCGGCGTCGGTCAGCACTACTCGGACCTGCGCAACTTCTCCGTCAAGTGGGCCGTCGAGAAGCTACTGAGCAGCTCTTGAACGTGGATATGAAAACAAAACAAAAGAACGAAAGTAAGGGATGATCAATTGCAAAACCGACACGTCTTCTTCACGGGCAAAGGGAGGCAGAGGTGAGTCCAGGCGGGACAGCCTTCTCCGGGGCGCGGGTTGTTTCCAACACACACATACCATACCATACCATACCACCTTTCTAATATGACTTTGGATGAAATGAACAAAACAAACCAAAAAGTAGATGCGAGCCTTGTTTCTTCTCCGCGTTGGATACCCCTGATGGGCTGGTCCCATTCTTAAACCACCAATCAGAGCCATCCATCCGCCATTGTTGATCTCTTGGTGTGTGTCTCGTGATTGATAAATCGTGTTCCCCGGTCTCGGTAGACTGGTGACATCTTGTAAGGACTTCGCATTCGTTGCCTCCACAATCACCACATGTCAAGGGGGGCAGACTCAACGTTCCGGGAACTTGGTCGAGGTAATACTCAGATCAGGCGTGCAAATTATTACTATATACGTTCTTGTGTGGTGTAGTAGTAGTAGTGATGTAGCGGGAAGGGGGCAGGCAGTAATAGTGTGTACACGTTAGAGCAAGCGCAGTAGCGAGCGAAAACGTCAAAAAGCAAGAGTCTTCTCATCCTCCCAGAAATATCCTTAGTTCGTCGTCATGTTTTCCTCCGCATTGCTTCGGACCAAATAAACAAAGGAAAATTAATTTTAACCCTCGAGCTTCGGTCCCAAGGAGGACGGACGGTGGCAACTGCAAGTGTCCGTTTGCACCTGAGGGAAAGGCCAAGGGGTAAGATACACCATCTACTCTCGGAAATCCTCTAGCTCGGTGGATGTAGTGTAGTAGTGTAGTAGTAAGTCTTGCAAAAAGGGGGTATCATCATTCTAGTGTGTCCGTTCTTGGGCTCAAGAGCATGCTGCATGAAAAAGATCGACTGCGGCGCGAGTGACAAAGGAAATCCTCCCGCTCGTTGACGCTTCTTCTTAGTCTTCAAAAAAGTCGGTGTCGTCAAAATCGCCTGGGTGAGCGTCCGAGTCGTATGCGCTGGACCGCATCATCGGGGGCGTCATGGGTTGTTGGGAGCGACTCGATGGGCGACGGCCAGGCGGGCTCTTCAGGGGCATAGGCTCGGATGGCACATCGGTGAACGACGGTCCCCGGGCTCTGTTCTGAAGCTGCTGAGCCGTGTACCGACGGCCGGTAGTCTGGAAGGCAGTCGGCTGGGGTTCCTCCGTGCTTGCCGGAGGGGTCTGGCGGAAGCCAGAGGCCGGGGGCGTCATCAAACCATTAGCGTTGTTGCTGAATGATGCCGAGGCATTCGACCGGGAAGGGGTGTGATTGCTGGTCAAGGCAGACCGTGACGTTGAAGGTCGGGGTGTTCGTCCGCCTGACGAGAAGATGGGCTGTTGGGACTTTCGCCAGTTGCCCCATGCTGCAGCCAGAGGGCCAACAGCTTGAGCGACGCGAGGCGAGGCGGCCTCGCGGAGAGACTGGGCAATGTTGGGCAGGTTAATGGCCGATCCACCATTCATCGCGCGCTCGCGCTCTTGCTCCTCCATTTGAAGGTTAGCCTTGAGGCGAATGGCGGCATCCTTGACAGCCTCTCTGTCAAAGTCCTGAGCGGACACGGCAAGGATGATGTCTTGCAGGTCGCCGTGTCTCACGGCAAGAAGCTCACGCAACCAGGTGATCTCGTCATCGCGCTTGGAAATCTTCGTCGGCGCTTCGGGGTCGAGCTTGTCGACGGTGGACTCGAGCTCTTCAATGCGCTGCTCGCGAGCCTGTAACTGCTCTTGCAGGACCATGATGGACTCCCGCAGGGCCTGGGGCGAGATCTTCTCGGGAAGGTCCATGGCCTTGGGTACGGCGGCGGCAACGGTGGCGGCGGCCTTGGGTTGGAAGGTCGCAACGGATTGCGCAGGTGGCTCGACACCGGCAGACTTGGCAGCTTGAGCGGCGGCGCGGGCAGCCTCCTTGGCGATCTCAAGCTTCTCCTCCAGGTGGGCGACACGGTCTTGCAGGTGTTCGGTCTTGGATGTCGAAAGGCTGAGACGCTCGAGAAGGTGCTGCTCGGTCTTCTGGCCATCCTCGACGGCGTTGCTGAGCTGGCGCTCCCAACGGGTCTGGAAGTCCTCAAGCTCGTTCTGGTGCTTGCGCTTCAGCTCCTCGATAGCTTCGGCCTTGCTGGTCTGAGCTTCCTCCATCATCATTTCAGACTGAGCCTTGGCAGTTTCAACGTCCATGTTGGCCTGGTCGAACTCGACTCTGATCTTGACGATTTGTTCCTCGAGTTCCTCGCGAACAACGTTGACGTGGTGATTGGCTTCGTCGATCTCGCGCTGCATAGCGGCGCGCGTTCGCTGGACCTCGTTGATACCGGACTCTCTGGCCTCCTTGAATTCGCTCTGGTAGCGCATGGCAGACTGGTGGAGTTTGTGGTTCTCAGTCTTCATCTCGCCGAGAAGGGTCTCGAGACGCTTGCACTCGTTGACAGCACGCATTCCCTGGCGCTCGCCGTTCTCCAGTCGCTCGATCTCGGTCTCCAGACGCTCACGTGTGCGGGCCTCGGCTTGGAGCTTGGCGTCCAGGACCTCTTGACGTGCAAGCAGTGCCTGCTCGCGTTTGGTACGGCGGGCATTCTCCTCTGTGATGTCGCGAGCAGCCTGAGCCATGTCTTCCTGGAGAGAGACAAACTTTGCGCGCCAGCTTTCTCGGATACGCTCGTTCTCTTGAAGCTGGGCTCCAAGGGAAGCGAGGAACTTCTGCAACTCCTTGTTGTCATCAAGAGCCCCATTGTAGTCGATTTGCAGTCGGCGGGCGGTCTCAACAGCGCGCTCCGCTTCGGATCGCCAGCGGGTGGCTTGTTGATTGGCAGTACGCAGGTCGTCATCCATTATGTTGATCTTGTTGGTGAGCTCAGTCTGGGCCTGCGTCGCATTGGTCTGCGAGGCCTCCATAAGAGCCATACGCATGGTATGCTTGGAAGCGGCCTGCTCGAGGGCCTTGATCTTGTGGTTTTGCTCATCGACCTCCTCTCTCAGACGGTTCTCCTCTTCGGTGGCAATGCGGAGAAGCCGCTGGACCTCTGAGAGTCTATCTTCGGCTGTACGGCGGCCGTCCAACTCTGTCTGAGCCCTCTCCTCCTGGTTCCTAAGCTTCTCCTCGAGGTCACTAATGCGATTGTCGAAGATACTTCGGTTCATGATTTCGACCTCGACGCGGGTCTCGGCAGCCTGCAGCTTTCTCTCCAGCTCTGCCGCCAGATCTTCGGCAGCACGACGATCAGTGACCTCCTTCTCAGTCTGGTTTCGCTCAACGTAAAGGCGTTCCTCAAGATCGATGATCTTGGCCTGGAGCTCACTCAGCTTGTTATTGACGGCCTCGTCGTTGCCGCGATCAGTAGCGGCCTGCTGGGATGGCGTCGGCATACGTTTCTCAACAGCCTCCTCCACAATATTGCGCAGATCCTCACCGCGGAAGTCAAGACGCATAGAGGCGCCAAACTGCTCCCTCATCTCCTCCAAAGCCTTTAGGACGGCAGCGGTGGAGGCGTCGTCGGGGGCGGCAGGTGCAGCAACTGGGGCAACGCTTCGCTGCTGTACCGCAAAGGCGTCGAGGACGGCCGCGCGGATCTGCTCCATGCGTTTGTCACGACGCGGGCTCATCGAACGGCGAGGCACAGGTTCCTCATCCTCGTCGTCGGCATCGCTGTGCTGGATATCTGCAGAGACGCTGCGACGGACGGAAGAGGAAGCTCTCCTGGAACCGCCCCGGAGCGACTGCTTAATGGAAAGAAGAGCCTTCTCCAAGGGGCCGAGGCGGGCGGAGAGCAGATCGCCGACGGCTTCATTGACACGGCCGTCGAAGAATTGGACACGCTGCTCCAGCTTGGCCTGTTCCTCAGCAGTGAAAGCTTCCTCCCAGTCGCTGTGCGCGACGCTCTCTTCCCCGTTCAAATGTGTGATGGGAGCATCGAATGACTGCATGCTCGTAGGAGGATCGACGAAAGGATCCTCGATTTCCGTACTGGGCATCGCCGAGTTGTCGGTAGGGAGGTCACGATATTGCCGGATGGGACTGGACGTCCTGCTGCGGTATTTACTGCCGGCTTGCATCTTATAGGGCGACAGGTTGGTAACGCCAGCGACATGGATTTGTCTCTGGGGACTAGGCTGGCGCCAGTTGGTAGCTTCGGTAGTGACCTTGTTCGCGCCGAAAGTCGGGTCATTATGTTTGAGGTGATCCATGATGGCATCGATCTCCTCAAAAGTTGGCTCGTGATGCTCATCGTCGGCCTTGTCCGCGGTTTGGTCGTCAAAGGAGAAGCCGTGAGCTTGGGGCTCATCGACATGCTCTTCGGCTTCGGAGACGACGTATTCCTCAGGAATCTCTCCTTCTTCAAGCTCCTCCTCAACTTGGCGAGCAGGCGAGGGAGAAGCCGCGAAGCGAGACGCAGATAGACCCTTATTTTTCGGCGGGCTGGCGAAGCGAGAAGCGCCCAGTCCCTTGGAGGCACCGAATTTGGGAGGGGTCGGTGCGCGGGGAGATGATTCACGCGAAGGCGACGACTGGGCCGGAGCCTCGGTGCTTGGCAGGACAGGCTCGACAGTGTCTTCTCTGTCGCGGTCGTCCTCTTCGTCCTCCTCGGTCTCGGTCTCGGGCGCAACAGCCCAGCCGCCGCCGGGAACGAATGCCCTAGCGGTGGCAGACAGCGACTTGGTGTGGCCCTTCTTGTAGGTGTCGATACCGAACGGCCGAGCTTCGTTGAAGTTCTGGACGTCGGACTTTGACTCAAATTCGAAAGGCGCCCAGTTCAGTTGCTGTTGATCAGGCGAGGTATCAGAGGGGCTAGTAGCAGTGACAGCCTTGGAATCAGTGGGGTGCTCGGAGGCGGCGGTAGAGGACATTGTGGTGTCTGCAGGCGTGAAAGCTTGCTCATCGCCCGACTTGTGCTCGGAGGCATCCTGCTCTTGCTTTGATGCGAGCTGAAGCGATTGCACTCCGGTGGGCTCAGGCGATGGTTCAGCAAACAGGGGAACGTCATCGCCGTCCCCTCTTGAAGCCTTGGCCCTCTTGATGCGCGACTCATCAATCAGGCGACCGTCTGCGTCATCGGGAAGGTCGTCCTGGGATTCGTCGTTCTTGTTGTCGCTGCTGCTAGGACGAACGATGGGAATGGCCTTGTTCTTTTTGGGAGGTTTAACAACGTCAGAGAGACTCAGATCAATATTGCCGAAAATGGAGCTGGTGCGGTTGCCGACACTTTCGCTGCCTGACACAGGGCTGGTGACAGAGTCCGAAACATTGCCGAAGGGTGTGAAGGTTGGCGCATCCGGTCGGAACTTCGGGCCAGAGGCAGAAAAGCTGAATTCGCTCTGGCCGGGGGAGAAGACAGGGGCGGCAGCATTAATTTTGGAGATGGACTGTGCGCCAAACGAATGTCCTGATGGCGAGGCAACGGACGATGCAAAAGATCCGCCGGCCGCCTGGAAAACAGACGGCTGGAAATTATTGCTGCCACTTCCAAAGGTGAAACTGGACTTGGACTCGTGGCCAGGGTTGAATTTGAATTCGGGGGCCTTGACGTTGAGCTTCGACAGTGACGGCTTGCTGGCATGGCTGGGTCTTCTCGGCATGCCCGAGTTGCTCGAAGCCGATGAGACGTCGTTCCACGGGTTGCTCGTCGTGGAGAAGGAGCGCTGGTGCTGCTGTAAGAGCGTCGTGAGGCTGAAGTCCTGCACAGGCGTACCAAGGTTGCTGGGGTTGGTCTCGATCTCGGCCGCCTCGTCGATCCGGTTAGTGTCAACGTCATGCCATCCGGCCAAGCTATCGCCACGAGCCCGCATCTCGTCGTGGTGAGAAAAGAAGTTCTGCGACAGCGAGTGGCCACGGCTGTGGGGCCGTGGGTGGTGGAGAACAGGGCCGTCGCCAGGTTGCTGGATAAATTGCTGTTGCAGTTGCGGGTGTGGCTGGAACTGTACGGAGGCTTCCCTCGCATGCGACGGAAGCTGTTGTTGAGAGAAACCCGCAAGCTGTTGCGCAGCGGCTTCCTCGTTGTGTGGGCTGTAATCCTCGTGCTCCAGCTCGTTGCGCATCTGTTCTTCCAGGTGGTATTCGGCCTCGTCGATCTCGGCCTGGAGGTCATCGTCGTTAACCTGCGAGGCCTCCAACGGCTTCGCGGGGGTGTGCTCTTCTTCTGCCTCCTCCTCGTCCTCTCGCACCTCCTGCAGGCGCGGAGATGCCCGCGCAGGTTGCTGTTGCTGCATGAACTGCTGGTGGGGCATCATGGGGTACTGCAAAGATTGGTGTCGCTGGTGTGCGTTGAATGCAGGGCTGGCAGTCGGTGCGAAGCCCTCAGGAGTAAAGGGCGAAATGGGAGAAAGGATCCCGTTGAGCAGCGAGGGCGAATCAGTTCTGTGCTGCGAAGGCCAGCCCATTGGCGAATGCTGATTTGACATCTGGAAGGGCGAGTGGCCCATGGGGACCGAGATCGACTGTCGGGCATTGTACTTGGCCGGGTGACTGCCAAACCCAGCGGGAGAGACCATACTCGGGCTTGGACCTGCGGAGGAACGGCCGCCAGGCACGAACTGTGTGGGGAAGGGGTATCCTTGCACATGGTTGCTCGAGGCCGAGGACGTAGGCATGGGCGGAGAGAAGGGCAGAGGCGGGTACTGCACAGAGGTCTGCCGGCTAGGTTGTGAGGCCGCAGGGGATATTGACGGCAGTGGTGGGTCGTCGTCGCCGAAGGAGACACCGAGAGCTCGCAATTTAGCTTCGTTAAGCTCGTTCACGTAGTTCTTCCAGGCTGCGGCACGATTAGCACGGTTGTCATCTCCACGTCTGAACCTCGCAGCTTACCATTCAAGTCAGGCAGTGTGACCTTGTAGGTGTGTGCCGCACGCTCTCTAGCAACTTCGTCGAAGTCAGGCCAGGCGTCTCTGCTCTGGGAGTACCCTGTGCGGGCCTGGTACGTGCCCTCCGCCACATCCAGGTCAAAACCGCTGATGTCGTACCCGAGCTCCTGCCATGATCGAAACATGCCTTCAATCTCGGTCTGGTTTAGCGGCTTGGGCGCTTGTCCGGGGCGTCCACGTTCCTCGTCTTTGGGAAGAAGAACCATAATGTTCTTGCCCTTCCAAGGAACCTTTTTCCTCAGCCGCGGTGTCATGCTCGGCTCCTTGATTGAAACCCTTGCTGAGGCACTCCTCATTGGTGTTATGGGAGCTTTGGCGGTCTCGCCGTGTGCAGCACTCGCGCTCCTTCTGGGCGTTGTGGGGATTGCAGGGAGGTCTGGCAGCTCGCCGGCCAAGTCGGCCTTTGGGAGTTCCGGGCTCTCCATAGTTGCGTCTGCGACGTCGTCTCGGGGTTTCGCGTTTTCCGGTTTAAGTGTCTCGACACTGGATCGGGTGCGGGGGTGACGAGGTTCGGTGAGCGATGCACGGGCAAGACGCGGCCGGGCTCTCGGTGTTCGCAGCGACTCCTTATCGTGCCAGACAGCTTCGTCGCCGGATCCTGAGCTGCTCAGTGAAGAGTGCTCGCTTCCGTCGCTGAACCAATGGCGGCTCTCCGATTTTTCGCCCGCTGTGTGTTGGCGAATCCAATCCTCGGTCAGTCGACGTGCAGGTCGTCGAGCACGATTGGCGAGGACTTGAGCTGCGCTGAGGTAGGGCTCGGGCGAATCGTCGTGGTCGAACGAAAGCGCGGGGGGAGGACGGAGAAAGGGGGTGCTGATGGCAATGTGATGGATTGGCGAGTCTTCGGATTGATCGCTGCCAACACTTTGGGGACTGAGAAGTCCCGTGTCTTGGGCCGAGTACGGTGAGCCCCAACTGGCGGTAACGTACCTCTCCTCTTCTTCGACGTTGGGTTGACTCCTCAGAATTTCCCGAGCTCGGTCAGGGAGTCTCGGCGCGGGCAGCGATGGCAGAATGGGGGAGGACCCGAGGTCCTCGCCGTCGGCAACAGTGGAGGTCAAAGAAAGGGCGGGCGACGCGGGCGAGTTGAGCGGTGAACAATGAGGCCCTTTGCCGTCCTGTGCAGGTGCAGCAGGAGGAGAATGGGATTGCTGTTGAGGAGACGTCTTCGAGGGACTCTGTTTCAATTAGGAATGGGGCCCAAGATCAGGGTGGCGTCTGCCGTGGGCTGTCAAGGTAGCACGGGGGGAGGGGGAATGTGAAGCAAGGCGAGGTGAGGTGCGGTGAGGTGAGAGGTAGCTTGACTTACCACGGTGAGATCAGCGCAGACGATGGGACCGTCTGCAGCCAAGTCTCTTGAGATTTCGCGTCGAGGACCCTTTGTTCGCAGCCCTCAAAAAACGGCATGTACAACACGAAGCAGGCCGAGAGAAAGAAAGAAAGAAAACCAGGAACGGGCAGGCTGTCGAAGTTGTTGACAGGAATAAGGGGGTGGGAGGAGAAGCGGCCCGTGTGATTGGGGCCAGCTGTCTGTGTGTCTGTGTGTCTGTGTGTGTGTGTGTATATCTGGCGGGTCGTATTTTTTGGTCGCGACGACGCGTAGGGAATTTTTTTTTTTTCGGGCAGGCGGGCAGTAGGGGGGGCCTATACTCTGTATAACCAGCAGGAATAAGGTATTATTTGCACAGGTGGCCCGATTCAGGGATTAGAGAACGGGGGGGGTGGTTGCAGAAGGGAAACTGGGGGAGGGAAATTATTGACTAAGGAGCGACATGAATGCAAAAAAGACGACAGCTTGCAGGTACCGGACGCATCGGGATCACAGCTCGAGCTAAACGATGATGGTGATCTTGATGACTTGACAGGTCGTCGTCGGTTTTTGGAGACGGAAGACTAGATGGGGGGGGTCGGGGGAAGGAAGAGGAAGAAGAGGTGGAGGAGGACGGAGACTTTGTGTGAGGGAGGTGAAAAGCAGCTGAAGATTGGACCGGGGCCGGACAGAGAGGAACAAGGCGAGACGAGGCACGGGTAGAGATTGAGAGAGGCGTGACACTCAAGGCAACTCAAGGCATTGCATGGCACAGGAAGCTAATGCGAAGGTTTCCTACACTAGTCCGTACTGTTCTTGGAGATGATGGTGTCCAAGCCGTGTGGGTGAAGGAGGAGGACTCGAGGTACCATGCACAGACAAGGAACGGGGGACTTGACGGGCAAGGTACAGGTACGGGTGCAGGTACGGGTGCATAGGCACAGGGCATGGCAACGGAAAGGAACAGGTACGATGTACAGCAGGGAGCCAAGGCACGGCCAGGCGTGGGCTTTGATGCCACTAGTGTACACCGAGAAAGAGAGAAAAAAGCCGAGAAGAAGAAAAGTTGGCACCAAGAGTTTGAAAAGCCTTCCGTCTACGGCCGTCTATAGCAAGCTGCAGCAAAACCTCTCCCAAAAGCATTTGCCAGCCAAGTCGAGTTATCAACTCGATAACCAGCGGCAACCGCGTCGACGGTGCATTCGTCTGCACTGTCGGGTGGGAATGCCGAGGGCGAAGAGCTTCACTCTTCTCCGGGCCGTTTGCGTGGAACCTTTTGGGACCAGTGGCACAACGAGATTGGACGTTTCTGGGGGAGAATGAACAGCGCTCACATGAACCACGACGGAATGTCATTGGGGATTGGCAAGACATACATCGTACATACTGTTATGTATTAGGTATGTAGAGAGAGTCGGGGGTCCCTGCTTTCCAATGGGGTGGACCGGGGCGTGCCAGGGACAGGCTGGCCACTTTGGCCAACTTGCTTGAATGACAGCCTTCCAAACAAGCCACTCGCTGGGCGGCCCTGCTGATGTTGTCTTAATGAGCGTCCCCGCTGCACCACGGGGCCGAGCTATAGCCAATGGGGCAATCTCTCACCTTGCCTGTGCGTGGCAGCATGGTACATTCGGGAGAGAGCAGCTCCCCTCGCAATCGAATGTTCCCCTTAGCAGATTGTACGTAGTAAGCCCCAGAAATCGCTTCCCCCCTACGGATACTCTCGCATCACTTTTGGAGCTCTAGCTGATTTCCGCCCCATGAGGCCGCCCCACCCGCTTGAACTCGTAGACGACATCGTGTTATTTGCCAATGGCTCCATGCTCACCCGGCTCCGTGACGCTCGTGGCCCTGATTACCACGTCCTGTCCCTTGCTGTCGGCCGGCTCGCCTCACACCAAGCTTCTCGAAAGTCCCGTCGTGTCCGCTAGCGGTTGTGTCTTACCCGACGGCGGCATCATGCCCCGCAGAAAAGAAGACAAAAAAGAATAGCTTCAAGTGACTGGTGTCGGTTAACTTTTGACGTTTTGCTGGACCCCATGCACCTTTAACCTTTTCTTTTCTTTTCCCTCCCCTTCCTGCCCGAAACAGCCACCATGGACTGGCAACGGCTGTTCCCGTCCCAGCCGCATCGGTCAGTCGTGAAGACAACCCGAAGGAATTGAGCTTCTTCAAGAGTGACCCTCGACAAAAAAAAAAAAAAAAAACCCCTTGCGCCCTTGCTTGGACCCGGCGATCTGCATGACGGCAAACCCGCCTTCCTGTCGGGATTCCGGGGTCCATCCCTTTCGACGCACGTCTCCCGAGGATCTTCAGACTCGACGTCGACAGGCCATTGAACTCTGACGACGCGCTTGCTGTTGCGACCCAAGAACAGAGGGGGCGGAGGAAGGAGTGCAGGTGTGAAATGAATGCGCCCGCGTCCCATAGTTGCAGCAAGAACTCCCGCATCAGCTTCAACCACCAACAGCCCTCTTCCGGGTCGCAGGCACGAAAACACACGGGGAGGCTTGTCCGAAGTTTGCGCCCCGCCTCCCTCGTCCTGTAGGGACAGCAATGGCTTGTTACTAGACGCGGTCCCATGGCCAGCTAAGATGCGCGGGGAAATCACCATGTTACTAACGGGAGGCGCAAGGAAGCTCGGGGCACAACAAGAAAGAAAGAAAAAAAGAAGAGAACAAAAAAAGCACGGCAACAGCGTTGAACCTGGGTGGTGGTGAGATTGGATATCGCGGCTGATATAGCTGATCAGGGCCATCGGCTTTACCCATCAAGAAGGCGAGATTAAGATATGGAGGAGGGGCACCGGAAAGTGGTTCCTTCATGAAAAGCCCTTTTTTTTATTTCCGCTCCCAGCACCGTTCATGCGTTTACGATCCGTACCTCGTGTAGGGAGGGCCATTTGCTCCGGACTGGGCTGAAACTTCTCTCTGCAATGGTCCTCTCCACGAAGGGGGCAGCTGTTGACAATCTTGCGTACCAACGGCTGTGATCGTGGCGTCTTGTCTCGTCTCATGGGGGTGGGGGGGGGTTCTCACAATGACGTTCTCGCCCTGCAAGGCTCTGGCTCTGACACTTGGTCTTTCGCTGGAGAAAACGAAGGCATTCAGAGACGGTATATAATACAGCCAGACGACGCACGTCTGTTCGATTAACTACACCAGCTCGGGGTTTCGAGCGAAACCCCCAGATTCCACCCGCCCTTGATCTGCTTTCTTCGCTCTGTCATGTCCCAACGCGATATTACTTATACAAAAACAAGGCTCACGCTCGTCGACCGACGACCGGCAGAGTCCCGGATATAACCTCGTGCTTTTTGCCCTCGAAGAACCCCTTTGGAAAGAAAAAGAAAAACAAAACCGTCAAACCCAGGTTTCACCGGGTACAGCTGGATACTCCCAACAAACCTTCCTTCTGGCCCAAACAGAAGCGGCTTGCGTTCACATGGCCATGGCGGCGCCCCTTCCCGTAGACATGCGCCGCATGTTCCCGTGGCCGACATCGCGCTGTGTTTCATACAACGTCAATTAATCTTACCCCCCAGCGCTTCTCCTTCTCCCTCTAATCCGACCTCGCTTCTCTGCTTCATGGAAAAGAGACGACAGCTCACTCATGGGTCACAGAAAATGTCAAAGTCGCCATCCGAGGCCACGAACACCGCGTCACTGAAGCTCTGCTGCGTGGCGGTGCTGATCGCCGCCTTGCATTCATCTGTACCCGTCATCGTCAGCGTGCTGCTTCTCATCCACTGCGACCGGAGACCACCTCTATCTCTTCTCTCCGGCCTCTTCACTAATGAGAGGGGTTTCGATGAGGGGGGGGGGGGGAAGGGAAAGGACACCAGCCGCGGGGGGCTGGACGGAGGCCAACTTACTGGACTGCTTGTCACATTCCGACACCGAAAACTTTTGGGACCCGTTGTTGGCGACGTCGGCGCACTTGTTCTTCTGGTTGTCGCACGCTCTGTTCGCCGCTGTCGCGAAGTCGGGCTGGTGGTCCGCGGCATCAGTATCCTAGTCCTCTCGCGCCCCGTGCAGCTAGAACCCGGCCAAGGTCATCACACTTACAAAGGTGTCGCCATCGACCTCAAACGGTCGTTCAGAGTTACTCGACTTTGTGATCTGTTCGCGTGCGCCGAAGATAAGTCAGCCAAAACGTCGTCTCTTCATCTTGATGCCGCATTTGGTCGTGCTTGTTCGGACTGAAACCGTGCGCCGCCCTCCCCCGAGGCCGCCGCATCGGGTATCACACCCAGAAGTCCCAGCCCGTCGATATCACCAGCCGCCAGAGAAAGAAAAAATAAAAAGGCGGAACAAGGTCTTGCTTGGGGGGCAACACAGGATCACGTACCGCGGGCGCCTTCACGCCTCCAAGGTTGCCGTCAAACGGCTGCAAGTTCTGTGAGTCCTGCCGCGGCAGCAGTCCCATCTTCCAGCCCATACGCATCTCCTCGCCAATGTCGTACGCCATCACGCCCGCGGAGGCGACGGCGACCGCCGAGAGGCCTCCGATCAATGTCAACGGCCGCATCGCTGATTATGCTTTTTCTTTTCTTCAATTACTGCTGATGCGTGCTTCCTCCTCTGCTGCCGCCGCGTTGACGTCGTCGGAAATCCTCGGCGGATTGGTCGTTTCGGGTTTGATTCGTCCCGTCCTCGTTTTGCTCAAGTTCGTACTCGTGATCGTGACAATGGACCTCCTCAGTAAGACCTCCAGGGTTCTTTTTCTTTACTTTGCAAGGGGCAGAGACAGCTCCTTCACCGGCGGCTCATCAGAAAGAAAAAAGGGGAATATGAAAGAGCGTCCGGGGACCGTGGCTCAACCTCGTCGATTGCGTGTATGGTGGTGGCGGGATCGATTCGTGGACGCCGCGTGGAATCTAAAAGGAACGGTCCGCGCCAGGGCTGAAAGGGAAAGAGGAGAGAACGACGAGTATGAGCAGAATCAAAAGTCAAATTTCGGTCCCTTGCACGACTGGCGAACGGATGGCCGACGCGGCCGGGGCAAATAAAACGACGCCGAGAGGGAAGGGGGATAAATACGGTTGGTTGGCTCTCGCAGAAGGGAGCGTACCTGAAACGCCAGAAGAAGCACTGTCCAAACAAAAACGCAAACAAAGCCCACCCAAAGGGCCGCGCCAAAATGTGACAGCACCCCTAGCCGTACACCCCCGAAACATCACTGAGACGGTTACGTCCATAACCATAACCGCAGACGGGCTCAGCCTTGCACCCGCTGCCCATGATGGCATGCACCCACGTGTCGATGCCCAGCCGGAATGGTCGGGCCTAGGTAGAGAGGACGATGCTTCTGCCTACCCAGCTGTTCAGATGACACCCGGATGAGGGGCAGCAATCGTGCTGCTGATAATCGACATAGAGTTTAGGGAAGGGGGGTCTGTCACTGGGGTCTTTCCCTTTTTGTCTTCACTGACAGGCATCACTTGTATCGGTTTAGATGTGGTATGTGCTCTGCTTTTGCCTTTGGCAGAAAACCTCATTTGGCGGTCGTGGTATTAAACTAATATTTAAGGTGCAAGCCATGAAAACCCAGTATGGTGGTATCCTTCTGACTTGCATCGCGTACGTTGTTTGTGTCTCTGCTGCCGTCGGTGCCCTGCCTGGTTGCGGGGTTCGCTCGGAGAGAAGCCACATTGGTCGGGTTTGGTCATCATACTGAAGTCCAACCGATAAAGAAGAGGAATTCCGCATTCTATGTACATGTGTTTTATCCATCAGGCCTTTAACTTCGCGATATGCAATCATGCCTGCCGTAGCAAATTCGGCAGTCCGAAACTCCGTTTGGCTGGCCGAGAGACGGGGAATGCCAGCCGCAATGTTTGATAGAAAAGAGAAATCATGGTGTATGCCCATTGTTGGACGAGACCGGGGGGAATCAACGCTTTCTTCCGCAATACAAACAATCATGACAAGACTCGGGTGGGCGTCATCTTTAGAAGTTTGACGATGCGTTGACTTGGTTCGGGGCGTGGTAGCTCTCGAGAGTCGACTGGAACGGGGTGCGGCCTGCTCCCTGGGCGCTGCCGACCTCGGCCTTGGGCTCGTTGCCGTACTGGTTGTTGTACTCCATGAGACCGTCGTTCTCCTCGGCGTGCTTCTTCTTACCCCAGATTCTCCACGCGACAAAGCCGAGGGCGCCGAGGACAATGGCACCACCAACACCTACCACAACACCAATGACAGTGTTACGAGTCTGGGTGGACATGCCGGAGGAAGAGTCGCCAGAGCTGGCATCGTTCAGGCCCGGGGTGGAGGTGACGGTGGACTCGGATGTGAAGGAGGTGGGCTGACCAGCGGAGTTGGTCGTGGTGATGACGGTCCGGATGGTGGAGGTGACGGGCTGAATGGTGGTGGAATGCTTGGAAGAAGTAGCACTGTCGCCATTGGTCGTGGGCCTGTCGCTGTTGGCAGCCGACGTGGCGCTGGTCTGCAGGGTAGTGGGAGCGGCAGAGTCGACAGGAGTGGTGGTTGCGGGAGCGTTGGCGCTCGTGGTCGGGGCCGGGGCGGCAGAGGTGGTAGTTTCGACAACGACAGTGGTGCTCGTGACGGGTGCAGGCGTTGTTGTTGTGGTCTCTGCGGGAGGGGCGGAAGTAGTTGGGGCGGCGGCACTTGTCGTCTCGGCGCCGCTGATTCCCGTTTGTCTCTTGACGACCTCATCGCGGGGCTCAGCTCTGAAGTCGAACCATGATGCCTGGGCAACAGAGGCGGCGGTGAGAAGCGGGAGCACGCTCGTAGGACGCATGGTGAATGACGGACGGGTACGGTGGGTGACGACGGTAGGGGAAAGTGGGTGCTGTCGTCGGGGAGGGACGAATACTTGTATAAAATATGCGCAGCCGAGGTTTCTCCCTCCTGTTCGTCAGATAAGGCGGCGAGTCGTCGGTGTGTGTGCCGAAAACCTAATTGATTGGTATGTGTTTCGGAGACGGGTGTGGCAAAGCAAGGCGAGTCGGTTCGTCTGGAATTTGCGGAAAGTTCTTTTCCTCGAGGTGGGCGGTGCCCGAGTGGGTACCAGATAGGAGGAGAACGGCGCGAGTCAAGAGGGGAAAGCGGGAGCGAGCGGTAGGTAGTTAGGTAAACAGTAGTACCTAGGTTAACAGTGATTTTGTTCTTTTCTTCGGGCAAGGGCGAAGTAAGAATGATGATGCAGAAGGGAAACGAGAGGAAGGAAGCAAGAGTAAGGGTAAGAAAAGGGGGGGGGAGGAAGCGAGCGAATGGATTTTATCAAGTGAAGGGATAATAAGGTAGGTGGTTGTGGTTGTTAGGTGTGGGTGGTGTGGAAACGGGGAGAGACAGAAAAACAAGACTTCTTTCCTCGTATTCAAGACGGGAAGAAGGAGGATTATACACCACCTAGTTGGTACTAGGATGGACTGGACGGTCAGCAGGCGCATGTGCCGGTTGTACCGGTGAAGTATTGTTGCAATTGAGGTACCGACTAGTGTTGGTGCTAGGGAGGTAACCTAGTAGGCTGTGGGGGAGCCTGTTGCACTGTCCCCGCGTGGTGGCTGTTCATGGCTTCTTCGCGGACCACAAGCGTCCATGGACGACGACAAGGCACGCACCAAGCACAACAACAAGGAGACCAGCAGGGGCAGATATCGGTACACTGCATTACGTACGCTGTACGTACAGTATGTACAATGTAGTTTACATACCTACTCTACCTCATGCACGCCATGTTAGAGAACAGGAAGCTGGGTTGGGCAAGGGAGGAAGAAAATGTGGTGACGGGGTTTTTCGCCTAAGATGCCAGGCTAAAAGTCCCCTGATGTGCTCGCTTGCTTGCTGCGTGATGACGACCTATTGATTGGTCGTGGAGTGGAGACGTTGGCCCGATGAAGTGGCGAAGCTAAGGGAACATGCAATCGTACCGAGGGAGTACAGTACGGATACTCTACCATGCATACTTCGCTGGCTTAGGGTAGTATGACATACCCCAACCACTCCTCCTTTTCTTTCAATTATCCGTAGCACCCCTCTCATTCGAACAAGCCTAACACCGTTTCTGGCACTGGGCACGTACTTGGGTGTCCGATACTTCAAGGAAGGTACTTGGGCAGGTACATACTTCAGTAGGTATGCACAGGTATGCAGGTACCTGAGGAGGCACTTTACTAGGTAGGTATTGCTGCCGACACCGAGAGAGTAGCCGAGAAGCAAGCCCCCCAAACTGTCAGCAACGTCTAGCGGCCAGGCCGTTGGGCAAACGGCCTCTTCTAGCCCTTCTAGCCCAGCAGATGCGCATCATCCACGTATTCCGAGTCGGCTACATTCCCGTTATAGGGCTGGTGCTGTCCTCTTTGTCTCTCATCGGGTGGTTTTTTCCATGCGCGGCAAATGCAGAAAGACCAAGCCTAGATGGGTGGCGTGCCGTCTCTTTGCTTGCTTTCTTCAATAGACGCTCAGGTCCCAAAAATAGCACGCCTCTGTCGGTCTGTTAGTTCATCAGTCCGCCGCTCGCGGTTGTCCTCTTGTCCGCAGAGCCGGACTGGACATAATGCATCATGGTACCTGCGGTCAAGTAGTTAGGTAGGTCGGTAGGTAGGTAGCAGGTGTAGGTACCTTACAATGTAGCTGAACTGCAACGTACAAACCATCAGAAACGAGAGCAATGCAATGCCTACCAAGTATCCGTAATGCAGCATGCCATGCCTGCTCTGAGCCGATCTTGTCTCTATTTTCGGCTATTTCTTTTTCATTCAGGGTCTTCCAAGCCCGTCCCCGCCACACACCGTCCCCCCTTACAGTCTTCGTCATTCCTCCCGGCTTCTTTGAGGAATCCGGATTCCGCCGTCGTTTCTGAGGCCGGCATTCGTCGGCTGCTCTCCGCCGTCCCTTTTCCACATTGACAATCCTCCGGTATACTAAGGGTCTTATAGGGGTCCCAGTCCATGACACTGGCCAAGCATAGGTAGCTCGGACGCTGAGCTTCGCCTCGCTGGGTCATTTAGACCTATTCTCCGCGGGGGCCGACGTCATTCCTGCACTCGAGCGTTGTCCTTGCTCTGAATAAAAAAAACATGTCCGCAGCATGCAGGGTGATGCTTGCCGACAACAGTCACCGTGTGTAGACAGTGCGTGTGTGCACTGTAGCCGTGTCGTCTGTGGTGCGACCGGCTTCAGCATCTCCAAGGGGGGAACTTGATCCGCCAAATATTCGTCGGCTCTCGGAAACGCCCTCCAGTGTGATACGCGTGCGCCCGCGAATTTCCAGATGAACCTCCCAAAGACGAGCTGATGCGAAATGAAAACACTGGATCGAGGACCGCGTTTCGTCCCGTCCAAATTCCATCCACCAACCAGGGCACCCACGACACCCTTGCGAAAAGCCTCATCTCCTACGACCCTCGTCGTCGTGGGGTCCTCTTCTTCCTACACCCCGGAGACACGGAGAAGCGGCAGCAGCCAGAGGCACGGGTTAGGTTAGCGGTGTTTACAGCAGCACTACCCCCGCGAGCGGACACTTTCTGGACTTCGCAGCCTCTCCATCCCCAACAGAGACGGTGGCTGACCGAGCAACAGACTACGCTCTGAATCGGTCGTCCACCCGAACGTGGACTTGTTGTTTCCTCGCTATACTGCCAGCTGAGCCATCTCCCCGTCCGAGTGTGACAAAATTGGGAAAATCCAGACGCGAGGCTCCTCCTCCTACCGGGCAATGTTCACCGTGTGTTTACTATGTACTCAACACCTACCTAGAGCGGTTAGTTTACACTTAAGGGTAGGCCGCACTGACGCCTAAAATCAATACGGGAACCGATCTCCCGCTTGACAAAACTTAAAGACATCTCCAAATACATCATGATAAACTTTACTTGGTGATTCTCCTTGAAAGGACTTACTTGTCTGGCCAACCCCCACAACCCAAAAGCCACTAATCGACCAGCCGTCGTAGCAATCTTAAAGAATCCTCACTGCGCAACGCCATTGCCTAAACATCGCAAACATGAGTTGCGGAGTATCAGGTTCACTCACCACGTTACACACTTCCTTGCTATTCAACGCTAGGAGAAAAACATTCGACAAAGACGTCTCGATTGTTGTTGATCCCACAAGGGGTACCATCGAGGATGTATATCATCGGACAGATGACGGCCATTTCACAGTGGATGAGACGGGCATCGACCTTCGCGGGAAAGTTGTGATGCCCGGATTTGTCGACGCCCACACGCACGTGTTTTTGCATTCATACGAGTGAGCTATGACGGAATCGGAATACCGCGAGCCTTTCATCTGACTGAAGCTTAGTGAGGCTTCCTCTACCGTCCAGATGCGAGACGAAGGCATCGTGGAGCGAATCGTTCGTGCTACCAATCATCTCCGCGCCGCGCTGCTGTCCGGCTATACCACGTACAGAGACCCGGGTACCGAGGGGATGCGGTCGTTTGACGCGAACCTTCGAGACTGTGTCAACCGAGGGCTTCTTCCGGGCCCCCGCCTGTTCGTCGCCACCGAGTGCCTTGCAAGCACCGGCTCATATGAGGTCCGTCACGAGAACACACTGGCCAAGCTGCCACGCATCTCTGATGCCTGTGATGGACCAGTGGGCGTTCGCCAAGCAGTCCGACGCCGCATGGCCGACGCCGCGGATATCATCAAGTTCTACGCCGATTATCGACGGAGGATGATGCGGTTTCCACCTCCAATCCAGCCACCACACGATGCGATTCCATTCTTGCCCGCCGATCCCAATCCGGCAGTGGTCATGTTCAACCAGGAGGAAATGGACGCCATCGTGCAAGAAGCGAAGCTGGGCGGTTTGCCGGTGGCATGCCACGCTGGCACCGCAAAGGGCGCGATCATGGCCGTCAAGGCAGGAGTCGACACCATTGAGCACTGCAACGAGGCGACCGACGAAGTCTTCCGGGAAATGCGCCGGCACGGGACCATCTTCGTCCCTACCCTGGCGGTGCTTCGGAATTCGCCAGACTTTGCCAACATTAGCAAACGGGTCAAGAGAGCGCACGACCTCGGCGTACGTCTTGCTGCCGGCGGCGATACAGGAGCCTTTCCCCACGGGGAGGGTGCTGTGGAGATGGAGCTTATGATCCGGGCCGGGATTCCCGTGGCGGATGTGTTAGAAGCATGCGTCATTGGCGGCTGGGAGAGCTGCGGCAAGGACAAGAGCGGGTTTTCCTTCGGTTCGATTGAAAAGGGGTACCGAGCCGACATCATTGCCCTGGAGACGGACCCGAGAACGGATCTCGGGGCTTTGCAGAAAGTCGACTTTGTCATGAAGGACGGCAAGGTCTGGAAGAAGGACGGTCGGCCAGTCGGCTTCATTGAGGAGCAGGCGGCTAGGCCGCATCACGAGGAAGAGTCAGACTGGGTTGTTATTTGAATGTCGTCATATGGCACCTATCGGATGCGGTTGGCCAGTTGTCCGTATGCACCAGCTAGCCATCGAGAGCATTCAGGTCACATTCTTGCAGTCATATGACCTTCAATCTTGGACAGATACAGACTGGATACAACCGAGCAGCCTCAGATCACTTATTCCCGTCCTCGGCACCTCTATTTCCTTAACCTTCGGCGCTTACCGAACGGGCATTTCACTGATGCCCCGAGAGCTACAATAGAGATTACTGACGAGTCTTCGATGCTTGCTAGTTACATCGCACGTTCGGGTCCGCCAGATCCAGGCCAACGGCGGAGGAACTCGCCCATTGGCAAATGATCCCACCAGATCCCCGCACTTTTTCCGTGGAGGAGGCCGACAAAGTTTAACGTAACTGTGATCTCATGCTTGCTTGATACCCGGAATGGCTGCATACGCATGGAACAAGCTTTCCAAGCTCACGGGCATCGGACGATCGTCTCGTATGCAAAGCTTGTCACACCCGTTCTTCCGAACATCTTCAGTCGTCCTCAGAGGCGCATAGCACGCTGCTGCACCTTCCCGATCAAGATGAGGGGAAACAAACTTATTGATTGCTGCAAATTTTAAAGGCTGAACTTGCGCTGAAATTGGAGCCAGGGCATCACCTGGATGAATATCATGGTTTTGGAGTTCGCGACTAAGACCCGAGGTTCATCAAAATATATAATGTACTAACGGCATGTCCACTAGCATTCTCTTTCAACAGCCAAGTTACCCATCGGTTGTCATCCAAAATGAGAAAATCACTATTCTCAATCGCCGCGTTGGCTCTCAGTATCTGCTCTGCCTTGTCGACGGGCGCCACCGGAGGACGTCCTCCTACCCTCATCACAGACGCCCACAAGAGAGACCGGCTTCAGGATGTAGTGACCTGGGATGACCACTCGCTCTATGTCCGCGGCGAGCGCGTGATGATCTTTTCCGGAGAGATCCATCCCTTCCGTCTACCCGTCCCGTCCCTCTGGCTGGACCTGTTCCAAAAGGTCAAGGCCCTGGGCCTCAACACTGTCAGCTTCTACGTCGACTGGGCTCTCCTCGAGGGCAAGGCCGGCGACTTCAACGCCGATGGCGTCTTCGACCTCCAGCCGTTCTTTGACGCCGCGACCAAGGCCGGCGTGTATCTCATTGCGCGACCGGGACCGTACATCAACGCCGAGGCCTCTGGTGGCGGGTTTCCCGGGTGGCTAGCGAGGATTCAGGGGAGGCTAAGGACTTCGGATCCCGAATTTCTGTCGGCGACGGACAAGTATGCTCTTACACAAGGACTGATTAGTTGGCTGAACCGTGTGGCTCATCTCTTATACTAGCTACATGGCGAGGATCTGTGGCATCATCGCCAAGGCTCAAATCACCAACGGGGGGCCGGTCATTCTGTTACAGTCGGAGAACGAGTACAGCAACTTTGAGAACGGCAGCAGGAATGACGGGAAGTACTTTCAATACGTCATCGACCAGGCACGCAAAGCCGGGATCGTCATCCCGATCATCAACAACGATGCCAGACCTGCGGGGAACAATGCGCCTGGAACGGGTATAGGAGCCGTGGATATTTATGTATGAGATATTCGCTTCGAGTGACGGTTCACAGCTAACGAGTCTAGGGACACGATTCTTACCCTTTGGGCTTCGATTGCGTGAGCAATCCTGACAGCATTCTAGACCATATAGCATGTCGTACTAACTAGCCATTGATGCGCAGTCAAATCCGAACACATGGCCGGACAACAGACTACCTACGAATTTTCGAGCACTGCATTTACAGCAGAGCTCCATGACTCCGTATTCAATAATAGAGGTATGCTCATTGGACCCATTCAACAATAGTAAGCTCATGTGCTGTAGTTTCAGGGTGGCTCCTTTGACCCATTCGGCGGGCCTGGTTTCGAGAAATGCGCCGCCTTGGTTAACCATGAATTCGAGCGGGTATTTTATAAGAACAACTTCGCAGCCGGCGTCACCATATATAACCTCTATATGGTTGGTGACACCCCTTCTCCAAACACCTTTTGAGCCCACAGCAAACTGATGCTCTCTCAGATTTTTGGCGGCACAAACTGGGGTAACCTGGGCCACCCAGACGGTTACACATCCTATGATTATGGCGCAGTAAGTCCATGATGTGCTAGAGGCATGGCGTCAAGCCGACTAACGCTCGGGAAGGCGATCACAGAGGAACGAGGCATCGGCAGAGAGAAGTTTTCCGAACTGAAACTCGAAGCCCAATTTTTGAAAGTCTCGCCCGCGTATCTGACCGCAACGCCCTACAACTCGACCGTGGGCGTCTATAGCAATGCCACCGGCATTACCGTGACGCCTCTGTTGGGAAACGGCACCGGCTCGTTCTTCGTAGTGCGCCACAGCAACTATTCCAACCTGGCCACGACGGAGTACGCCCTCCGGCTGCCAACGTCCGAGGGGAACATCACGGTTCCTCGGTTCCGCGGGCTGCTCCGGCTCGGACGCCGCGACTCAAAGGTCGTGGTGACCGATTACCGGGTCGGAAACACAACCGTCCTGTACTCGACGGCAGAGATCTTCACGTGGAAAGAGTACAACGACCAGACAGTCCTCGTTGTCTATGGTGGTCCCGATGAGACCCATGAAATGGCGATCAAAACGAACGCGACGCCTACCATTATGGAGGGAACCAGCGTTGACCACCACGATGTCAACGGCACTTTGGTCTTGTCCTGGGCGACCTCACCAGCTCGCCGAGTTGTCCAAGTCGGTCACCTCTTCGTCTACATCCTAGGTAAGTGCAAGCCTGCAAAAATTGCAAGAACGAGAGGCTTTCCCACTGATAACGATAAGATCGTAACTCCGCGTACAACTACTGGGTCACGGACAAACCGGGGGGAGGCAGCCAGCCCTCCTATGGGACGTCGGTCATGAATCCTGACTCGCTAATCATAAACGGCGGCTACCTCGTCAGGTCGGTCTCGACACAAGGTGACACGCTCCGGATTCAAGCAGACCTCAACCGCACCACCGAGCTGGAGATCATCGGCGTCGGTACGGAGGTCGCAAAGCTCGAAGTCAACGGGAAGTCACTGGACCACACGACGAACAATTTGACGAACTGGGTGGCGCGCCCGTCCCTCGTGGACATCCCTTTCACCGTCCCGGACCTGAAGACGCTCAACTGGACTTTCCTCGACTCGCTTCCAGAGATCCGCCCAGGCTACGACGACTCGGCCTGGCCGCTCGCCAACCACATCACCACCAACAACACAGTCGCCAACCTCACGACCCCCGTCTCCCTCTTCGCCTCCGACTACGGCTTCCATGCGGGGACCCTCGTCTACCGGGGCTATTTTACCGCCGCCGGCACCGAAGACACGCTCAACATCACGACCCAGGGTGGCTCCGCCTATGCGAGCTCCCTCTGGCTCAACGACACGTTCCTCGGCTCCTTCGCCAACAGCCACGACGACGTCGCGGAGAACAACAACTCCAACTACACCCTCGCGGGCCTGACGACCGCGGGCGCGACGTACGTCCTCACCGTCCTTGTCGACACGATGGGACTGGAGGAGAACTTTGTCATCGCGGCCGACGCAATGAAGTCCCCGCGCGGCATCATGTCCTACAGCATCACGTCTTCCCCGCCCGGATGCGCGCCGCCGACGAACGTCACGGCGTGGAAGGTGACAGGGAACCTCGGCGGCGAGGACTACGCGGACCGGTTTCGGGGCCCGCTGAACGAGGGTGGGCTATTCTTCGAGCGCCAGGGGTACCACCTCTCCGACCCGCCGGCGACGGCCTTTGCGAAGCAGAGGTCGCCGATGGAGGGCACCGACGGTCCCGGTGTGGCGTTCTATGCCGCGACGCTAGAGCTGAGCCTCCCGGCCTCGGACCTCGACATCCCCCTGGCCTTCGTCCTGGACGATATGGACCCGTCCTCATCCGCCGACGGCGGCGCCTACCGGGCGATACTCTACGTCAACGGGTTCCAGTTCGGCAAGTACATCAGCAACCTCGGCCCGCAGACGAGGTTCCCCGTGCCGGAGGGCGTGCTCCGCTACCAGGGTGCTAACTCGGTCGGGCTGGCCGTCTGGGCCCTCGGCAAAGGCGGGGCGCGGGTGCGGGACTTCCGGCTGGAGGCCGGGGAGGTCGTGACGACAGGGCGGGAGGAGGTGAAGGTCGTCGCCGGGCCGGCATGGAGCCCGAGGGCGGGGGCGTACTAGACGGTGGTCCCTGGAGTGTTTGCTTCCCCCTCCGGCTCATACTCCTAACTGCTACTATTTCAGGGTTGTGCAGGTTTTTAATGTGTTGTTGCAGACTTGAACTGCAAAGCAAAAGGCCGGGACGAGAAAGACTTTTGGTACCGTGGCATCGGGTCGACGGTGAGCCTATAGTCTCGAAGAGCGACGAGGTTTAGAAACCGAAATCATAAAAGACTTCGTAGCTTCAACCCAATGATTCGCATATTGTGTCCAGCGGCACAGACACTCCTACGAGTAAGTTGGGAAGCATTACGACAAAAGTACATCATCTGCTTGCGATGCGTGCACTAGCGGGATGGAGCTTGTGTACCTCTTGGACCTAAAGACGGTTCAAATCGAAGATAGATATCTGTCACTCATACCAACATGTCGAAATGTCGTCAACCGTTACCACCTGCGACGAAAGCTTTCGTCCCGCTGTATTTCTGTGATTATCTCTCTAGCTAAGAGTGTTGCCTTCCGTATGTGTACTTTATACTTGCTAGTAGTACTTGACTCGTACGGGTGTTGCAACTCGGTCAACTGGTTTCAACCCATGAACAAGGTTTGTAAGGTTTGTAGATGCAGACGTTGCTAGTCATTGCATCCGTCCTTGTTCCCGTACCGTCACGTGGAATGGTTATTCCAACAGAAAGTATGTTTTTCTTTCTTTCTTTTTCTCATATATCATCAAAAAACATATCGCTAATGCCGATCAAGTTTTACTTATGGTCGTGATAGGGGGCTCTTTAGGCCGCGTACTAGTCAAGATCACCCTCGTCCGCACGCCTCCACGATCGGGAGGCGGTTTTTGCTATCTGCTCCTCCGCGACGGGCCGCACCCCCCTTTCTGAAGGTGAAGGTGGTGCAGAGAACCACTCCACAGCTTGGCGCACATGGTGCTGCTGGTGCGTCGACCTGCACTCCCACCACCCTGATTGGAGCAGAGTCTCCGGGCTGGGCAAGGCTGTGACTTGTGCGTGGGCTGAACCGGACCGTTGACGCTTGGAAACCACGCAGCTGCAAGTAGTGGCAGACATCGTCAACACCTACTACGCCCATAGCGAGTCGTCGGAGAACACGCGGCTCCGCGAGAAGGACGTCGTGAGCGGAAGCCCGGACGACTCTGCTCAGGGCCGCGGAGTCGACGTCTCGCGACTGGAGGCGTTCGTGATGGAGAGCGAACCCCTGAAAGAACTCAAACGGAAGTTGGAGTTTTTGGGGACGACGCCCATATGGCGTGATCATTCCTCTCGATCCGTGTTCTGGAGGGCCGTGACTTGCATTCAGAACGCCGCCGACCGCTGGAGACGCCGGCAATCCGCAGGTATTTCTCCAGACTCGACGGCAGGGCAGATTCAGTGGCGCTGTGTAAGTTGGAGATCATGCATCCCCCCTTTACTCGAGCGATCAATAATATGAACAAACTTCAAAGCCTGCATGTGGCAGGGTTGTGCTGGACGAATATATCGAGAACAGCCCTGACGCCCTCTCGCGGCTCGAAGAGCTCCTCGGCGGGTATTCGACGTTGAGATGGGAGCAGCGAGCCCACTCCGCACCAGCTCGGCAGCCAGGTAACCCTCAAACTAGAGAGGGTAACGGGCCCAGCGGCTTCCGCCGCTGGATATCCAGCTGGGCGAACCCGCCTCAGCATAATCTGCCCCGTCAACGTGAAGATGCCGGCTCCTCCAACGGCGACGAAGACCCCTAATCCTGTAAGGGTACGGGGCAGCAGCCGGATCGACCGACAAGCAAACGTCACAGCTTCGTCCTGCTGTGCATCCCCTTCATGCGGTGGGGCACCAAAGCCCACCAGCCGGACGTGTGCGCCGTCCGCTCCGACCAAGCCTTCTTCCGCCTCCTGCGCATGTCCCACGTCGCGTACCGGACGCAGCATCCGTGGAGCTGGCTCAAGAGGGTAACGCTCCTCAAGCTTGTAAAGGTAGAGTCACCATCCCGGATTTTAATCACCATTGCCGGTCCTGTTTCTTCACGAATGCGCCAACCCTCAGTTCGACATGTTCCGGAACCAGCTGGTCAATATCTCTCAGCCCCCCTTCCCGCCCATCAGCGCGGACTTCGACCATGAGCCCGCCGAGACCGAGCCTCTGATCGGGGCCAACCTCACGATGCACCTCTTCGAGAACCCAGAGCACGCCGACATCTTCCCCGTGCTCTTCAAGAGAATACCCGGGAAGACAAGGGAGAGACTAGAGGCGTGCCCCGTCAGGGGAAGCTCTGTGGGTTGGGGCGTCCAGTACGTAGAGGCTCTGAACGTGCTTTATGTTTTCCTGTTTGGCTGCCTCGGATTCCTCGTCTGCCTCGGGATATCCGCCGCGTGGACGGTGGTGAAGCACGACATCCAGGGGGGGGTTCGCCATCGGCGGGTTTGTTCTCGCCTTCGTGCTATTTTGTGGTGGTATGCTTCACTCTTATGCTGCTTGATATTTCTCTCTGATTCCAAGTCTGTCTATGGTGCGCTACGGCCGATAGTCGCCGCAGTTGGCAATATTTGGCAAGCACAATCGAGTAAGTATATCTGCAAAGCCACGGGAGCCCCCGCATAGATGCCGTCAGTCAGCCACTTGGTGGCCTCGCTTGCGGCATCCGGGTCGCCTTCCGCGTGGGATACAACCAATAGAAAAGGAAAAGTGGAAGAAAGAAGAAAGACAGAGCAACATAGCCAGTAAACCGAGAGGATTGGGCATTCTGCGAGCACTGCAAAAAATGTTACAGAGCAATCGTCGTTCTAGGGATATATTCGAAGCGGCCTAGAGGGGAAATCCAAAGCCTAGGGTAACACATGACTTGGCAATCCGAAGGGCTGGCTACACAATCACCATACGCAACGCAGTCAGGAATCCTTGGAGGGTGATTCCACCCGCTTCCTCTCGGTCCCCTTCACCCGGATCAGCAGAGCTGTGTTTCAAAGCTAGACGTTCAGGACCGTTATCAACAGCCGAGCTTAGCCACCGCGGACGCTAACAGTGACGGTGAAGTTTTGCGGCTTCACAAAGGTCCAGTTCTTAGTTCCCCAAAAATCTTCGGGCCTTTCCAGCTTAAAGTCAAAGTCGCGAACGAGACGCGGAACCAGCTTGGCTATCTCGAGCATGGAGATGTGCCTCCCGATGCAAGTTCGACTGCCGAGCCCAAACTGGAGGGTGGAGACCGTCAGCCAAGACAAGTGCATCATCTACGTGTTCTGTGGGTTGGTATGGTACTCACCGGAATCCAATGGCGGTTCATGAGCGCGAGCTTGCTCTCGTCTTCGATGAGCCACCTCTCCGGCCGGAACTCATCAGGGTCTTCGAAGATGAGCTCGTTCCTATTCTCCACCCAGCAGTGAATTGACACCTTCTTCTGTGCGTTCCTGTTAGCCACATGATATAACGAGGTCAAAAGGGGAGGGATCATCCTTACTCCCGCTGGGAAAAATCGACCAGCGATAGTAGCACCGCCTTCGGGCACCACCCGCTCAATCGGCACGCCGAACGCCGGGTGGAGTCGCAGGGCCTCCTTAATAACGGCTTGAAGAAAAGGCATGCCCAGGGCCTCGTGGAAAGTGAAATCTTTCTTGTGACATGGCTGGACCGCATCGGCTTCTTCCCGCAGCTTCAAATAGCAGTCGGGCGTCTTCAGCAGATAGTAAAGGATGGCAGACAGGCTGATGCCCGTCGTATCAGAGCCCGCCCTTACGTTGGCAGCGCTACCAGAATATATGTGCATCAATGTGAAGTTTGTAGGGTCCGCCTCGTGCTTCTGGAGGAACTTTTCAAGAAACGACTGCATTGTGCTGCTTTCTTCCTTGTCTGGCTCTCGTGTTGCCGTCTTGGTGTTGGCACGGTACATGTGAATTTGCTGTTCAACAAACCTGTCGACACAAGCAAATCCTGATTTGTCTCCAGAGAGCCATCTTCGAAGAAGGGTCACAGGCACGCAGAGAGATGGGTACATGGCAAGGTGGAAGGAACCATATAGCGCTCCTTCGATGGCAGAGATGATCCCATGGATATCCTCGCCCCGGTCTAGGAAGCCGAATCTGGCCCCATATGTGATCAGGCCGATCACGTCGAATGAATAACACTGGAGCCAGTGGCCAAGGTCGATTGGCAAGCCGCCAACAGAAACCTCTTCTAGACGCTGTTTGAGGACACGAGCGCACTCATCCACATATGGCTCGTAGGATATGAGGACGGTCAGAGAGTACACGTTCTTAAGTTGCCTCCGCAGCTGAGAGTGCACTTTGGGGTTCTCGACGGCGAACATGTTCCAGTCTTGTTCCTTTCGTAGGGCGTATGAACGATACAACGAGCTCTTGACAAATGAGTTTCCCTGGCTGAAAATGATCTTGGGCGCCTCTAGGTCCTTGATACTGTATCTGTCGGGGCCATATCTTACAATAGCGCCTGGGCTTTGAGTCAGAAATAGATCGTACGAGTCTTACAGAACACGGGTCGGTGATGGTTTGGGCTTGTTACCGTGCTTTTTATGGAGTGCTATGAAATCCTGCTCGACATGACCTTGGTGCACTCGCCATACAAACCACGCATCGGTGTAGCGGGCCAGGAACGGCCCTGGAACGGAGCGTAAGGGGGACAAGAAAGGTCGCACAAGGTAGAATGCGCAAATCAGCCCTGTAATAGCGTAGAATAGGGTGTCAAGGCCAGAAAGGCCTGAAAGAGCGGCCGTAAATAAGCCAGAGGATCCCATTTTTGCTTTCCCACTAACTAGACACAAGAATATAAGGTTACTTGGCGGAGTTGAGGAGGAAAACACAAGAGCCACGAGGCGTAGTCGAGGGGCGTGCTTCTTATATGCGGTATATCAATTAGTCGATAAAGTTGACTTCATCTAAACTATCCATACAAACACTCAGACTTTAATAAGTGGAGAACGGCGAACCTGAGTATGATTACTGACTATTCATTCGGCGTTGAGTGGTGTGGACATGTAGAGACGGCGTAACATGACGACGCCGAAATTTCATTCATTAATATACCCCGCAACCCCGGTAGAAACTACCTCACTGGGTGTTCCCTTCCCTCGATTGATCGTCTCTACACAAGGAGCCGCCGGACGCAGATGGAGAAGGTTAGACGGATCGGACACTACCCATATCGCTCATCTCAGTGCCATCGTTGTCGGTTCCGCGCCGCCGGCTCGTCTTATCGGCTATTAGAACATGACTGGCAAGGCAAGTGATGGGTTTTGGCGAATTCTCCCAGGTGAAGACCGCGGCGGCCACCATGAGAGAGCAGGCAATGATCATGAAGATGATCTGGTCTCTGAATGCAATGGCATAGACGCTTTGGACAAGGTGCAGCAGGTTTTCGTTCCAATGAGAAGATGCTGTAGGCGTTTGGTAAAGGACGGCGAGTTGTTCCTTGGGAAGGTGCCTGTTCAAGGCATCGAGACGCTTGTTGAAGAGAGCAGTGCAGACGGCGACGCCAAGGCAGCTGCCGAGAGCACGGGCTTGAGCCAGGGCTCCTTGGGCGACGGCATGGTCCTGGGTGGAGTCGGTCTCCACCCCGGAGAGTATGGTAGCGGAGCCGAAGACAAGACCGACACCGAGTCCGAAAATGGACGTGAACCCGTAGGCAGGAACAAACGAGGAGCCGACGGACGAAACGATGAGCATCAGGCTGATACCAATCAGCTGCGCCACCGAGGCGACAATCATGACAAGAGCGGAGTTGTTGGATCTGGAGCAGATTGCTCCGGCGAGGAATGACCCCAATGCACAGGCGCCCAGCATGGGAAGAAGGTAGAGACTTGATCGGAGGGGTGTTTCTTGCTCGATGACCTGCATGCGCTCCGGAATGATGACAGTCAAAGCCACGTATGGGAGCCCAGTCAAGAAAGTGACAGCCAAACCGCCCATGAAGGGACGCCGCCGAGCCAGTTGGACGGGAAAGACGGGTTCGATGTGAACGCAACCAACGTGGTCAGGATACTGGCAGTATTTGACAAAGAGATAGGTTTCGCTGATTCCGAAAAGAACCCAGTTAACTCCTGAAACGACGAAGCTGGTGATGACGCTAGGGTGGTTCCAGCCGTAGAGAGGAGAGCCGCCGCGCTCGACGGCAAACACAAGGAAGACGGAAGCCGCAAAGAGGGTGATCATGCCGGAAAAGTCGATTTTTTTCAAACCCCTTAAGGAAAATACCGTAAATACACGACGGTCTCTAGGATAACACAACGCAATGCAAAACATGGCGGCAATGCCGAGAGGGATGTTAATGCCAAAGATCCATCTCCAGGTGATCTTGGAGACAATGGCGCCTCCCAGAACTGGACCCAAAAGAAAGGCGACGGCGAGGGTGACTCCGATGAGGGCACCCATGAGGGGCGGGTTGTCGGCGGGACCATGCTCGAGAAGACAGGTCTGGGCGAGGCTATAGAGACCCGAGCCTCCGATGCCCTGGAGAGCGCGGCCGACGATCAACATCGGCATGCTGGTAGCGGCAGCGCACAAGAGGGAGAAGAGCAGGAAGACGGTCCAGCTGTAAAACAAGAGGGTCCGGCGGCCATAGATGTCACTGAACTTGGCGATGCCGACAGCGCAGCCCATGTAGGTGAGAAGATAGGCCAGTAGAACCCAGGGAGCATTGCCGTAATCGTCGAACTCTTCAGAGATAGTGATGAGAGAAGTGGCAATGATGGAGGTGTCCAGAGTAGCGAGGAAAAGGCCCAAGAGCAGACTTGTTGTTTAGCTACCTAGGCATCAGCCAAGGGTGTGGACAAAGTCTTACCTGATGACAATCAAGACCTTACGAATTCGGTTTTCACGCATGGAAACCAAGGAATGCTCGACGGGTTGGGAAGGTAGGTTGGAGGCGGCGAACCCAGCCGTGTCGCCCAACGAAGGGTTCGGGTACGAAAAATGATCAGGTATCTGACGATCGGAGCAGGTCTGAGCGGCCATGGTGGCGGTGGTTTAGAGACCCTGCCAATGACAAGATGACTGACAACGTAGAGATCTCAATCGTGCTTGCGTGGCGGACGATAGCGGTCGAGAGAGGCCGGCTGAAGCCCCTTTGGGACGAGGCTGAAGACGATTGGTTACAGAATCGACGGAGTCAATCAAGATGGGAGGATTCGAGGTAAGGTTGGGAGGTGAACAGGAGGCCAGGGGAGAGGGAGGTAATGTTAACCCAAGCAATAATGTGACTGCTCCTAGAAAGGAAGCGGCAACTCCCAGCCTGGTACTTGCCAGGTGTGACTGCCTTTCTCAAAGAAAAGTTAGGTACTCAGGGAAGGAAGGATGAGGTGGGGTATTTCGGCAACCGAACCGATGTAACTTGAAGATAACTTGAGGAAGGTACCTAGGTGTGTGTGGAGGTAGGGAGGGACCCGGGCAGGCATGAGCAGTTTGTAAAACTTCCCCTTTCGGTGACGATGCAAGGCAAAGAGGTCGAAAACTGAAGACACACACGACCACCACACACGACCACCACGAGAGCAGCAGCCGACTATACATACCCAGCTAAGCAGGTGGATATATCAACCGTTTCCCGGTGCCGTCATCCCAGAGCGACCGACGCCCCCGCGCCTTGCATGCTGCACTTACCCACAAAGCCCAAGACACTGGATTTCATGAGGCGTATTCCATACGGCCTTAATAGCTTTGACGTGAGATTTTCTCTGACAGTTGCACCTTGGGTAGGCGAAGACGTGGACAATGACGGGTGCTGTGCAAGGTGTGACCAATCTCGAGAAAGCATCAAGACCGAAAAGGGAACTCGTCAATCCCGGGGGACAAACAGCACAGTACATCGCAATCGACTCAGTGTAGCATCGACACCCTGCTCAAAGACAAAGGCCGCCTTGGTGGAGGTTCTGTGGAGGAGTAGGGGGGAGGGTTGATGACTGTGCATCTAACCTAGCTGAGATGGAACTTCATTTACCGTCATCATTTAGGGGGACAGGTATCCGTCCCAGTTCCCGTCTCTCAGATAGATACAGGCACAGGACTTGACACGACTCTTCTAGGTACCGTTCCCGTTGTCGTACGACCCCTGAACTCTCCAACGTTTCTGGGCTTCGTAAACAAGCCACTCAGACAAGCCATATGAAGGAACGAAATGGTTTATACTAAGCAACACTGTTTTGCACTGAGTCTCTTGTGCTGGTCCAACGGGAAGCTGACTGGCTATACTTGAACGATGCCGGGATCCGACTGTGGCACCTTGCGCACAACCAGCTCATGTTACAGGAGTAACGCGTACGAGGGAGAAATGAAGGAAGAGCGGCACGAAGACAGCGAACTGTGTACCGGATCTGTGTATACCCGACCAACGATAACGCCTGCAACTTATACACAGTAACCCCCACTTGGGCCATTGTGTTCCCAAATGCCTCGTGGTAGAGGCGCCACGATCCTACCCCCGCCCCAAGTGAAGTTGAAACAAGTCGGCATGGGCACCACCAGCACATTGTCGGCTCTGACGCCTCGACTGACGTTTTCTGCCATCTTGAAAGGGAGTGAAGAAAGAATGTCCGTTGTGTATCTGGAATCCGGGGTTAGGGCCGTAGAACAGACCCTGACTGGCCCCGGGTCGTGTGCGACCTCGCCTCCGACTTCCCTAATCGTCGCTAAAGTTCTGGAAAGCAGGTAGCTTTTGTTTGAGGGGGTTTTCGGGATTCTTTCTGCTTGTGGTTGTCGCTAAAGATAAAAGATGCTAGAATAATACATAATACGGGCCCTTTTTCGCGCCATGCTGATGCGTTCCACGCGAACCAGGGGCGACCTGTCTTCTTGAGTTCCCAGCTGTCGTACGCCAGCCCGTGGAACATGGGCGCGCTCTTCCGGTGGCTCAATCGTGCTACGGAGGACGGTGACTCTACCCTCCCCATGCCCACTTCGAACTCGGCCTTTTTTTTTTTCTTTTTGAGAAGTTTGCTACAAAGACTTGAGTGTTTCGTCAGTCGAGGAATCGCAGCCGTCTTTCAGAGGCATTTCCGCGGACCCTCATTGGCGGAAGCGGTCGAAGCTTGTGTAAGAGGAAGAGATTGTGTGTGAAGTCGGGATGGATCATCTGGTCGACCGAAGTTGCCCGGCCGGATGCAGTCGGGCCTTGGCTATGCCGACAGGCCACAAACACCAGCTTCCCCAAGGCAGTCTCCCCACAGCCCATGGAAGAACCTGCGGAAGCACCTACGGAACGATACAGGTCAAGCTGAAGTGTTTGAAAACGACCAAAAGGTGCCGGGCAAGCTTTCGGCGTTGCTGACAAGAACCATGCACCCCATATGGCGTGTCCCGTCCTACCCAGGTGTCATTGCTACTGTTTGATGGCCAGAGCTGTCTCTATCCTTTCACCACAGGTCAACTGACAGCTCCAATGTCTCAAATAGATCCTGCAGAAAACCACATGGAAACCCCCTTAACAGTGCCTATATGAGACCTCTTATTCAACCTGACTACTGGAGTGCTGCGTCACACGGCCCTGCCAGTGATGATCTTTCAAGAAGACCAGCAAAAGAGACATACGTTGAAGCGATTGTTGCATCGGACACCAGCACAGCCCTGATCTCAAGAAACTCCCTGGATATTCGAAACTCAGCATTTTGCAATGTGCCACTATGTTACTAGCGTTCCTCACAGCCCCCCTCTGACGGGCCACAGTACACCTAATGCTTCCAACCTTATTCAACATGTGACGATCCCACAGAAAGATCAGGCAGATCCGGAAACCTGCCCCATCGTCGTGATCCAAGGTTTGTAACCATCCCTGTCATCCAAAACCAGGTTGTGCAGCCAGCCTCACGAAGCTTTGTTACTGTCCTCTCCTTCCTACGTGGGACAACTACTCTTCTAGACCAATTCATGGGCAGTACAATGCCACGAGGAACCGGATGTACAGAGGACATGGCATTTCCATCTCTCTCTACTGGAGGCAAATTCATGTCATACTGTTAAACAATCCATCGAGTATTCGCCAAGGCACAATTGGTAGCCACAAGCTGTGTCAGTTGTGGGTGGAAATTGCCATAACTGACACTGAACTGGAAGCTAGGCTCTGTGTCTAGGCAACCCACCAGCCATAATGACTGTTCACAACTCTAAAACCAAGGAGATAACTGCCTTTATGCAAAGAATCAGAGTTATTCTTTTTATCTCCACCCCAAAGGACTCAAGACTCCTCTGTTTGCTGTTGACAACCGGTAGAGGGCACCCACAGAGTAGGCTGACTAGTGAGGACATAATTTACATGAGCTTCAGTTGGTGCAATGTGTACTAATTTCCTCTGTGAATAACATGAACCTCGATGGTATTTTAGGAACACTCTCGTTGACTGGACGACTGCAGGCTCAAGTCGGCTGCGCCCTCAGGCCGTTCTATTTCAGGCAAAGAGTGATTGCCATCTTCCCGTCTCCAAGAACGTTAGTAGCTTTGCTCGTCGGTCTTATTGCATGAGGCAGTTGAGCCTCATGGGCCATCCCCCTGCAGAAACACACTCCTAGAGCAGCCAAAGCTGGCAAGGAGCTATGCCATGAATGCTCAAAGGCCCGATACCTTTGAAATTTGATTCTCTTGGTCTTCAAGTGTGACTTGGGTCATTGTCGCCAACCTTCTCGTGTATTAAAGGGCCGCCGTATGCCCACGTTGGCCATCGCATAGCCCACAAGCCCGGCTCATCAAGCTCAGAACCTGATGCTGATTGTCGAAGCAAGGTTCTGTCTGATTCCGTGTTCTCCTGCTGTCCTGCTCCTGTTTACAACTGAAAGAAGCGGGCACACTCACTGGGCAGCTGCTTCGAGCGTCAGCCGTGCAGAATCACAGACTTCACCTTGACTTCACTTCACCTCACCACACCCCAGGACATCAGGGTACCCTCCAACTTTTACCTGCACATATTCTGTGAACTGAAATTCAGTCAAACGGCTCCTACCACTCGCTCCCTCTCCAGCTTTCTAATACTTCTTCAATTCGCTTTCTGCACCTTGGCTTCTTGGTATCTTTCTCTCCTCGCCATACCTATACCAACTTTGCCCACAGAAATCTCATCTCTTGCCCTTGCCCTTATACAAAACTTCAACCCTCTCCGCCAATTCGCTGTTACATCGCCACGCCTCCTTTTTCTGCTTGTCCCCCTTCTTCGAAGACAGCTCGTTGAGGCACAACCCAGCACCAAGTCTCTCCATCACATCGAGGCCGTCAGGATGGAGGACATCGCCATCATCGGCATGGCCTGCCGCTTTCCCGGCAATGCCACCTCCCCTGAAAAGCTGTGGCAGATGATGGTCCAGAAGGAATCCGCGTGGTCTGAGTTTCCCAAGGACCGTCTCAACATAGATGGGTACTATCATCCGAGTGGTGACCGTCAGGGAAGTGTACGTCTTTCATCTCACTCGCCAACTCCATCCATCTGTCTTCTGAGCTGACCTGCTGTCTCTAGATCTCATTCCGAGGCGCCCACTTTATCAAAGACGATATCGCAGCTTTCGACGCGTCTGTAAGTGACCCGTCTCTTTGATCTTGTACCGAGGCCTCATCTAACCCAGATTCATCTAGTTTTTCTCCGTCATGGCCGAGGACGCCAAGGCCATCGACCCTCAACAGCGTTTCCTGCTGGAGGTATCCTACGAGGCACTTGAAAATGGCAAGTGAAAACCCCCGTTCTCTTGAGAAACCCGTTTGTCCTGACCTTGGGTAGCTGGCCTTCGCATGGAAGACCTCAGAGGTAGCCCCACAGCCGTTTATGTCGGCTCCTTTGTGAAGGGTCAGTCAGTCCGATCCGTGCTGTATCCTGATTACTCCTGCTGAGATACGACAGACTACGAGCAGATTTGCCTGCGCGATATGGACTGGCAGCCACAGTATGCTGCCACAGGCACAGGCAACGCCATCATGTCCAACCGCGTGTCCTACACGTACGACTTCAAGGGGCCGAGCATGACGATCGACACCGGCTGCAGTGGAAGCCTCGTGGCAGTCCATCTAGCTGCCCAAGCTCTCAGGGCCGGCGACTGCTCCCTGGTGAGACATTCTGTTACGTTGCATTTCCCTGGTACTAACCTTCATAGGCTCTCGCTGCCGGAGCCGGCCTCATTCTCACGCCCAATACCATGATGCCCATGACGGCACTCAACTTCCTCAGCCCGGACGGCAAGTGCTTTGCCTTTGATGCCCGTGCCAACGGCTACGGCCGTGGCGAGGGGATCGGTTTCGTCGTTCTCAAGAAGCTGTCAGATGCAGTCCGAGACAACGATACCATCCGAGCTGTCATTCGTGGTACCCATGTGAACCAAGATGGCCTGACCACCGGTGAGATGTCCGTATCCAAAGCACACAGCCCGCCGACACTAACGGTTCAATAAGGCATTACCCTTCCTAGCAAGGAAGCCCAGGTAGCCAACATCCGCGCCCTTTACGCCAAACATGATTTGGACATGAAGCAGACGGCCTTCGTCGAGTGCCACGGCACGGGAACCCAGGCTGGCGACTTCCGAGAGCTCAAGGCCATCTCCGAGACACTCGCTGAGGGAAGGACGACGGAGAACCCCGTGTTTGTAGGCTCCGTCAAGACAAACATCGGCCATCTCGAGGGCGCAGCCGGAGTCTCAGGTCTGATCAAGGGTGTGCTCACCACCGAAAAGGGCCGTATTCCGCCAAACATCAACTTTGAGCGGGGAAACCCCGACATTGACTTCCGGAACTGGAAAGTAAAGGTAAGCCATTGGAGACCTTCCGGTTAGCGCGTATATCGCTGACGATGCTGCTAGGTGCCTACGGACCTGACAGAGTGGCCGGTTGATGGTATTCGAAGAGTCAGCGTCAACTGCTTCGGCTTCGGAGGCACCAATGCACACGCCGTTCTCGATGACGCTGCTGTATATCTTGCAGAGCGCGGCATGACAGCCAACCACAACTCGTCCCTCGACAGTACCCAGAGTCGTCAGCCAGGTGCCGTCTCCGAGGCCCATGGCCCGTTCTTGACCCCCAAGCTGTTTGTGTTCTCCTCAAACGAGCGCAAGGGTGTTTCTCGTCTGATGGAGACGCACCTCGGCCACATCACCGGCCTCACGGACATGACAGAGATTGATGCTGACAACTACGCCTACACTCTGGGATGCCGTCGTTCGATAATGGAGTGGAAAAGTTTCGCGGTGGCCAGATCTGTTGCGGATCTCACATCGAAGCTACAATCGAGCGACGAGACGAGCTTCCTCCGGTCTGGCCGCGAGAGCAAGCCAAAGCTCGGCTTCGTTTTCTGTGGTCAGGGGGCTCAATGGGCTCAGATGGGCCTCGAGCTCATGTGTTTCGATGCTTTCAAGAGTAGCATGACGGCGGCCTCCCGCCATCTCAAGACGCTCGGCAGCGAGCTCGACCTTGTCGAAGAGCTCGCGAAGGCCAAGACGGAGTCGCGCATCCAGGATCCCCAGATCTCGCAGCCGGCGACAACCGCGGTCCAAGTAGCGCTCGTCGACTTGCTGCGGGCTTGCAACATCACCCCCAGCAGCGTCGTCGGGCACTCCTCGGGAGAGATCGCGGCCGCATACGCGTCGACCGCCATCACCCGCGAGGCGGCCTGGGCGCTGGCGTACTACCGTGGTCGGAGCGCTTCTCTTCTCTCGACCGTCGCCCCGTATCTCAAGGGTGCAATGTGCGCTGCCAGGATGACCAACGCCGAGGCCCGCCAGTACATCGAGAGCCATGACAAGGACAGCGGCCTCCAGGTCGCGTGTGTCAACAGCCCAAACTCGGTCACTATCTCGGGCAACCGTTGCGATGTTCTCCGGATGCGGGACGAGCTCAAGTCGCGCCAAGTTCTGTGCAAGGTTTTAGATGTCGACGTCGCGTACCACTCAAGGCACATGCGGCTTGTCGAGGGCAGCTACAAAGACTGCATTCAAACGGTTCTCTCCAACGACGCCAGCGAGAACATCCCCTTCTTTTCATCGGTTCGCGGGGAGATGCTACCGCACAGCCTGCTCGACCCGTCGTACTGGGTGCAGAACCTGGTTTCTCCGGTCCAGTTCGTTGCCGCCGTCAAGGCCATGATGACTTCCGACAGCCGACCCGACATTCTGGTTGAGCTGAGCCCCCACGCGACCTTGGAATCGGCGCTCGCAGAGACCATCTCCGAGCTTGGTCCCGGGTCCCAGGCCACCTATCTGTCCCTCATCCGACGCGACAAGGACTCTGCGGTCACTACGCTCCAGACCATTGGCGAGATCTGGGCGCGAGGCCACCCGGTCGACATGCTCAAGGTTTGCTCCAAGTAAGACATCTTTTCTCTTTAACATCTCACCCAAGACCTGGCTAACGTTTTTGTTCCAGGGGCGCCGATGCACAGGCTTACAAGACGCTCGTCAACCTGCCGTCCTATCCCTGGAACCACTCCAAGGTGTTCTGGCATGAGTCCCACACGTGCACCGAGCATCGTTTCCGGAACTTCGGCCGCCAGGACTTGATCGGGTCTCCTTCCCCGGACGCCACCACCTTCGAGCCCCGGTGGAGAGGGTTCTTCCGCATCTCCGAGAACCCCTGGATCCAGGACCACCGCGTCCAGAAGGCCATCGTCTACCCGGCGGCCGGGATGGTCACCATGGCCCTCGAGGCCGCGAGCCAGCTCGCTTGCGGCACGACAGACGTTCTGGGCTTCCATCTCACCGGCCTGCGGATCGAGAGGGCGATGATCATCCCGTCCTCGGCCTACGGTCTCGAGTACTCGCTCAACTTGAAGCAGCTCCCCGCCAAAGCAGAAGCGGATCCGGAATGGGAGTTCACCATCTACTCCAAGCCAGAGGATGGCCCTTGGATTCGTCACGCAGACGGTAGTATCAAAATCCGAAGACAGTCTGAAGCTCTCTTGACCACAAGCGAACATGCACACAGGTACACCCAGATCCAAGGTCTCTGCGACAAGTCGCTCCCGCCTCGGCAGCTGTACGAACTCCTGGACGTTGTCGGTCTCAATTACGGCCCATGCTTCCAGAACGTGGTCTCCATCTCCACCCACGAGAACGCCTGCATCAGCAAGGTCCGCGTCCCTGACACCAAGTCCAAGATGCCTGCCGGCTTCGAGTTCCCCCACGTCATCCACCCCGCGACGCTGGACGCCATGTTCCAGACGCTCTTCGCCATCGACAGTAAGCCCATGGTTCCGTCTTCGATTGAGAGCATTTTCGTCTCTGCACAGATCCCTCACGGCGCCGGCCACGAGTTCACGGGCTTTGCCACGGCTGAGAGACACGGCCTCCGCGGTGCGGTGGGCTCCATCGTCATGGCATCCGACGAAAGCAACTGGGGCAAGCCGTTGGTTGTGGTCGATGGCTTGAAGTTCACTTCCCTGTCGACGCCTTCGATCGATGACGGCGGCTTTATCCCCAATCATGGAAACCTCTGCTCCGAGGTCGTCTGGAGGGAGGACTACACTCGGGCTGTGACCGAAGACTTCTACGACATGCTCTCACTGATGGCGCACAAGTACCCTTCCTTGTCTGTTCTGCAGTGTGGCGGCAGCATGCAGCTTGCTCAAACAATCCTGGACATCCTCCCAGAGGGCGTCGCCCCGAACCTGTCTCGATACACAATCACCGACCCTGACATTCTGGGTGAGGCTCAGAAGGCTTACGAGAAATCACCGGTAGCCACTCTGCTGGAACACCGCAACTGGCCAAATGTCAAAGATCACACTGCTCGATACAACCTTATCATCGTGGCCAGAGATGCGGGCATCGACCTCGGTGAGGCCGGCAACATTCTGCAGCCCGAAGGAGTTATTCTCAACGAGACCACGCCACCAATGACCCCGACCAGCACTGACTCGATGCTCGAGGTCGAGCTCGTATTCGACGATCCTACCACTCTCCAGATGTCTTGTGATGCAGAGCCTGATAACGTCATTCACTGCGATACGTTGGACCAGCACTTTGAGGCCAGTGTTTACGTCGACAAGCCCAAAGCTGCTTCGTCCCCCGGCGTTCTTATAATTATGCCAGATGCGTTTGGTTCCGCCGTGGAGGAACTCGCCAAGTCGCTCAGCGACCTCCTCTTGCAGAGGGACTTCAAAGTGAGCATTGGCACCCTGCACGGATGCGACCCAAAGGGCAAGGCTTGCATTGCCCTTCTCGAAGCCTGCGACAGCTTCGTCTACGGATGGACGGAAGGGCAGTTCCGCTCCTTCCACAGCTTGCAGGAACAGGCCAGCAGCCTCTTGTGGGTGACTCGAGGCGCGAACCGACGTCCCACGAACCCTCGCAACGCTCCCATCATCGCGCTGGCCCGGACGATTCTCTCCGAAGACCCGCAGAAGACCATTGTCACTCTCGACCTGGACGAGAACACTTGCCTCGCCTCGTGCGCTCTGCCCCAGACCGTCGAGTGGGTTCTGGATTCCATGCTGAGCGGATCCGCCGAGGCCGAGTTCGCGGAAGAGGGAGGGCGGCTCTACATACCGAGACTGATGCCCCTGCAGGAGCTGAACAAGATGATTGAGAGCGACTCGAACGTTGAGATTGTTCAACAGCCCATCTTCAATCAACCAATAGCCCAGGCCGAGTATGAAATGACCATATCCCAACCGGGAATCGACAATGACAACTTCCACTTTGTCGAAAGTTCGCAGGCGTCTCAACTTGGCCCCTATGAGGTCGAGATCCAGACCCTTAGTGCCGCCCTGCATCTCAACGACCTGCACACCGCCATGGGACGGACCTCAGGCGACAGACTCGGTCTGGATGTCCTGGGCATCGTCAAAAACATCGGCTCCCAGGTCATAGACTTCCGGCGCGGTGAGCAGGTCCTGGCTCTCGTCCCCGGCGCTTTCAAGACCGTCCATCGCGTCGACCAGGGCTTTGTCAAGCCCGCGCCGCCGCCCGTCGAGTGCTGCCAGTACACTCCCAGCGCCCTCATCGCCGCGTACTACACGCTGTGCACCGTAGGCCGTCTCACGCCGAGGAAGAAAGTGCTCGTCCATGCCGGCGCCAGCTCGTACGGCCAAGCTGCCATTCGTGTGGCCGCTTTCTTTGGCGCCGAGGTTTTTGCGACGGTCATGGGCGAGAACTCAAAGGCCCAGCATGCGACTCTGATCGATGCTCACCGTATTCCAGAGGACCACATCTTCGATGCCACCGGAGAGTCCTTCGTCGCTGATGTCTCGAGATTCGGAAAGGTTGACGTCCTGTACAATCCCACCCAAGAGCACACTGCCGCCAGTTTCAAGTGTGTCAAGCCGTGTAGGTTACTTCCTGTCGTTTCATTCTTTCGTGCAGTTCTGACCATTTCTAGCCGGTTGCGTCGTCCAGCTCGCGGATAGAACTGGGGGAGCTCTCAGCGTCCCCGTCTCCGCCGCGGCATACATCAAACTCGACCTCGGCCTCCTCGTGGAAGAGGACCCCGACCTCGTCAAGGACCTGTTCAGCATAGTGGACCGATTCGCCTTCGACTACCTGCGCGCGAGCTCTAGTCTCCAGTGTCAACCGGTCCATCGGTTCCCCATGTCGGCACTCGAGGACGCATTCAAGCAGCTCGAACGAGATCCGCACCACGGCCTGACGATCGTGGAAGCGAACCAGGACACCCTCGTACACGTGGCCCGGGCGGTGCGTACCAAGTCCCTCGCCGACGCCATCAATCCTGAGGGAACGTACGTCCTCGCCGGCGGCCTCGGCGGTCTGGGAAGGAGCATCACGAAGCTTCTCGCCGACAACGGCGCCAAGAAGCTGGTGTTTCTGTCGCGGTCTGGAGGCGGCGCTGAGGCCAACACCTTCTTCGAGAGTCTATGCGGTGTCGACGCCAAGGCGATTGCGGTGGACATCACCGACCGGAAGGCGCTCGAGGCCCTCGTTCCCGACCTGGGTAAGGTCTCAGGCGTTGTTCAATGTGCGGCCGTCATCAAGGTAGGCCCTGGTCCCATTGTCCGCGAAACTTGTGGACGATGCTGACAAAACAAGCAGGATGCTCTGTTCGAGAAGATGTCGCACGCCGACTGGGTTACCGCCTTCGGCCCCAAGGCCGTGGGCGCCATCAACCTCACGGAAGTGTTCGGACGCGGACCGTCCGCCGCTGCTGGTGACCTGGTCGGCTCCTCCGATCCCCGCGGCCCTTGGTTTCTATTTTTGTCGAGTGCTTCGGGCATAATCGGCAACCGAGGCCAGGCCAACTACGCCGCGGCGAACGCCGTCCAGGACATACTAGCCCGGTCTCTGCCCCGGGCTGTCTCTCTCGACCTCGGTCCCGTCCTCGAGGCGGGCATGCTCGTCGAGGACGAGGAGACGCTCAGCAAGCTCCGGGGCGCCGGGTTCTACGGAATCCGACACCGGGACTTCCTCACGATGGTCGAGCGAGCCATCACAGGCGAGGTCGCCCCGGGTGTCGCCACGCCGGCCCAGATCGTCTCGGGCGTCGGCACCGGCGGCCTGATCCGCCAAAACAATCCTGGCGACCCCTTCTGGTCACGGTCGGCCATGTATTCGTACATGAACACGGTCGACATGCCGGTCGCCTCTCCCGAGGAGGCTACCGGCGGCGGCGGCGTCCCGAGCGAGGCGGACATCAAAAGGATGCTCGCGGTGTGCTCAGGTGCGGAAGCGGCGGCGGCGGTGGTCTGTGCCGGCCTGGTGCAGCTGATGGCTAAAGCGATGACGCTCCTGCCGGAGGAGATTGATCCGGAGCGGGCGCCGAGCGCGTACGGCGTCGACTCCCTTGTAGCTGTTGGCGTTCGGAACTAGATATTCCGCAATGCCGGGGGCGTCGACGTCTCCGTCTTCGAGATCCTAGGGGAGACATCTGTTCGTGGGCTGGCTGACGTGGTCGCCAGCAGAGGTAAATGGTAGAGGGTTGAGGCGCGGATGTGCATGTGTGCGTGATAGAGAGAGAGAGAGAGAGAGAGAGAGATGAGGAGCGAAATGACAACAGCGAAACACGAATTTGAGCAGGCGGAAAAGGATAGAGGAGAGATAGTCTGCTTATGTTTGACTTATAATTCATCGCGTTAGACACTTCATGCGGGTCTTTGCCGTATTGTAGCTGTAATGGTGCCGGTTTTCTGTGGTATGAGTGAGTACCTGGTAGGCAACCCCCGTTTGCATTCCCCTTTTTAGCGGCAAAGGTGCTTCATGAAACGGCGCTGTGATACATCATAGCGATGGGAGGTAGGAGTCGGTAGACTTCTGAGTTCCCTCGTGTGTAGCCCAAGAAGTTTTGTGTTTGAATATCGAGTGGCGAGAACCAGTATATGGACGAGCTATGCTCTAGTGTTAGGCACGTATTGTGGGGAGGAACGGATTGGCTATCGTATGAATGAAACCGCATCTGCCGGCGTAACACGAAGTGGTAGACTCGGTTGTGACCTGAGGCTGCCGGCAAGTATCCGGGTCAACCAGGCATCTTCGGCGAGCCTGAACTGCAATATGGGCTGTGAATCAAGATTATGAGTCAATCTCAGACAAAGTGCCGTCTCCTAGTTCCAGGTACAGAGGACGGAAGCATTATTGGGCCAGGCGGGAATGAGGTTTGGGAAGCCTGACCAGACGAGGTTTCATCGGGGTGTAATAAGCCCAAACGAAGGAACGGTGTGATATGATGTGGTTGAGACGTTGGGCAACAAAGACTGAACATGAAGACAGCGACACACCGAGAAACGACATGGGATTCTCAGAATGCGCCGGACGGCTAGAATGCAAAAGGCAGCTCACTAAGCCAGGAACGGACAAGCGCCCGCCGGTGGGGTAGAATAGACCAGGTAGATACATGCCTAGGTGCGTGGGTGCCCAGTCGCAGTACCAAGGTAGGTAGGTACTTCAGGTAGGAGCTACCTACTCCCTGTCCGCACACCAAATTTGGGTTAATGCCTAGTTGCCACAGTACCACAGTGCTGGGAAGTAGAGTGCGCGCTGCTGCAATTAACGCGTCGCGCAAGGCACGCACTCCCCCCTCAGGGTAGCTGCGATAAGATAAGCACTCGTCCAACAGCGCAATTAATTAATGAATATTCCATTATATTAACTTGGCAGTACCTTGGTCGTTTGTTTGGTACTTACCACCTCCACGATACTGTCTTTATTGAACATGATGTATTAGAACTCGTCGGTTTGCCGACCGAAACCACAGTATTGCAACCCACTGACCCGATCAAGCCTACGGCATCGCCCTCCCTTTCGCCCCGACAATCGAACCTTCGGGGGGAGCCCTCCTTGACTTTCATCTCGACATTTTCGCCACGCTTTCGGTGCTCTGAGACCATCTCCCTCCTTCCGTCTGCGTCGCAACTCGGCCGGTCACGATTTTTAAGCGCGGCGCAGCGATACCGAGGTACTCCCGCTCAGCCAAGGATTCCATACCTATCCAACAGCCTGCTGCGACAGCGTAACCTCAATACCCACCAACGACCAACAGATGTTGCAGCACCGCGCCACTGTCGACTGCAGCTCGCCTCGTTTGGCAACGTGAACACAACGGGGACATACACCGACCGCACCAATACCCTAGCCACCGCCGCAGGCCCACAACTCGTCCACCCGACACCATGGACGACGACTCAGCCAGCACCCTCGCCCGCGATAAGGAGGCTCTCAAGACCCTCGCCGACGAGCTGCTCGAGCTGGAAGGCGACAGAGACCTCAAAAGAGTCATCGTCGAGTCATACGAGACCGCCCCCAACCGAGAATCCTACTACTACGAGAGGAGGGACGCCGTGCGCGACCTCGAAGCCGTCATCAACCAGATCGAGGACAAGAAGCGTCAGAAGCGCCACCTGGAGCAGCGAATTCAGGCAGCCAGGAGCGCCCAACGTCAAGCTACCAGAGACGCTGCCGCCGGCGAAGACGGCAACATGTGGGAGGCACGGAACCGATGGGGCACAGGTACGTGGTTCCTCTCTCTTTTCTTTATTGTGTGATGTGATGCTCCGGATGCCGCCGAATGATTTGATGCGCCTGCATTCGTCAGTCGTCCTGGCCTCGGCCTTTGCCTCAAGGCTCTTCAAGTGAAGTAGCTAGACATACAACAGTCGAGCGACGGACATGTTTGGAAGACAGGTCCTCTCTCTTCCTCTACAGGCTTCTCTCCGCTCGACCCCAAGCTACGCTACGCTCCGTCTAACATCCCATGGTCTGTGTGCAATCCCCCGAGAAGGCCGACGTTTATCTGGCGGGATTCACCTTGGTTCCTACAACTCTGGTCTGGAGTTGTTGCCCCTCGACGAGGTTCTCGGAGTACTGACCATGACGCTCCATGTTTCGAGCTTCACCGCCGAGATCTAGGCCAGGCTGCTACCCCTTGGTTACCGTGCCTGCCATACCACATTGTCTCTACTCCTTCCTGCCTTGCCTGCCTAGGTACCTGCCTTTTCTACCTGGCTTTCACCGGCCCTCCCGAGCGGGAGGAGCTTCTGCCTTCAACCTGGCCCTTAATCCAACTCTCTCTTTTTCTTATAACCTAACCGAATTCAACTTCCTAAACTCCGTTTCAGTATAGTCATCTAGCACGGATTTCACTTGTAATTTCTCATCTACCCTTTCCATCCCGATCTAGCACTCCTTTGGACTCCCCGGCTGATCTCTATCTCATCCGATCATCATAAGACAACCTCGTGTCTTCTGCATTTGCCTAGCTATTTGATCTCATCTGACGATTGACCGCACTCCAACATCATCTCATACATGACCTGTGGCTAACACTGCCCAGCCGCCGTCCCATACAGGGCATCATCAGGCTCTCACAGCTCCGATTTCTCACAAGAAACCTCGCGCATGCCCGACACCATGGCCAACATGACACCGGGCTATCCTGGCCCGGCCAGCAATCATCGAGGGGCGCCCATCTTCGGCCAGTCCGGTCGAATGCCCCCCTCCAACAAGAGACCTTTCGGAACTGCTTCCGACTCTCTCGGCCACTCCAGCCCCGGCCGAAGCAAGTCTCAACGCACTCTTGACGTTTCGAATGATGTTATTGACCTTACTGGGTAAGTAGAATCTTTACACCAGTCTTTGGACTCTGACTCTGGGCGGTTATTGTTGGCTTGGACGTCACTGATTCTTCGAGACTAACAGTCGTCGCAGGGATGATGATGATATCACCACATCGGTCTCACGCTCGAGGCAGAGAGAGGCGATGGCACGAGGCAATAGAACTGCTTCTATGGTGCGTCAACCCATACCCTACGGCTCTGGACCTACCTCGATGGCCTCTCAACCGGCCGCCAATGGCTCTCTTGGTTCTGGGCTATCCAGTGGTCCACCCCACTGGAGCTTCGGCGGCCTTCGAAGCCAATCAAACTCTCCAATGTCGAGTATGGCTTCGACTCCCGGCGCTGACTTCATCCCGCGGATGCCCGGATCTTTCATCGATGATGACAACACCTTCACCTCGTTCACACCCGCCACCCAGGTGTATGGCTCCAACATGTACTCCAATGCGTACTATCCCAACAACCGATCCTCTCTCAGCACCGCCGATGTGATCAGAAGGACCAACAACTTCAACTTCATGGACCTTACGGATGGGTTTGGAAATCCCCTGGATGCTCGCGTTGCCTCAATCATGCAGGATATCAACGATGATCCTCGTAAGTCGAAGGAAGAGGTCGAGGCACTCCTGCGCAATGTACACGCTGGCATGGAAATTCCAGAGGAAGACCGCGAAGGAACGCCCGATGAAATGAAGTATCCCCTCTATGCTCATCAGAGGGTGGCCTTGACCTGGATGAAGCGTCAGGAACAAGGCACTAACAAGGGCGGCATCCTGGCCGACGATATGGGGCTGGGAAAGACAATCTCAGTCTTGTCCCTGATTGTATCAAACAAGTCTACCACACCTGGACGCAAGGTTGGTCTATAGGCCCTGAGGACTTACTTCATATGCTAACCCGCTTCCCAGACGACATTGATTGTGGCGCCTCTCTCCCTGATTCGACAGTGGGAGGATGAAATTAAGAAGAAGATCAAGGCAGAGCACAGATTGTCGGTCTTCGTTTACCACAACACGAAGATCAAGGCTCAAGAGCTGATGAAGTACGACGTCGTCCTGACAACGTACGGAACACTCGTTTCTGACCGAAAGAAGCTGGCGGCCTACAAGAAGAACTTGGGTGCGCGCCCCATGGCCTCCAAGACTGACCCGATCCTAGCCAGCTCGGTCTCTCTCTTCCACCCCGACTACTCACTGTTCTACCGCGTCGTCCTCGACGAGAGCCAGCAAATCAAGAACCACAAAGCACAGGCGGCTTTGTCAGCCGCCGATCTGATGAGTCAGTATCGTTGGTGCCTTTCTGGAACCCCGATGATGAACGGTGTCGATGAGCTGTATTCGCTTTACAGATTTCTGAAGATCAAGCCCTACAGCGAGTGGACCAATTTCCGCAGCGCTTTCGGCGTGCTCTTTGGTAAGAGGGGAGACCCGCAGGCTCAGGCAATGAGAAATTTGCAGGTCCTTCTCAAGGCAACGTTATTGCGTCGCACCAAAACATCGCAGATTGACGGTAAGCCCATCTTGCAGCTCCCCGAGAAGACAGAAGAGGTGGTGTATGCAGAACTGGACGAAGACGAGCGCAAGTTCTACACGGATCTGGAGACCAAGTCTCAGGTTCAGATCAACAAGTACCTCCGAAAGGGCACTCTCGGCAAGCATTACTCCCACGTCTTGGTGTTGCTGCTCCGCCTGCGCCAGACTTGCTGTCATCCGCACTTGTTACTGGAGGCGGATGAGGCTGTCACCGAAGTGGACGACAATATGCTCGACCGCGTCAAGTCCTTGTCTTTGACTGTCGTCCAGCGGCTCACCGAGAAATCCCGCGCGCTCGAGAATGCCGACGCTATGAACCAAGGTTTCGAATGCCCCATCTGTTACGACATGATGCCCGATCCAACCATTCCACTTCCTTGTGGCCATGAACTGTGCGCCGGGTGTCTAAAGCAACACGTCGACAATGCCAGGCGCGAAAACATTAGAAATGGTGAAGACGAAGGCCAGGTCAAGTGTGCCGTCTGCAGGGGTCCATTGAACCCGGCCAACATCATCACCTATGCCGCCTTCAAGAAGGTTCACATGCCGGAAGAGGCCAGCGGAAGCTCCGAGGACGAAGAGTCCGACGGATCCGTGTGGAGCAGTGATGGCGAGGAGGGTGAGGAAGATGATGACGATGCCGATAAGAATGGCAATCTCAAGGGTTTCGTCGTCCCAGACGCCTACGCCTCCATTAGTGATGACGAGGGCGAATCGTCCGCTCTAGAGACAAAGCCCATGACACCCAAGCAGAAGCAAAAGAAGAAGGGGAAGATGAAGGCGGCCGTCTCTCCAAGTAAAGAGTCCAAGAAGAGGCTGAAGAAAATCAAGGGATCCATGTTGCAGTCCCTTCGAAAAGACGCCAAGAAGAACGCCGCGGCCTGGAGAGACTACACCAAGTACCTCAGCCACCATTGGCTCGCCTCGTCAAAGACACGAGCCTGTATGGATCTTCTACGCAAGATCCAGGAAACTGGCGAGAAGACCATCATTTTCTCCCAGTGGACCATGCTTTTGGATCTTTTGCAGGTCGCAATCAAGAAGGAGGGTCTCGGTATCAAGCACTGTCGGTACACTGGAGAAATGTCCATGGCGCAGCGGGATGACACTGCCTTCACCTTCTCAACAGACGCGGACATGAAGGTCATGATGGTGTCTCTGCGTGCCGGAAACGCTGGTCTCAACCTCGTCTCGGCCTCGCGTGTCATCATCATGGATCCTTTCTGGAACCCATACATCGAGATGCAGGCCGTGGATCGAGCCCACCGCATCGGCCAGCAGAAGCCGGTGAAGGTGCACCGCATCCTGACCCAAGAGACGGTGGAGGACCGCATTGTCCAGCTTCAGGAGAAGAAGAGGGCAACGGTCGATGCTGCTTTGGACGAGCGCGAGGGCGCAAAACTGGCTGGTCTTAGCTTGACAGAGCTCCGGTACTTGTTCAACCTCTGAGCGGCGTTCCAATCATAATTCCTTCGATTCGATACTCCGCAACGGTGTTATTGTCCACCAAGCACACTACGATTTACGACAATCTGGGTCTGGTCTCTCCGACCTCTTGGCACCAGATCTTTTCAGTCTCAGGAAGTGGGAGGGACCTTTTTTCTTTTGTTTTTTTGAAAAGAGTACTGGGAAAGGTACTTAGGCTTGCTCAGGATTGGCTTTTGATTCAGTTGCATCACTAGATGGACCAGGGACGGCGGAAAGCGGGGACTCTCACGATACACAAGACGGCTTCACAGTCTCACTGGGGAGGGATGCTAAAGAGTATACCGATCATGCTCTCTCCTATCTCAGCACCCCCTGCTTTTATCTATTTCTTTTTCTTCTTCCTTATCATGAAAACACCGCTGTGGCGTCCCGGGTTCAGGGTCAAGGTCAGTTTTCGGTTTCGGGAAGGCTCTGCAAGTCAAGTGTATGCGGCCTTCGCAGCACGCGATAGTTGTCCACGCATAACTCGGTAGTGGCTAGGTTCTGTAGATATTATCATCAAATCAGCTTCTTGTTCACCAAGAACACGTTTTTTCCCTGCTTGCATTGCAATCACTCAAGACGTGCGCATGAACCCCCGCCGCCCGAAGCACCGGCTTTGGTGATGGGAAGGCGGAAACCAGCAACAGGGGGGGGTAGTGGGCGGTAACCGGGTCATATCACAATGTTCACCTAGGTCCCGAAAGCCCTATAAGGGCCTCGCGCGCTGTCAAACTCGCCAGCAAATGTGCTTTTATTTTATTTTTATTTTGTTTGATTATTGCTTTTGGGGTCCAATGACTCGATTGCCTTTTCGTTGGCATCGCCCGCCGGAGAGACAAGATGACATCCCCTCGATGGCCTGACCCCGAATGCTGCCTTGCCTCCACGTCGGACGCCGAGGTGAAAGGGCCCCGGAGCACGCCCCGAAGAATCACACTAGGAAGACCCCGTTGCGGGCCGTATGTGTGGGTGGGCGGCCCAGGCCATGCGCACGAGGGGGCGGGATCAGGATCGGGCCCCGGGTCCCCGTCGCCTTTCGAAGGGGGTGGGGCCGCTGGGCCGACGCCATGGGAAGGGGAGGACTGCTTCAGCATGCGCTATTGGCAACGGATGGATACTGAGGCGGGATACCTGCCCCTGACTGGTTCGATAATTGTGACTTCTTGATGGTGTCCTTTTTCTTTTTCTTTTTCTTTTCTAGCCAGCGTAGTCGCCCGTGGGAAGATCTCTGGTCGTCGGGGGGCGGTCCGATCATCCTTTCTGGGACGGGGCGGGTGGGTATACGCCGGCGAGGAAGAGGATGCCTATAAGCAGACACGGGATGCAAGGGTCGCTGGTTGGTTCTACGCCGATGCTTCTTCTGCAAGTCGTCGCCGTCTCATGATCGCCTAGATCTCCTTAGACTGTACGACGGCGGCAACGATTTCGCCGACGTGTGGCTGGGTCGCCGACTTGCCGGCGCCCTCGCCGACGGCCGGCCATGCCCAGCGCTTGACGAGCGGCTTGTCGCCCGCGCGCCAGGCGGCGCCGATCTGGAGCGTAAGGCGGCCCTCGTGGTCGTTGCTGAGGACGTCGAAGCGTATCTCGCGCGTCTCCGTGTCCATGTCGCGGATGGCGGTGCCGCGGACGGATTTGCTCCATTCTCCGTGGGCGGGTTCGGAGAGGTTGGCAGGGGTGGCGGGGATGAAGGACATGGCGAAGTCGGTGAGGGCGTGCGCTGCGGCGCTGGCGACGTAGCGCTGGACGGAAGGGAAGTCGGGGTAGGGGTCGCGGGAGGGGGGGTAGGACGCCTGGAGGGAGCTCGAGGCGGGTTCGGCGCTCGTGGGCTCGGCGATGCTGGGGAGGAGCTGGAGCTGGAACTGCGTGGTCGTCAAGGGAAGGAGGAATGTGCGGCCGCGGATCTGGAGACGGGCTGTCGGGGTGAGGGTCAGCTCGACTTGGAAGTCGGCGGGCGAGGTGAGCATGTTGGTAAGCGCTTGCGAGGCGTTGGGACGGTTGGAGGCGCCGCCCGAGGTGTTCTTCAGGTCGGCGGTCGGGAACGGCGGGGTGCTCAGGGTGAACGAGGCCGCGTGGACGCCGGCACGTCGCAGGACGCGAGTGAGATCGCCGGCGAAGCTGGTGACCTGTTCCACCGAGCGGTCGTACAGTATTTTGGCGACGATGGGCCTGAGCAGGTGGTACTGGCTTTGTGTCTGGTTGCGTCGCTGGTGGGGAGGGGTTGGCCGTAGGCGCTGTAGCTCGTTCAGACGATGGGCATGGCTGAGGAGGATATGGAGACCGAGGTGCGTCGCTTCCGCGAGCACGTTGTCTTCGGTAGATGCGCCCACAGCGGGAGCACCGCCGTCGAGCGTCTCAAGCTCGAGCGTAAGGCTTGGACCCGAAGCTGGGTTAAAGGTGATGGAGTCATTGTTTGCGCGTACTCCATAAGAGGCCAGAGAATGCGCTTCCCGGTGCAGCTCATGCCAGAGCTCTTGCGCGAAGATGGTGTTTCGGGCTTCGAGAACACGATCCGGGAGATGAGCCGAATCCGGAACGGAAGATCCGATGGCTAGACGGCCAGTGGTCTCGCCCGATCTGCTCACGGTGATGGAGAGGCGTTGGGAGCCGGCCCCGACTCTGCCGTGCTGCAACAACGCTGTGCCATCGTCCCCCCGTCTCAGGGGTGCTAGGCTGCTATTCCTGAACTCGGGTGAGGCTGGGAGGGTCAGAGACGCCGTTCTACTTGATAGAAGAAAAAAAAAAGAAGAAAAGAAGGAGGAGGGGACACTAACCTTCCGAGAAGCCGAATCTTACACCAAGAGTATGACGTTCCGCCGGCAACCGGCACATGGACCACCCGGCCCGATGCACCGCCAGCACTTGGTCCCAGTACTTGGCTTCGCGCTCCACCTCCTTGCTCAGGTGGCTCGCGGCCTTGTCGGCCGACTCCTTTGTCGTCTGGATATCGAGCAAGGCCCAGCCCAGAGACACGTCGCGGTTGTCCTTGGCGCGGTCGGCGTCTCTTTGCTTCTGCTCTTCGCTGTCTTCTCGTTTTGCAATGCCGAGGGTGCCTATGCCGGTCCAGTCGCGCAAGGCTTGGGAGAGGGTGACACCGGCCTGGGCGGGGCTTTCTTTGGAGAGTAGCAAGGAGATGAAGTCGAGGGTCATGAGGGCGGCGTTTTGCGCGACACTAGGATCCCATCGTCAGTGGTTTGTTCATGAGGTGGAATGGCCGGTAAACCGACTCGATGTTCCTCAGGACCTCCATCCGCGCGGCACCTGCATCGGGTGGCTCTTCGTCGTCGGCGTTGCCATCGCTCATGGCCGTGTCTTCGTCCTTGACTTCTGCGTCGCCGTTTTTCTGGTTCTCGACCTCCTCTTTGAGGCTCTCCTCAGTAACATTCCGGAAGCCGCGTTCCGACTGCACGCGGGCAATGAATTCGCCGAGGCTCTTGGGTTTGCGACCGCCTGTCGGGACGGGGTGGAGGGAGGAGAAGGGCATCGAGCTGCCGGAAGCCATGATGGGCGATTTCTCGGTCGCGCTATCACGCACTGCTGTCGGAAGGTCAGGATTGCCCTGTGTAAAGCGGAGGCAGCATGCCCCAGAAGGAACCGGTTTTGCGTCGCGAAAAGTAGTGAGGCTACTAAAGCAAGGCTGGAGGTGAATGAGAGAAGGAGCTACGGATTGGCTGGAGAGACTGGCACGATCCAAGCTCCACTGCACAAGCAGCCAATCACCATCCGGGTTTGCTCGGTCAGGCTTGAAGCACACCGAGGGGGGCACGGCGAGCTTGACGATTAACACGACGAGAAGGGTAACCAAGTGGTAGTATCGATCGATAGCTTGCCCAGTGAGAGGTTCAAATGAGTTGAACCTGATGTGTACAAGTCTCGACACATGATACATCAGATCCCGTTCGAGTCACAGTTGGGCAATACTACGTAAACAGCGCAGCGCTGGCACGTGCGATGCATCGGCGGCGGAACCGCCAAAAGAGAGGCCGGACCATAACAGCACTTGCCTCGGTGGCATGGTCATATCATATCATGATAGCCCGCCGGGCCAATTTAAAAGAAAAGAGATGTCGGATGACTTGTGACTTGATGTCAGACTGAAAGTCCGTCTACCGTCGCTGGCACCTCGGAGGGACATCCCTGCACCCCTGCAAGAAGCTGGTCCTCCACCGTGTCTCACGAGTCACCAAGTTACTGCGTACTCTTTGGAGGTGGGATTGATACATAGATTGAATGGCGGGAGGGAAAGTCAAATGAGGGATATGTGGGATATGGAGCTCGGCGGAGAGGCATATCGAGATTGGCGCAAGTCTGGGCGTGACAACCAGGGTGGGTTTTGGGTGGAAGCAGCCCAGAATAAGCCCGAGGTGGAAGAGGCCGAACCGACTAGAACCTTGCTGTCGGTGTTGTCTAAACCCCTCACCGGTGACTGGAGACACCGACAGCCCATATTTTTTGTTGTTGTGTGTGTTTGTTTCTCGCTGTTTCTCGAGTACCTAGATGACAGGTGATATTTCCCTCACCAACGGCTCGCGAGTGAGTGGCACGCTGCGAAGGCCGTCTATTATCGGATGTTGGGTTGGAGATATCTGCATGCTTCTGCAACACATCGCACCACGGACGGTGTCGCATATTCGCTGCCCAGTTGAAGACAACCAAACAAAACCCGCCCACTCACCGTAACCGGGCTGGGCCGACCAGTCAGGCCGTCGCATTGGACCTCATTCGGCAACGTGAACGGTTTCCCACAAGCTTCTCTGCGACGCCGGGCCCTGCTGCTAGCACTCAGACGGCACTCGACAGCCGTTACGGCCCTTTTTTTTTTTCTTTTTTTTTCTGCTGGGCTTGGCCGGAGCTCCCCCGCGCCACGATAAGAGCGATAAGAGCTCCCATCCGGTGTCACTCAACCCACGTCACACTCTGTTGAGGGGTGCGGCGGGTGGTGAGGAAGGTGCCCTTTTTTTTTTCCTGCTGTTTTTTTCAAGGTGCAGCGTTGGAAAGTGGCACCAGTAACTGCCCCCCCCCCCCGCCATAAAACAAGTCGCGCTATAATTATCTTGGACGGCCTTTTTCTGCGGCGTGTGTGTGCCCCTCACTGCCTTTGCCTACCGTACCTTGCCCTCCAACGCCAAAAGCCAAAAGCCAAAGCCAAGACCAGGTGTGTCTCGCAGCTTCCCCTCCGAACCTATTCCAAGTTCCTAGTCCAAGCTTCTCCAACCGCTCTGCAGCTCCCAAGCTCTTGGCGCTTGCCTCGTCTCTCCCGACTGGAACTCCATCATCCATCACCTCTCCCTTTCCCTTACTCTCTACCCACCTATCTATATACCCTTGATTACGCGTGCACGACCGGTCGACTCGTACCATTATCCCTTTGAACATATTGCGACCATCCTCCTTGCTAGAAAAACCCTCCTTCCCTCCCTCCCTCCCTCCCTCCTCCTAACAGCCGCCGCGCCGACTGACCCTCCATCAGCAAAAAGGGCCTCCCGTCTCCCGTCTCCCTTCCCCCACTTGACTCCGAGACCCCCGACGACCCGCGAACATCACCTCCCCCCCCCCCCCCCCCCCCCAACCACTATCCTACGCCGCAGCCATGGCTCCCACGGCTGCTAAGAAGAAGATCGCCGTCATGACCTCGGGAGGTGACTCCCCAGGTATGAACGGCGTGGTGCGCGCAGTAGTCCGGACTGCCCTGCACATGGAATGCGAACCCTACTGCATCTACGACGGATACGAGGGCTTGGTAGTGGGCGGCGACCAGATCCGCAAGGCATCGTGGGGGGATGTGCGTAACTACCTCGGACAGGGCGGAACTCTGATCGGAACCCGCCGCTGCATGGCCTTCTACGAACGTCCCGGCCGATTGACCGCCGCCAAGAACATGATCCTCAACGGCATCGACGCCCTCATCATCTGCGGTGGTGACGGCTCCCTGACCGGCGCCGACAAGTTCCGCGCCGAGTGGCCCTCCCTCATCGAGGAGCTCGTCTCCTCCGGCCAGCTCAAGAAGCAGCAAGTCGAACCCTACAGGCACCTCAACATTGTCGGCCTCGTCGGCTCCATCGACAACGACATGTCCGGCACCGATGCCACCATTGGCTGCTACTCCGCCCTTGAGCGTATCTGCGAGATGGTCGACTACATCGAGGCCACCGCCTCTTCCCACTCAAGAGCTTTCGTCATTGAGGTCATGGGACGCCACTGCGGTTGGCTGGCCCTCATGGCCGGCGTCGCCACCGGTGCCGACTTCATCTTCATCCCCGAGAAGCCTAGGGAGGAGAACTGGGAGCAGGAAATGTGCGACATCGTCAAGAGGGTAAGGAGACGGAACCAAGACCGTGCTCTTGTCATGACAAGCTGACAAGCCCCAGCACCGAAGCTTTGGCAAGCGCAAGACCATCGTAATCATCGCCGAGGGTGCCCACGACAGCAACGGCAAGAAGATCACCTCCGAAATGGTCAAGGACCTCCTCGCCGACAAGAACGGGCTTGCTCTGGATACCCGCATCACCACCCTCGGTCACGTTCAGCGAGGCGGCACCGCCGTGGCCTACGACAGAATGCTGGCCACGCTGCAGGGTGTCGAGGCCGTCAAGGCCGTCCTCGAAGCCACCCCCGAGACCGAGACCTGCTTCATCGCCATCACGGAGAACCAGATCTGCCGCAAACCGCTGATGCAGGCCGTCAAGGATACCAAGGAGGTCGCAAAGGCCGTCGACGAGAAGAACTTTGAGAAGGCAATGTCCCTCCGCGACACCGAATTCGCCGAGATGTTCAGCTCTTACATGATGACCACCAACGTCAGAGTGGATGACCACCATCTGCCGGAAAAGGAGGTCCGTAACTGACTCTACGCTTGATTGTCAGCGAAAGCACCAGGCTAACACCTTGACAGAGGATGAAGATTGGTTTCATCAACGTCGGCGCCCCCGCCGGTGGCATGAACGCCGCTGTACGAGCCGGTGTCGCCTACTGCCTCTCGCGCGGCCACGAACCCGTCGCCATCCACAACGGGTTTGCCGGGTTCGCCAGACACCACGGCGACAAGCCCCTCGGCGCGGTGCGACCTTTCGACTGGCTCGAGGTCGACGGCTGGGCCAGCAAGGGAGGATCCGAGATCGGCACCAACCGAGAGCTCCCCTCCGAGTCCGGCATGGAGCTCATCGCCAACCTCATTGAGAAGTACGAGTTCGACGGCCTGTTCCTGGTCGGCGGTTTTGAGGCCTTCCACGCGGTCTCGCAGCTGCGGAAGGCTAGAGAGTTGTACCCTTCGCTGTGCATCCCAATGGTCCTCCTGCCGGCCACGATTTCCAACAACGTCCCCGGATCCGAGTACTCGCTGGGCTCCGACACGTGCTTGAACGAGCTTGTCCAGTACTGCGACAAGATCAAGCAGTCAGCCTCGGCCACCCGCCGTCGTGTGTTCGTCGTCGAGACCCAGGGCGGAAAGTCCGGGTACGTGGCGACGCTGGCCGGCCTCAGTGTCGGCGCGAGCGCCGTCTATACGCCAGAGGAGGGCATGGACCTCGAGATGTTGGCCGCTGACGTCCGCCACCTCCGCGAGGTCTTCGCCAAAGACAAGGGACAGTCGTCGTCCGGTCGGCTGATCCTCATCAACGAGAAGGCGGACGACGTCTTCAACGCCAAGCTCATCGCAGACATCATCCGCAAGGAGGCGCGCGGCCGGTTCGAGTCCCGCGACAGCATCCCCGGCCACGTCCAGCAGGGCGGCGTCCCTTCGCCCATGGACAGGTGTCGCGCCGTCAGGCTAGCTATCAAGTGCATGCAGCACCTCGAGGAGTTCCGGCCCAAGTCGCATAACAGGTGCAAGAGGGACCCCATGAGCGCCTCCGTCATCGGCATCAAGGGTGCCCAGGTCACCTTCACGCCCATCCTGGACCTCGAGGACCACGAGACGGACTGGAAGAACCGCCGGCCCAAGGACGTGCACTGGGCGCACATGGGCGACGTGGTCAACATGCTCTCGGGCAGGCCCCCGCACAACAGGCCGGAGCGAAGCCTCAGCGGCATCAAGGCCAAGGATGTCAAGAGAGGTCTCGATGACTGAGGTGGACACCCTCACCTACACACACATATACACACAAACACAAACACAAACAAACACGCGCGCGTGCGCGTGTGCCAGATGACCGAGCAATCGAGTTCTGATACAGGAGGAATACACAAAAAACACGGGGGACGGATCCGGTGCTACTCTGATTCAGCAAAGGGAGTGTAGGGGAGGGATGGGCGCGTCGGGGTTAGGCTTTGATTACCTAGGGGACCTTTTTTTTTTTTTTTGCCTTTTCGACCAACGAAATTCATTTCTTATCAGACGACAAAGCACGAGTAAACGGGCTCGACCCATTCGGGGCCCTGCCAAGTAGACTGGCCTTTTGTTTCTGCACTTTCTCATCTCGTATGTGTTTCGTGTTGGGCATGGCCTCGCGCGCCTCACGTGAAGGACTTTGCCTGGTCTGATGAGGGCTGTTCCCGACCTGCCCCCCCTTCAGCCTCACGAATCTTCCCATCGTGACAGGACCTGGCCTTGACACGATGACATTGTTAGAAACAAAGACAGTAAGAGAGGTTCAAGAACCCGTCCTGCGACGAGGCCGCCGCCCCCTGCCCCCTGGGCTGTGCGTGTGTGATCCAGGCCGCGACGGGAGGGACCCCCCCGGCGTTGTGGTCGGGGAAGCAAGGCAGCTGGCCGTGTGGCGTATAAGTGCAGTGAGTATATTACGTACGGTAGGTCGTCCACACACACACAGTGAGAGAGAGAGAGAGACAAAGATGTCAAGAGACGGGGTCGACTAATCAGACGAAACCGTCAAAGGGGGTTGGTTGGTTCATCCTCCCCAATGCGCATCGACAAGTTGCCGGGCTGTGGTCCGGAGGGGGGCGCGCCCAGCAACTTTCTCTCTCTCTCTCTCCTCCCCCCTCCCCCTCAACGCGAAGGATTGGTGGGATTTTGACTTTTTGGTTTCCTGGGGGAGTATGGGATGGGATGGGGATTGGCTCTCGGGACGTTGCCGTCGGATCGTCCGTGTGCATACAGATAGCCTATCTTGACCCACGTCCCCCTTTCATTCCCCAACATCCGTTTTACATAGTGTAGTACATTTTGGGCTGCGGCGGTTCGCAGAGAGAGAAGGCTTGCTGACGGGCGATCAGGGAAGGTGCGCCACGTTTTCCAGACGACCAAGTCCACGAAAAAGAAAAGAAAAGGAATATGGGGTGGGGGGGCCGAGGGCCGGGATTGGGGGGAGAACGAGATGGTATGCAAAAGTGCCGATGGCCGCCAGGTTTCTTGCCTTGTCAGACCGGCGGATGCTGCGCTATGCTGATGTAAGAATGTGAGTGTGTGTGTGAGAGAGAGAGAGATGTTGACTGTCATTCGACGGGTGCGCTTGCTGCTGCTGCTGCTGCTGCTCCCCACCCTCCCCTCCTCGCAATCTGCGGCTGACGGGCCTCCCAGACGAGGGCCAAAAGAGCAAACACACCAAGCAAGAGAGCAAGCAGCCACCCCCCCCCCCCCGTCGAGGGCTTCAGAGTCAAGGAGGAGGAGAAGGGGTCCTAAGAGATTGAACACCGGCGGCGGCGTCTCCGCTGCAAGGAGAGGACGCAGACTGCCAGACACGGCCGCGGCTGGAGGATCGAGGTTGAGGCCGTCGACTACTACTAGGTACTCAATGGCCACCTGCTTCTCGGACGATTTCCTTCTGTGCTCGGTTCGTTCCCCGAGGGCCGGACGCCGTGTATCCTTTATGGAAAAAGATCTTCCAGTGGCCCGACCACCTGATTGAGCCGGCGTTGTATTAGGATGGATGTACGATGCAAGTACGGATACGGAGTACTGCGTGTAGGCCTCTCTCTCTACCTGCTGGAAATTGTTCGAGGACCAGCGTGCGCTAGCCCTTGTCAGGGGGTGGGTTTGTGGCGCGCTCAGTAAGCAATCACTGCGAGATGCGTCCAATGTCCCGCTTTATATGCGTATGGTCTCCCTCCCTTCCCACCACCACCTATGTAATGTACCTCGAGGTATGTTGCTGTATGGTGCTGTGGGCTGAGGTTGCAGCGAAGCCCTGGGAACTGGTCCAAGGAGGAAAATACAAGCGAGCAATATCGGAAAGAGAGACAAAAAAGACCTTTCTAGACCATGCCCCCCCTCCCTCCCTTCCCTGGACCCACGAAGTCCCCCTCTCCCCTCTCCCCGTGGCCATGGATCTGGGGGGGTTGGTTCATCTCGCACAATCGCTGGGTTCTCGTGGCAGAAGAACAGGGCTTCCCTGTCGCATCTTTTTACTATCTTTTTTTCTTCTTCTTCTTCTTTTTGCAAGTCGACAAATCCAACTTTGTCATGGGCCGAACCTGAACCATTGGGGCTGACGGGGCCCATCATCATCATTGCCTACAGCAAAAAAAGGTCAGCCGCAAACACTGTGACCGCCAAATGGTTCGACGCCTGGCAGCCCTCTTTGGCTTGGCATAACAGGTTCGGGCGAAGGATTCTTGCTGGATTGTCCAGACAAGCACTCCAAGCCCTACCGGAACGCCACTACCGCCGCCGTTCTAGAGGCTAATCATACGCGACTTCGACTTCGCCTTCTTCTTCATCTTCAAGACCCTTGATCGCGGCAACGCCTTATTTGTCAAATACCTACTCCTCTGGGTGGTGGGCACTGCCTAAGCTTGTCTGCCTGCCCAATGACAGTCGTCCCTGCACCGACCCCCCCTGCAAAGTAATCATACGCGACTTCTGGGGGTCGTTGCTGTGTCAGCAACATGGGTGGTATCCAAAACGGGCTGAACGGGTCATTGGGCCAACGGGAGCCCGGGGGAGCTCCATGGATGTGCAGTTAATTCGCTTTTTGGCTCCCCCCCCCCCCCCAAGGGGCGGCCGGCAGTAGTCCTGCTGCAACGCGAGTGACGGTTGTACCTAGCCGGCCTCGTTGCAACGAGATATCCATGGTCGGGTGGTGTGGTTGGCTACCACCCCGCCGGAGGCTACGTGGACCAAGCCGTGATAAACCCAGCGATCCCCGGGCTCGGGTGTCGTTTAAACTCTCCCATCTCGCTTCTCTGTTACAGTCGACACTTTCCACGACTGTCAGGTCCTGGCCCACACACATCACTGAGCTCCTCTTGCGAGGTCAAGTCGCATTCGCTCGACTTCGAAACCAACCAACCAACCAGGCCGGGCATCCGTGAAGCGTTTGCCCGTCTCTCCTGTCGTTTACCGCCGAATCTCACGCCATGTCTCGTGCCGCAATGCCGGGATTTTCCAAGTATTTCCTGGGCGCGGCCCTCCTTCTGGCATCCCCGGCGACTTGCCTCACGGCGTGGTATACAGCGCTGAGCCCTCATGTGGCCATGCAAGACCTGGAAACAGGCAACATCCTGTACAGTGCTTGTAACAGCAACTCCACGCCCATCTTCCCTACCGACGGTCTCAACGCCTTCCGCATTCAGAGGAAACCTCGAAACGGCACATCGCTGGCCGCCGCCGGATGGTACGATGTCGAGGGAAAGACGACAGTGGTATGTCTGGCAGCGCCAAATGCCGCGTCATGCATGCCGTGACTGACATCCTTTCGCAGGCTTCCCTGTTTTTCCAAGCCGAAGACGGCTCTTTAATAAACGGCTACTACCTCTGCGATTTCGCCTCGGGCCATTACGTCGTCAAGGGCGAGTACACCATCTCCGCGACGGCCGCCGTCACTTCTATTCACAACGAGACGGGCTTGTCGGTCGAACTGCTAGGCGCCGAGGACGGATACCGCGTCTACTTCCACGACGAGCAGAAGAAGGTCAATGCCATGGCATATACGACCAAGACCGACTGGCACCTGGAGGGGCTCGTCTCGCAAGACCCGGTAGGAGGAATGGGCCTGGCCTCGGCGCACTATAGCCAGCAGAACATAACCGTCATCTATGCCAAAGACGCGGAGAACTTTGAAACCGCAAGGTACTTCAAGGACGATACGTGGCGTCTTGGTTCGTTCACCCTACCACTTATCGTAAACACTGCAGATGCTGACTGTCGCGAAGCCACGCTGCCTCGACCCCTCGTCGGTGGCCAGGTGAGCGGGAAAACAAACTCTTCCAGCATCACCCTCGATTCGTCCATCAAACCCAACTTCACCTTGCCCGCTTTCGCAAGCGACCTGACCGGACTAGACGTGATAGTCGATCGGGCCAATGTGCGCAACATCCTCTATCTGGGAACCGACGCGAAGCTGCACCAAGTAACGAACATCGGCGACCAATGGAAGCTGATGCCGGACCAGGAATCACTCCAGTGGCCTGTAGCGGATTCCCCTTATGGTCCTTTTGCGGCGACAAGCAATTACGAGACGAGCGAAGCATGGATATGGTATCCATCCAACGGCAATCTGGTACAGCTTTACCAGAACGCCACTGGTTCGTGGACGCAGGCCACGACGGTGCCCAGCGTCAACACGACGTCAACAGCGTCACAAATCCCGGAAGCAGCGAAACCGGTCGTGCTTTCAACTGGTGCCAAGGCAGGCATCGGCATCGGCATTTCCTTTGCGGTCGTCGCCCTTGCCGGTGTCGGCCTCCTTCTTCTCAAGCGAAGAAGACGGAAACAAGCGGCGGCGGCGGCCGAGGCGGCCCGTCTCAAGGAAGCGGAAGCCACGGCCAACGGGTGGGGCACCTATTCGCCGATGGAGAAGCACGGGTCCGAGGTGTTTGAGGCGGACGCCGCGCCGGCCCCGCAAGAGCTGATGGATACGGTCGAAAGGTTCGAGCTCGTGGGAGAAGGACATTGGAGAGAAATGGACGCGACAGGGCAGAACGGGGCCAGGAGAAGCATCGGAGGCTGGAGAGAGGAGCAGAAAGCAAGAGGGATGCAGGACGAGAAGAAATAAGGTCGTGAACCGGGACCGGGGAGTGAGTAATGACCATAATGACTGAATATGATAATGATCTACCCTTCCATCAGAGCGTGTGAAAGGTTGTACTTCCTTTTGAGCGGTGTATATACATTGCATATCGGTACCCACCCAGTAGGCTGGTGGTTCGGCCGCATTGGGCCCCCATGCTTCGAAAGCCTCGAGTACTCGGCTCCTCTGGTGCTCTAGCGCACGAGTCTAGCAACCCGGCGTGTGGTTGACAACGAAGGCTTGTTATAAGTTTTGGGTTTGACTTGAGCGCCATGATTGTCAAAGTTGGGGTTTCGCTTGGTACCCCTGACTACCTATTGAGCTAGTATTTGTCGCACGTGGGCAAACAAAGGGTGCATTGTACATAGTACGTGAGCGAGTGGTAGGGCCGTTGCCCGGCCTAAGCTGAGGGAGTGAGTGGCATACAGGAGCTATCATTCGTGGCGTGTCAACATCTTCTTCGTAATCGCCGACGAACAGCTGCTCCCTGTAGTGCTGAAGCCACCAAGAAAAGGGAAACATGAACTTTTAAACGAGGTCAACTAGGATGGTGTCTCATGATGGTATGGGATGCCGTTGAATGTCAGACCAGCTCGTGGACGGGCCGGGTGATGGCATGTCTCTCTCCAGGGTCCTCCAGGGTGTCGGGACGGACCAATCAGGGGTGGCTTTCCTAGCACCATCCCATCCCACGAGTCGAAGTGTGCCAGTATGATGGTCAAGGGAATCGAGAGCTGCCGTGTACAGCAGGCTTTCCTCACTTTCTCGGGATGGGCATCTGACTAGCGGACGGGAGAAGTCGTCACCGGGTCGGGCTCTCGACTGATGGGTCGGCCCCGACGATCAGGCTGAGATAGGAGCAGCGATACCCTGGCCTGGTCGGCGAGAACCGAAGCCCAACTGCGGAGACTTGGCGGCAAACACTCGACGACGGCATACTATGGTATAGTGGCTTTTGCTCCGTCAAACGATGGGGTTGAATTGGCGGCGGCTCGGGGTGCATGGGGCAATCTAGTCTCGGAACTTGTTATAGCATCGTAGACGGTTGAGAAACGGGCGGATGCAACACGATGATGGAAAGTGTCGATTTGAACAAGGAAAAACCAGTAAGGAACAGGGCGCAATGTTAGTTAGCCCCCAGGCACCACGGCAGCCGGCAGTTGTCAGGAATCCAGCGTTCGGGTTGGGGGAGTGGGCAATGTTGACCAAAGCGGCGGTTGCTTTGGGTAGTAAGTAGGGGTGGGTTGCTGCAAAATGGCACGATGTGTCGATGCGGTTCCAGTCGTCTCTATTGCTGTCTAAAAGCTGCCTTGGCGTAAAGAAAAGCGCGAGTGCGGATGGAGTGAAGGGGGGCAGAGCCAAAGGGAGGCGATTGTGTGGATCGAGAAGACGGCAGGCGGGACAGGACTGGCTGGGGCGGGATGCAGGATTACGTCAGTGTCTTTTAGGTGATGGAATGGAGAATGTGACGGGGTTGCATGGGGGGGAGAAGAGGGGGCAGAGGGGAGGGGAAGAAGAAAAAAAGGCATCTCCTAACGGGAAAGATGGAAGGAGGAGATGGCAGCCGCTGTCAAGTGTGCTACCTACTTCCTCTTTCCTGCGAGACCCCAAGACTGGGTGGGAAAGAAGGACGTGAGGTGGAAGGAAAAGTTGGACAGTTGCGAATATGCCCCACTCTTTTCGTCGTCTTAGCTCCTTCCCGTCTTTTCCACAATTAGGACAGGACATGTTCCTTGGCCCCCTTGGTTTCACCGGAAGTGCTAAGATCTAAAATCAGGTCTTTGGGGAAGCCGGTCTGCATTTGGTATCGCACTGTCACGAACTTGGAGTGGCATTGCAAGACAAGATGGAACGCTGGCCGAAGCAACAGGGTCAGCCTGTTCTGTTCGTCTGTGGTAGAGAAGGCAGAGCGGAGCGCGTACATGGAAGAGGAAAAAAGTGCAAGAACACTGCCTCGCAGTTGCCGTCATGATAGATACTAGCTAGTGTAGCCAGGGAGGGGTTGGCGTTCTTTCTGTTCAGCCAGAGCGGACGAGAGAAGAGGGGAGGCGCTTTACAGCATAGCATGTCTGTCTCTTCTCTCGTTACATACAGTCCAAATGCCACCGTCAAATCAGCATCTCCGTCCGAGCCGACGTCATGTTGTCGGTGTCTTTGAGGTTTCTGTCATGACAGACATCCGGGCTGAAAAGATGACTAGGTTCGTCCAGTACTTTGGTCCCATGCACCACAACCTGCAAGTCACAGGTCCAGCAACAGCCATTGGGCACCGGATATCGGTGAGAATCCAGGCGCCAATTGCCTGTTTCGGCATCTCCTTGACCTGCATCACCACCACCACCACCATCGTCGTCGTCGTCGTCACCAGAGCCCAAGTGGATGCCTCCACGGAACGACAACCTGCATCATGCTTCTACGTATATCGGTGCCTTTCTTTGGCCTGCTGTTGCTTTCGCTGCAATCCATCTGCCCGTCATCTATCGCTCTCCTGTCGGCTTCTGCTGTCTGCTTTTGCTGCTCCCCAACTGCTTTCCGCGTACGCGGTATCGTTGGCCCAGGACGAAGCTACCCTGAACCGTTGATTCCCAGGCGTCTAGAGCCTTCTCCCGTTCCCGCCATCTGCTTCCTTCCGTCTCTGCCTTGTTTGACTGGGCATCCAAGGGTCTCCCAACTCCTCACGATAGGGCCTCTTTACCGCCACGGACAAGCATCTGGCATCCGAACAGGCTGCCTTTCTTCGGGGACCTCTGAGTCGAACGTCAACCCAAATTGATTGATTGCCTTGCACACACTCTCTCTACCCAGGACCTGGGCCACCCACCATCACATTTGCGACGCCATCCCTACCGTCCCGCTTCCCGCAGCAACTGAGTTTAGACAAAACGTCGGGAGTACCCCTGCTTGATGACAGCGGTTCACCGCGCGGCGCATGCCCACAGCTGGGAGCGATTCGAACTCGACAGAACTCGGCGGGACACTAGCTGGCCACGGCTGAGAACAGGCTCGCACCCCGTTGCTCTTGAGCCGGCCAACCCCTCCCATTTTTGCACACCCACCCCGTCCCTCTCTCGTCCCCTCCGTCTGTCCATCTGTCCAGCCAGTGCTACCTACGAAATCCTCCACGAGCGCCCAAAAGCAGCACAGCCGCACGTAGCCTGCTTGTTGGTACGCCGCCCTATATCACCTGCCCGCCGCCTTTATTACATACCCACGTTACCACCTTGCCCACTTACATCCATACGCCCATACATACATAGCCTGCTTGCTCTACTGTGGTATGACGACGTTGCTCCTACTCTGACTCTTTTCCCTTCTTCTCTCGCTCACCCACTCACTCACTCACTCCATCCTTCTCTCCCACACCCCCTCTTCTCACTCCCTCACCAAGCCGGCTCAGCTCTACTAGGCCCGGCCTCAGACCAAAGTAGATCCCCCGCTGCCCTGCATCTTGTCTCGCTACAAGAGACGTCTGGCCCATCCGCTTCTTTTTCAGGGTCGCTTCTCCCCTTTGTGCACGATACCCCGTGTCTGTCTTTGTTGTTTAGTGTTGCAAGCGCTCACGCTATCGCCAGCGCTACACAATCGACGACACCGCTTACTACCCCGCCATTCGTCCCACCTGTCCAGAGAAACCCTCAGACACACACGCTCGGGCGCCTCCCCGCCGCAACTCACCTCTCCCGAGCCGAAAGCCGTTTGCGTCTGCCTAGGAAAACATGGCTTACCGGACCAACGACTTTGAGGAGCGTTTTTATGACGACCGCCGACAGCGGGTTGACGTCCGCGTGAAAGAGCGCGAACGCGAACGCGAACGTGAAGGCGACCGCCTCCGTTTCTTGCGCGAGGAGCGTGCTCCTGAATCAGGCGCTCTCGTCCTAAGCCGCCGAGAGGTTGAGTCGAGGGAGCTGTCGAGGCCCCGCCACCGCTCTCCGAGTCCTGTGTACCGCGAGCGGATCGTCCGCAAAGCCCGCAGCTTGACACCTCCCCCGCGCGTCCACCATGACCAGGAGCTTGAGCGCTCGAGGGTGCGCATTTCTGAGCGCGAACGTGAGATTCGCAGCCCATCCCGTGGCCCTCCTCAAGAGATCCGCGCTCGATACGTTGAACGCCAAAGGTCGCCCTCTCCGCCGCCTCCGGCCAGGGAACGCAGCCGCGTAGGCGTGCGTATCGTCGAGCGCGAGAGAGAAAAAGAGCGGGTGCCGTCTCCTTCGCCCTCGCCGCCGCCCCCGCCTCCCCAGCCTCAGGTCATTCGCGGCCCCACGATCGAGCGGGAGGTCATCACCCACTACAGAGACATTGATCATGGTGAGTACAAGCAGTGCCAGCAGAAACCGAGAGCCCGGCAAGGTCTAACGTGTTCAGGTGTCACCCGCGTGCCCAGCCCGCCCCCTCCTCCTCGTCCCGCTCCTCGGCCCAAGGTCCGTACCGAAGACCGGGAGCTGGACATCGACATCACCACGTCCCGCAGGGGAACCGACATTGACATTCACCGATCTCACAGCCGCCACCGCTCCCCTAGCAGGGAGCGCAGGTCTCCCGCTTTCCAAGACAGAGAGATTGTGCTGAGCACCGACCGCCTCCGGATTGATGACCATTACCACAGCGGATCGCGCCGCAGAGCCCACTCGGCGGCTGCACGGACGCCGATCGATGAGGAGTCGGAATACATCACCTCCAAGATCGACTCGCGCGGCAAGATGGGCGAGGCTTGGAACGGCGCTACCAAGGACTGGGCCATCATCGACGTCCCGCCCGGAACTGAGCGCGTCCGTATGGACGGTGTGGGCGGTGGCTCTGCCGAGGTCACTTGGCAGCGTTACAACGGCGTGAGACGTGCCAAGTTCATTCCCGAGCGAGACGGCGCTCCCAGCTCGGTCCCGGCCCCCGAGCCCTCGCCCCGAGACTCGCGGGACCGTCTCAGCCTCCAGCTGTATGACCGGGAGACGGAGATCGAGATCGAGAAGACCAAGGACCGCGTCCCGGCCCGCCGCCAACCCTCGAAGCGCAATGAGATGTGGACAGAAATCACCAAGGACCTTGTCACTCGCGACGCCATTATCGAGCTCGGCTACGATTTTGAGGAGACCGAGTACTTCTTTTACATCATGCAATACCTGAAATATGTTAGTCTCAGCCCCGGCCACTTGGTAAAACAACCCGTGCTAATGAGAATCAGGATGACGTACTAGAGCTCGTCCAGGTGTCGGACGAAATCCGCCGCTTCCGTAAGGAACGCGTCCGCGAGTACGAGAGGGAGTGGGTGCACGACGACTGGGACCGCCGGTCTCACCACCACCACCGCCACGCGCCAAGCAAGTACGACGACGAACGGGTTTACGAGCGCGAGGTCGTCTACGACAGCCAGCGGCCCCGTCGTTGGTAAGCATTGTACACACGGTCACCCAAGGACACACGAATCGGGCGCCCAGCCGTCGCCCGGCCTAGTGTGCTTGGGATAGGACAGACAGACAGACAGCCTGTGATTGGGTTTGAATTACAGAATACATCATGTTGGATGAGATGTACTGCCATCAGAGGGCCGGATCTGGATCTGTTTGTGGGGAGGGGGGGGGGGGGGGGGGGGCGTGTCTTCTTTTTCTTATAACCCAAATCTGTTGGTGAGGGATGGAAGGGAGGGGTTTTCTGCCTGGCACCATGTGTAACGATTTATGAATACAACATTGCGGTGGCGGACAAACAGGGTCGGAGTTTAGATTGAATTAGGATCAAATAACGATTTTACGACCAGGCACTGATACGGCGCGTGAATAAGGCTCTGTCAAATCTTTTTTTTCCTTCTTCTTCTCTTTTTTTCGGTGCGGACTTTTCTGAAAATCTTTGGGTCTCATCTCAACGTGAGCGAGCACCTGGTTGGAACCCGTACGTCTTTTAGCATGTTTACTGTGGCGTGGCCGAGACTGACATGTGCCGGTGTGTCGAACCATTGAGCTCAGGAGAGGGACACGTTTTGGTAGTTTGACGCCCGGACGGCGACGGGGCCCGCGGCCGGGTCCCTGCGTCGGTCGTTTCGGCGGCGGCGGCGGCCCCGCCGTGCAAGCACGTCCTCCCGCCTTTCGGGAAGACTTGTCAAGGATAGAGTTCCACGTGGGCATAGGGAGTGTGTGTGTCTACGCTCGCACGCTCATTCATGATAGACCGGGCCGTCCGATGCCTTCCGTTTTGCGACACTTCCCGCCCTTGATTGACATCAGACCAGTCGTCAAATTTAGTGGCGGTCCTCCGAAGTTGGGTATCAAGACACAGCGCGGCATCTGCATTAAACTAAGTAACAAAGTATCGCCGGCCACCTCCTCCCGACTCAGAGCAAAACGAGGTCTTCTTTTTTCCCCCTTTGCCCGGGGTTCCATGACCTCCTTCACCGGTCCAGCAAATAAACGAGCAGTAACGTAGACAAATAAGTAGTGTACAGATCCCCCTTCTACTATCGCAGCTTGGGGATGTTGCGGGCCGCATCGACGGGTATGAGCTTGAAAGAACAAGGTGAAAACGACAGGGGCACTATATAGACATCAGCGCGGCAGACGGTTATTGGAGAAACAGCCCGACGACGCGTTCCCGCGGCCGGCTGCAGAAGGGCGATGCTCCAGCACACGCCGGCCGTTCCCTAGCGCGGGAACATTTACCCGTGAAAGCCATCCAGCATTCGCTTCGCGCGACCAATCTGGTCCTTTACGGAAAGGCTTACTTGCGGGAACGGCTGGCACGGGTGGACGTGGGCTTCTCGGCAGCAGGGGCAGCCTTCTTGCCGCCCTTGGGCGCCGCCCTGCCCTTCTTCGGCGCGGGTGCCTCCTCCTCCTCGGCTTCGGAGTCGGGGGTGATTTCGGCCTCGGGCTCTTCCTCGCTCTCCTCGACCTTGGTCTTCTTCGGAGCGGCCTTCTTCGGAGCGGCCTTCTTCCCAGCGCTGCGCTGGGGCTTGGGGGCCTCATCCTCTGGCTCCACCGCAGAGTCGGACTCGTCCTTGACGGCGGGCTTTCGCGCTTCGCGCTTCGCCTTGGGTTTCGGCTTCTCGTCCTCTCCAGACTCGGCCTTCGCCGCAGCGGCAGCGGCCTTGCCGCGCTTCGACTTGGGCTTGGGCTTCTCGTCGTCGTCCTCCGGCTCAGCCTTGGCAGCAGCCTTTTTAGTACGCTTCGCCTTGGGTTTCTCGTCGTCGTCCTCTTCCTCCTCACCAGCAGCGGTGGACTTGCGGCCGCGCTTCTTGCCCTTGGCAGGAGCCTCTTCTTCCTGTGGTCCAGCGTGAGCCTTCATGTGCGCCAGTGTCAACCGGCAGAGAACTTACCTCGGCCTCCTCGCCGTCGTCCCAGTCCTTGGGTTTCTTGCCACGGATGCCGCGCTGGCCGGGCTTGTTCATCCAGGGGTCGCCGTTGAAGTCCTCGGGGTCAATGTGGCCCTGCTCGACAGCTTTGCGGACCTTGGCCTGGAGGTCAGGGTGGTCACTGGTACGGATGTCAGTCGCGGCTGCTGCCCACAAGTCCTAAATGAAGAGGGTCTTACCCCATCTCGTCGTAGCCGTCAAACGCATCAAAGTCGAAGGTGCCGTCCTTACTCTGACACAGCTCCCTGACGTGCGCCATTTGCTCACCAGAGACACAGCCCCTGCGTCATGAAAGGTCAGCAAGTGCAGCTTCAAGCCATAAGACAGCGGCATGCGTGACGTGGCTAAGGCGGGCACATCAAAGTGAGAAAGAGGGTCGGCCACATACCAGTGCTTCCACTTGAAGGACTCATGATCCATAATCTTGGTCCAGGTGCCGAAGCGGAGGGAGCCCTTCAGGCACTTGCTGGCCGCCTTCTTGCACACGCCATCGGTGCAACCGGCGCGGTTGTTTGGCGAGACCTCTGTTTGGGGTGAGCTAGTTAGCCACGCTTTCTCGGTTGAGAGTGAGAGTGTGAGTTTGGCAGGATGTTGTTCAAGCTGGAGCTCCTCCCATGACGTAAGACGTAACGTAACAGCAGCAGAAGCTCTGACGCGTCGCCGAGTGGTCGTCAGACGCGACCGCAGCTCCGGAACCCGCCGCATCAAAGGGGGGAAACAACGACTTGTTTTGGGGGAGCAGAATAAAATCAAAATACTCACCAATGCGATAATCAGGCATCTTGAAGGCTCTGTTGATCCGACTGAAATGAGTGTTCGTACGATGTTTTCTACACAAAAGTGAGAAGCGTCGAGGTTTGGGGGGGGGGGGGGGGGGGGACGAAAGAGTTCAAGAGAGAAAAAAAAGGGCGGACGAGCAAGGAAAGAAAGGAGCCTCTGGTCTTTGGGTGTCCGCTGATTGCTTGCTTGCTGATCTGCTTCCTGCCTGCACGGCCCGGCCCAGGTGCCCCAAGCTCCCTGGAGCTCCAGCGGTCGTGATCCCCCCCTGCGCGGTAGCCTAGCCGTCACAAGGCACCACCAGCCAGGCCCCGGTCCAGGCAGAGAAGGCCCCCCCCCCCCTGGGTTGCCCACGGTGGCCGATGACAGAGTAGAATGCTGTTGGTTGTCCAGTCTCCGGAACAAGCAACACCCACACCCACACCCTCACTGGAATCAGATTCATGAAGAACTGTCATGTTCCAACGCAACGGGCTGTTTATACAATAGAATTACACAATGACTAGCACATATCCTTTTTCGCATCCCCAACACCAACTCAAGTCCCGTCCTTCATTCATAGCCATCGTCTCTCCACGACGACATCGGTCCATCGCGCCATTAAACCCTTCCCTTCCGACTCCCCTCACAAGAACGGACACCACCCAATGTACATGGCCGCCAGGTTCCTCGGGTCGACGGCCTGCTTGATCAGCTCTTCCACCTGTCCCTCCACACCCAACGGGATCGTGTCGTGCCCCATCAGCCCCTTGACTTTCCGCTTGATGCTGTCCACCACAAGCTGCGGCTGCATCCGCGGCGCCCCGTCCTGCCTACGGCTCGTCTTCTTCTCCTTCTGCAGGTCGAGCGTGGGGTCGTAGATGAACGCCTCGAGGATCGTCATCAACGTCTCCTCCTGTTGCCGGAGGATCCCCAGCGTGAGCTCGCTGCAGTGCCGGAACGGGCCTTCGTACCCGTAAATCCCCATCGCCGCCACCATGTTGTGCGTCAACCGGAACGGAACCCTCTCCGGTTGCGCAAACGTCAAGCCCTTGTCGAAGAGGCAGTTGAAGTCCACGTGGAAGATGCCGCCGTTGTCGCGTTCCAAGAGCACGTTCTCGCCGTGCCGGTCCCCGAGTCCCAAAATCGTGCCCACCATCGACATGACGGCGCAAGACCGCGTGTACCTGAGCCGCGCCGAAAACCATGTCGAAGGATGAGGGAACCGCTGCACGAACCAATGCTGCAGCACCGCCGGGAACGTCCCTAGCACGCCCTCGGTGAACATCTTGATGTTGTTCGGTCCCGTCACTGCCTCAGCCATCATCCGTTTGATCTGGTTGTAGTCCGGGTGCACCGACCGAGTCTTGTACTGCTCCAGGAGAATCTCCCGCAGCGTCTTCAGCCCGTCCACCCACTCGATGATGCCGCACTCTTCGTTCAACGGCACCACCGCGTACGTTTTGATGTACAGCTGCCGCCTGCTGGCCTCGGGATCCCGCTTCAACGACCGGTTGATCATGCTGTTAAACTCCATCAGCCGCTGGTCGGTGCGAAGATCGTCCTTGGGCTTGATCATGAGCATGTAGTTCCTTCCGTCCGTTCCGCGAGCCGTAAGCCGTCGTGGCTTGGCCAGAGACCCAAGAACCAGCACTTCGTCCAGGAACGAGTCGATTGTGATGACGTCGTGCGCAAACGCCTTGTGCTTCTTGACGTTGTCCGTCAGCGTCGGTAGAGCAGCCGTCAGGCACGACTCGATCGGCACCACCAGGGGGCAGGGCGTGCATTTGTGGTTGAAGTTCAGATCCCGCGTGATGCTCGCCACCGTTGTCCTGTTGCTCTGGAAGTCTCCGTTGTTGCACGCCAGCAAAAGCTGCTCCGCGAGCTTCTCGCCCATCCTCAGAAGCGTCTTGAGGTCATAGCTGCCGCCATCGACCTTGCGAGAAATCCCCCGAAGCGTCTGCAGGATCTGTTGCCCTCGCGCCTTGCGCTCCGACGCTTGCCGCGTTGTCATAATGCCGAACAGGCTCCAGAGAGCTTGCCGAGGATGCGACTCCACAACCTTGATAACAATGTGCATCAGCCGCTCGTAGACGCTTGAGTTGTGATGGGCTATTCTCGCCACGATCTGGGGAAGCGCCGTGTAAAAGATGTACGCCGGAAGCCGTACAATGTACTTGTCGAGGAACTGGTGGAGGAGGTTCAGCTGCTCCGTTCGCCTCCTATGGAGCTCACGGGACAGCGAGACCTTGCCTTCGGGGGCCTTGTCGACCTGTGCTCCGAACTCGAGCCACAGCGTGAGGATTCTCGGCAAGGTCTGGTAGAGATATTTGGTGCCGTAATTCAGTGACCGCAGGTAGTTTTCGATAATGAGCCTGGTGTATTCTCCCTGGATGCAGGGATCGCTTTGGTCGTCCGGCTTGAGTGTCTTTTCGGATTCCAGCACTTTTTTGTAATAGCGTCCCAGGTAGTAGTGTCCCTTTTCCCAACTTGACGCGGTTTTGGGGGGCTGCTGGTATTTTTCAAGTAGAGTGGCGTGGTTCGTCTGGCCGGCGGCGTCCAGCCATTTGGCGAGCATCAGCTGCGCTCTGGCCGTCAGCTGTCTTTGCTGGGCATCCATGCCCCGGATGGAGGAAGAACTGTTGGTCTGCGTCATGAAGTTGTTGGATTCTATGGCGCCTTGCAGGACTTGGATAGCCTTGCGAGTATGGCCATCTTTCCACAACAGCCGAGCGTTCTCGATGACTGCCGCTCCATCGCCAAGTTGAGAGGCGTGAAGTACAGCGTTGAACGACTGGTGGGCTGAGTTGGCCTTCCTGGCCAATCGAGCGCTCGACAGCCAGAGAGATGAGATGTCCAGATCGGAGAACTTGGGCCTGTGCTTTGTTAGTTTTGGTTGTGCACATGCCATGAATGAAACATACCGCGAAAGCTCCATGGCTGCTCTGCGGATGCCCAGCAGATACTGCTTGTCGCTGACATACGCCCCGAGGACCTCCAGGCGGCGATTCAGCACCTTTAGCACTTCTTGGTGTGCCTCGTTTTCAGAGGCTGGACTCCCGGCAATTATTTCCAGGTCAGTAAGCACATGACATCTGAGTCTGAGGTCGTGACAGGCCTGCAGAGACGAGGTTGCTGAGTGAGTCATGGCGGAAGCAATTTTCTCTCTCATACTCTGCAGCATTCGGGGGAAAGTCTCGCTGTTGGCGCCTCTTTGATGTAGTGCGTCGAACAGCTTCGCGATGCTGACGTTGAAGTCTTCCAAGGGACTGCCGTGGAACCGACTGGTGTACTTGGACAACGTATCCCATCTCCGCGTGGCCCAAGCTGCCTCGACGGCGAAGGGGACAATCTTGTTCTCTGTCGAAGGATCCGTCCGCATGCCTTCCACGTAGTTGAGCAGCACATCTTGAATCGTCAGCTAACTCGCCCCACAAAGTGATTCTACATAGCAACCTACCATGTTGACCAGATTGTTTCAAGCAGTTGAGGAGGTCAGCTTGCACATCGATATTGTCAGGCTCTTCCGCCAACTTGATCTCGTACCACGTCTGGGCGGCCGTGTATCTACCCGCTTTCTTGTGACTAAGGATCTGCTGGTTGATGTCGAGAACGTGGAGATGAGCCGAAATGCCCTCTAGCCCGTCGGGCTCGTCAATTTGGGTATAAATATCCTGTAGCTGCTCGAGGAGGAGCGTTTTCTGTCTTGGATCGCTCTTCTCGACCTCCATTTGTTGAGCATGCTGTTCGAGATGGAAGAGCGCACGGGGGTATTCTTTGCAGTCCATCGCACGTTGGGATATGAGCACCGGCGGAATCGTACTTAGCAGGTGCTCAACACGTGCAATGGCGGGCAAGTCATGATCGGTCTTGCGCCTGGCATTCTTCTCTTGAAGCCACCTGCTCGCGTAATCGAGAACCCGGAAGACGGCCTGGGTCGATTAGCCAAAGTTTTTTTTGAGCAAGAGGTTTGACTTACCTCGCAGAACAGCTTCATATCCGCTCGTTCGGAATGTGGAGCGTCTTCTGCGGGTTGATGCTGAAGAATGCCAACGAGTTCACCTATGGCATTATCACGCTCCTGACGCGAACTTCGGTGACCTATGATGACGTGCAGAACAAGATAAGGCAGCAAAAATTCCGCTACCGCCAAATCCTTGACTCGAATGGTGCGGCATAACGGGTCAAAGATCAGGTCCGCATGCCCGTTCTGTCCCTTGCGCAGGAGATCCATGTTGAACGAGCGCATCCAGTTTCCGTAGGGCTTGCCTGGCCGGAAGATGGGGTACTCGACTGGGGCCACGTTCATGGGTGTCAGGAGATACTTGGACGAGAGAAATGGCGTAAGGATCATGCGGACGCTCTCCGGCAGGGCTAGCCACTTTCTGTAGATGGTGCCACCATCCCTCCCGCCGGTTTTCTTCATCGCACACGCCGCCGCGATATCAACTCTCTCGAGTAGTTCTTGCATGGCGAACGACAGGAAGCCCTGAAGTTTGGTGTCCGTCGTGGACAAGAACGCCCTAACCAGAATATGCTCCAGTATGAATAGCACGAAGTCGGTCGTCTCGTCTGCGTTTTCAAAATTGCTCAAGATAACCATCGACTTCTGTTTGCGGGGCGCCTCGACCCTGTTAGAGTCTAGACAGCCTACAAGCCCGATGCACTGCGTGCAGAGACTGGCAATATCAAGCTGCATAGAACTATACTTTGAAGCACAGTCAAGCAGGGCTCGAAGCATGGCGGCGACGACTGGATCTGGTTGTTGGCTGATTGCCGAAGTCTGAAGAAACCCCCCGCTTTGCTTAAGATAGGTCTCGAGTTCGGTCAATGCCTGCAATACCACACCCGAGTTTTCGTGGGATATGCGCTCGGAAAACAGGGCAAATGCTCTCCTGCTATCAAGTGCTGGACGCATTGCGCTCAGCTGCGCTTCGATATCCGCCAGCTCTGGTACATGGGCCAGGGACGGTAGTTTGCTAATGTTCTCGCTGAGGACTAAATCGAACTCCGCAATCAGCGTTGTGATCAAGGATTTAGCCATCTGTCGAGTCTTGTCATTGAACAAGGGCCAGTAGTGACCGATGACGAAGAACGTCGTTTCGAGCAATACCTCGACGTCTTCCGACTCGAGATTCGTGAGCAGAGCTGCCCAGCAAGAGAACGCCGCTTCTCTCAAATCGTCTTGGGCCAAAGCTGACAACAGGCATGCGGATATCTAGAAAGATCAGTCTCCGAATCGCACTCGCCTCCTCGCATTGCTTACCTGAGGCCGCGCAATGCGCACATAGTCTTTGCAAAGTCTAATCATCTCCTCCATAGCCCGTACGCATCGCCTCTGCTCCTCGACTGGAGGCGACACGAGGGGCATGTCGTTGATAACATCCGCGAGTCGGGCCATGAGACCGAGAATATATGATTGAAGGAACCTTCCGATGATGTTTCCCTTTTTCGATTTCGACTCCTTGTTTGCCACCGCCATCATGGAGCAAAAGGATGTGAGTGCTTCGATAATCTGTAGCAAGTCAGCAGCCTAGATACCTCATGGCCTGACGGACTTACCCGTGGTTTTCGGGCTTCATCCGCCTCGCCGGCTGCCTTCAACAACTCAAGGACGATGGTGACGACCTCTGCTTGCATCAGCTCAATCAGGCTAAAGGACTCCAGATGAGAAGCAACTTCGATTAGTCTTGACATGACAAACTGCTCAATATTGCGCACATCTTGCACGAGCAGCAGCGCAAGAATAGGGCCAGCATTTGCGGTGTCCAGGATAGGGACCCATACGTCCTTTTCGCCCCGTGCTTCGGCAATCTTTTGGATAACGTCTTTCTTCTTCATCAAGACCAACCACGGCATCGCGTGTGTCTGGACAAGCAGAAGGAAATCGGTGACAGATATCTGCAGCAGGTCGGCAATCGCACGAGTCATCTGCGGCCGAGAAATCATGTCCTTAACAGCGAAGTACGCCAGGTTCCTCCAAAAGGGCTCAAACAATCGACGGGGTGTTGTATTCAGTGCAGCTGCAAGGCCAAGAATCTAGAGGCATGTCAGCTTTGTGTGGCTTTCAGGAACAACAAGCAGCCACCGTACCTCGTTGAATGCACAGGCTGCGATCAGACTGTTGCTGCTGCCAAGGTACTCCAGCAGCTTGTGCAGCACAAGGTTGAGCTCATCCCCAGTCACGACCCTATTTAGTTAGCTTGCTAATGAACCAGAACTCGCCTTCAAAGTTACTGTTGCACCTACCGTCCAAGCTGGCTCCAGGCCAGAATTCCACTCTCATGAAATATGACCGCGTCAGTTTCCGAGGCAGCTTTGAGCAAGCTGAGTGCGTTCTTTCGGTTACGCTCGACTACAGCGACATCGACTGTATTTGAATTGGTATCTTCCAGGAAGAGAGGGAGAGCGCGTCTTACAACAGCCGGTCAGCGTGGGTCAACTCGAAGGTTGCAAACGACGTACCCTGAAGCAATCCGAAGCTCTCTAACCGAGCTATGTAAGCTTTGTAGACACCATTGTCCCAGAGGAGACGTCTCAATGTCGATTAGTTGTGTGGTATCGGCGTGGTTGATGATCCGCCTCATTGCAATCATGGCAACGACTCTTGGTCGCCTTGACTCCTTGAACGAGTCAAGGTGGATGAGCTTTGTAAAAATTGACTGCGCGTCGCTTTTCTCTTGAGCCGTAACGATCTTGGGTTTCTTGGTGCTTCTAGGTTTTCGATCACACAACACGCATCGGAGCCACTTGCTCTTCGGGCTCGACTCATTGTACGTGGCAACCATATCCACAACACAGCATGTGCGGGCGACAAGGTCGATAGCTATACACTGGTCCTCTTCGCTTAGTCCTGGATAGTGGTTTCTAGGAATCGTCAGCCAACAAGTCCAATCCACCCATACAGACCGACGTACAGGAAGGCATGCTCCAAAGCCCCATTATCGGGAATAGAGTCTGCCTGGAGAACTTTGTAGAGCCGTGCGGTCAAATCGTCAAGCTCGCCGGCGCCCAAAGAGACTTTCCTGCGCTTGGATACAGGCTCTCTTTCCTCGGCGGAATGGTCTCCGATGCCAAGATCTTCGACAGCCTGGCGAAGTTCAGCATCGGTGAAGCATGCTGGCTGTGTTTCAGGGTCAAGAGACTCTGGCACGATGGAGGCGGATGCCTGTTTCAGGACTCTCATAGAACGCTGGCAAGGTTAGCCAAGTCAAGAGGTGGCTGCGGTCACCAACATACCAGGAAATCATAGGCATCACCCATCGAATGGACCTCGGAGCACACCAGCTCGAGCGGGAAGACGATTTTCGGAGCCGCTATTCTGCCAATCTCTCGATCTACGAGCGACGCGTGCGCCAGACGTATGAGAGCCAGGGACAGTGTCTTCCTCGCCGCCAGACTCTGTTCATCAATCCCCAGGATCTCGTCGGGATGCGCGGAAATCTCGGCGCAGAGTAACGCCAGCAATGTGTACGCCTTTTGCGAGGCCAGCGATGTCCTTACAGGAGAAGGCTTGTTGGGGAGCAGATTGAGCGAAATTTTTAGCAAGTCGGCTCTAGGGCTGGGAGCAACAGCTTGCCAGGTATTTTGTACAGCACGGATGGAAAGCAAGGAATCGAGTAGCCAAGGCGTCAGCTCCGACAGCGATGGTCGCGATATGATACTCGAATTTTTGGATATTAAAGGGTGTGCCAAGGCGGATATCAATGCCGTAGCCTGAAAAAGGGCCTGCGAGACATGCTGGACGGTGTATGTGGTCTGTTGGACAAAGAGGGTGCCGGGTTTCCCCAATAAGAGCTCCAGTGTAGCGGCCGAAGGCAGTGTGATATCTATGGAAACGTCCCTTCCAGTCACATTCGGTACCGTTTCTTGCAGGCGGCTCAGAAGGGCTAGGAAGGTCAGCGGCACTGTCATACATACCGGCCGGCCAGATCTCCAACACTTACCACTGCTGGTCTCGCGCAGGTACAAGATCATGGACGAGAGCAGCTTCCACGTCGACCCCGCGCGGATCACCGCGAGAAGCACGAACTGGAAGAAGCCCTCGATAGGGGCCGTCAGGTCGAGGCAGCGAGAGTGCCCCAGCAACCTGAGGACCTTGGGGAAAACCCATACCCAGAGTGGCTCCTCCCCGCGGAACACAAATTGTTTCCCGTCCGTGGTGTGGTTCAAGACGTTGGGCGTCTCTTCGATCGTGACCTTGAGGAAGTCGATTGCCTTGAGCGCCTCGCTCCGCAGGTGGTTCCGGTCGGCAAACGGGTCGTCGAGCTTGATGCCTTCGAGGACGACGCGGGCGTAGACGTAGATGAGCATGTGGTTGTGCTCCGTCCGCTGCCCGGCGTCCTTGAGCAGGTCGGGCTTGTTCTTGACCTTCTCGATGACGGCGAACAGCCGCTTCAGCTCGGCGTTCTCGTCGGACCGCGTCGACTTTGACGACGCCGAGATATTTTCGACCAGCTGCGCAGCTAGCGTGGAGGGAGGCGGGGCGTTCGGAGCGGCAGCGGCAGCAGGCCTGCCATGGCCATGGTGTTCTGCGGCCATGATTCCGTCTTCATCGTATGGCCGGGGAAGCTCGATTCGGAGGGGGGGGGGGGGGGCAAGGGGGGCGTTCGTTTGCTGCTTGGGAACTCGACTTCGCTAGCACTGCGCTTCGACTATCTACCAAGGTACTCTGCACACCCAAAGATTGACGCGCTGGTGGGGTGGTCGCTGTGCAGCGCGGTGCTACACGCGAGGTCACATGTTCAATTAAGCACGGTTATGTAAGCTCTGTGTGGTCCGTGCTTAGCTGTCGTCTGATGCGCAACCAACTCCAAATCGCCTCGAAATACGGCACTTCTGCCTGCATTTTCGACCTCAGGTTGACCGTCCATTCTCCCCCCTTCAAGGGGCTAGTTGATGACAACTTGGGCCAAATCACACTTTGACCGCCGTGTTTGATTTCAAAGCAATCCGAATTGCTTGCCTATACCGGCATTGCGTGATTATCAATCGTCGAGGCCATCCCCTGCAAAGCTGCAGTCTCTCCTCCCTCCATGCCTCCATCGCCAAAGTCCCTAGGCTGCTGCACCACTGTGCAATTGGCTATGCAGCTTACGCCTTTTCCGTTTTGCAAATCCACTTATCACCGAGCAACAGCTATGAAAGTTTCTTGGTCGACTCCAACATGCTCTATAAAAGCATTAAGATTCTGCGTTGAGCCTGCCCTCGAGTGTTTCGATGTTAGTCTTGATATGCACTGTGTGTGATTCTTCTTTATACGCTCCCAGCAACTGGCTCGTTGATTGATTTTCTCGTCACGCTACGCCATGGATATCCCTCTCAACGAAGCGGGGGCGGAACCTCGACAAAGCTTGCCTTCCCGCAATGTCTCGGTAGCCAAGAGTGTCACAGTCATCGTCACCCTCGCGGGCATCAACTTCCTCAACACCATGGGTTCCGGGATCCTGATCGCCGCCCTCCCCCGCATCGCGTCGGACGTCGGTCTCGACGAGAGCCTGATGCTCTGGCCCGCGGCTGTCTACAGCCTCGCCGCCGGATGTCTGCTCCTCATCTTCGGCGCCGTCGCCGACGTCGTCGGCGCCAAGTTCATGTGGGTGGCGGGTAGCTACCTCTGCGCCGTCTTCACCGTCGCCGTCGGCCTGTCGCAGACGGGGATCCAGATCATCGTGTTCCGCACGTGCATGGGCATGTCCATATCCGCGTGTCTGCCGACCGCCATGGCCTTCATCACCAAGACGTTCCCCAAGGGCGGGTGGCGCAACGTCGCGTTCTCGATGAACGGCATCGGGTTCCCGCTGCGGTACGCCCTCGGCTTGGTCCTGGGGGGCATCTTCACGGATACCATCGGTTGGCGGTGGGGGTTCTACATGATGGCCATCATCAACTTCTGCCTGTCGACGGCGGCGATCTGGTCTCTCCCGTCCGTCTACCAGCCTTCAGAGAAGAAGTGGTCTCGCCGCCTGGCCGAGGACATTGACTGGATTGGGGCCGTCATCATGAGCGTTGCTTTGGGCCTCCTGCTATACGTGCTGGCAATGACAACATCCTCTTACACCAAGATCGGTGATCCGGCGAACATTGCTCTCCTGGCAGTGGCGGTCGCTTTGCTGGTTGCGTTTCCCTTCTGGATGAACCGGCAGACAGCAAAGGGCAGTCCGGCGCTCATTCCTAACCGTCTGTGGCGAAATGCCTCGTTTACGTCCATATGTGTAAGTCGGATTAGGAAAGCAGGGTACTCGGGGCCTAACACGTTCAATAGGCCGCCATATTATTGTGCTGGGCCTCACTCAACGCCATACAGTACTTCATCATGCTCTAGTCAGTATCCGTCCATTATAATGAGCAGGGAGAGAATCCTGATAGTGTCAACAGCTTCCAGCAAGTCCAAGGCATCTCCGCGCTGCAGAGCTCCCTGCGATTCCTCCCACACGTCGTCATGGGCGCCGCCGTCAACGTGGCGGCCGCATGGCTCGTCTCTAGGGTAAAGGTCCAGACACTTGGCGCCGTGTCGGCGGTCATCACCGCCATCGCTCCGTTTCTAATGGCTACGGTCGATCTCGATGGATATTACTGGTTCGCGCCATTCTGGGCCATGATCCTCTCGCCCGTCAACGCAGATGGTACCTATTCACCCCCCTCTGCAATCCCCCTTTAGCGCAACAGAAACACTGACGGGACGCAAAACAGCCCTCTTTACCGTGTCGAACCTCATTATTTCCGACGCCTTCCCAGCGGATCTGCAGTCCCTCGCCGGCGGTGTCTTCAGTGAGATCGGACAGATTGGCAACGCCGTGGGCCTCGCCGTGACGGCGGCCATCGCGGCGTCCGTGACGGAGCACTCGGACATTGTCGGCCGCACCAAGGAGGCGCGAATGGCGGGCTACCGCGCCGCGTTCTGGACCATCTTTGCCGCCACGGGGGCGGTGCTCGTCATTGTGCTTTGGGGTCTCAGGAAGGGCGGCATGGCTGGGAAGAAGGATGAGTAGGCGAAAGAAGGGTGGTGCCAGGCTAGCGCGAAATCTTGGGCAGATAGGGTTTTAGAGGATGAGACCGCCGCTCCCGCCGTCTGATTTCTGGACGCACGTCTCTGGATGAGTCTTTGTCGGTTTGAAATGACATGGCCTGACGTCCTTCAAAGGGAGTGGTTTACATATTGGTGTCCTGACCAGGAAACTTTCTGGTTCTTGGTCCACTTTACATGTAATTAGAGTTCTTGACTATGGACGGCAAGATTACAGCATGCATCGCGTGGGCAAACTGACCATCTGGGACAAGATAATGAATGGCTTAGCTTTTCTCTCGATCGTCAATGCAAGGCCTTTCAGTTTTGTCTGAAGTCGGCCCAGCATTAGGGCTCGGTTATACCTACCTAGCTCATTCGGGCGACGCTGGGCTCATCCGATGTCTTACGCACGCTCTACCGGCCGGACGGTGAGTTGTCTCAAAAGGCCAAGGCCAAAGACGCGTGGACCTAAGATTTATTTCCAATGATCAACCTCGATCGCCTCGCGCGGTAACAATGTCAACCCGCATCGGCAGAGGCCGAAGCAGAACCTCGCCCAGACCCCGCGAATGTTCCAGCATGACGATCTCTAGGTTGTCGGCTGCGTGGGCGAATGCTGCACAGAGTTTCCTCCAGGCGACACTAGGGAACATTGGCAATGCGATCACCATAGCAAAAGCCGGGGAAGGGAAGGGAGGGCCTCACGTTCATATGACGCGCACATCGCATATCTCCCGTCCTTCCAGCCCCGTCCGAGAGGAAGAGAAGGTGAAAAGCCCACGCCGATGATGATAATGAGGACCAAATCATAGAAAGACGCCCCCACCCCCCCAAAAAAGGCTATTCTGGGAACCGATCGCCCGAAGGCTCCTGTCTTGTTGTGTTTCTTGGCAGCTTCCGCAGCCGCAGCGTCGATCCGGCATTTTCGTCTGCCCTCCCTCCAAGCCATGCCGCCATTCATTTGGAATGGCACTGTCCACCACATATCCCGTGGGGAGACGGTGATGAATGTTAGGCTGTACGAGACCCCTTCTCCCCAAAAACGGGCTACCTCACAACTTGCCGAGGTGTCGTGTGACGGTGTGTCGTGTGTCGTGTGCTCATGTGCCACATCTGGCCGGTTACTCAAGCCGCCATTGCCAGGCAAAGTTGATTTTGGGTTGCATCTGTTCGAATGTATTGGCATATTACCACGAGGAAGGAGTGGCTTTTGGCTGTCATTCACCGACTAGGGGTGGTGCGCAGTGTGGCACGACTTCACATGCCTCCAACCTAGGGGTGCAGCCAACATGCGGCCTTGGTGAGCTTTGCAAGCAACTGGGAGGCTTCCCGCCGAAACTCCTCCGGAAACCCACTTGTCCTGCACGGCAGCATCATCCAGGTTCCATCGTCTTCAAGCCTTGGCCTGGAGCAGCAGCAGCAGCAACAACGCGGTAAGGGACAAGACGGGACGGTAGGGCGGGTCGGCGGGATGGATGGGAAACCAAAAACATCGGCCATCGGTGGGGGTGGATTCCTCGTGGAAGAACAGGCAGGATTCAAGTTCGGCGGTACGTGTAGTGTAGAGCTGCCCAGGAGGGAGGTTGGTCGTCATAGTGGGTTAGACGGGCTAGATGTGGCTCCAGTTAGCAGCATGTCCGAGGTAGGAATACTTGTATGCACCAATATGGTTTGGTTGTCCCGCAGCCTCCCGCAACAAACACGCGGTGCAGTCTCAGTCGTGCCCTGAGCTGCCTGATACCGCTCGCCAACCACATTCGCGGTTTCCGGATGTAAGACAGACGAGTTGGTTGAGTGACTATCTGTATACGTGTAGCAGTACCTATAAGAGTTAGTCGAGGGATGTACTGGGACACTGGGTACTGTCATCATTCCTTCTTCCCCGATAGCGGGGATTTGCCTTGAGTTGGAGCCATAGTGGAGTATCGGCGGGGGGATCCGTATCGCCCCGAAGGTGCTGCCCATTACGTTCTGGCACGCAGTCGATGTGGGGTTACGGGATGGCAGGGCTTGGAAGCGGGAGCATGAGCATGATTATGATTGTGATTATCATGCAAGTCTGCGCCGTTTTCGAGCGTGCCTGCCTCGTCCATATCGGGGCACCTCCGTTTCTTGAGGCCATCAGTGTTCTTGTCCAATCTCTAACCAGCTCCGTCTCTGTTTTCTAGAGTCAGCTACATACTCTCTCTCTCTCTCTCTCTCTCTCTCTCTCTCTCTCTCTCTCTCTCTCTCTCTCTCTCTCTCTCTCTGATCGATCCCTGCTCGATCCCTGCTCTGTTTTCCAGGCGCTTGGCCCTGGTGGAGAGGCACGAGCAGGCAATACCTATCCCCGCCACGCCAGGTATCGGAAAGAGCACAGCGACGAAAAGGTACGTATCGAATACTCTGGAATACTTGGGAGCATGCACTGCCCAGGTATGTCGACGGGCCTCACAAAAGACTGGAGACTGGAGTCTCCTCCACAGACCGGTATTTCCCCGCCAAGACTTTTAGCAACCCATTATCGACACTGGCCGAGAGGAAAGGCAACGCGAAAGTCTCAGCTCTTGGATGGCAGTCGCCCAGAGGGGGCAAAGCAAGGCCGAGAAGTGGACAACTTACAGCGGGACACATGACGGCGCAGGCTCCCTCCTAACACAAGGGATATATGGACGCGGCTGCCCGTCGCTCGCTCGAAGGGGCGTCGGCAACCAGTGGAGACGCGAAACTTACTACATGCGATGTACATAGCACGGAGTATGTACGGAGTACATCGTACCTCGCACCTTCTTATAGATACCGATACCTACCTACCCTGTACTTGTACGTACCTACATCGTACTTACCCGCGCGGGTTTGTGGATGTTGGAAGTGACTGAAAGGACCAGGCTGGTGCTTTCCTATGCTGCGCGGTCGCCAAAAGTCACTCGCAGTCCGACCTAACAGCGACCAGATGAACATGGAAACGGAAGGTTGATAGTGGAGCCTTTTTTACCGGTTAAGCCCGCGCTTTTCATCATACTGTAGTATACGGATACACGCACCTGCAACCCTGTTGGTCGATACTTTCTCCGAGGGACTGAGATGCCCTTTAACCTCACGGGCGGCATCTCTCTCTCTCTCGGTCTCCAAGTGATTCCCTCCTTCTAAACTCCATCTCATATACGGATAGGTTCCCCTCCTCTCAAGTGAGAGCCCCTTCTTCCGAACCCGCCTCCACCTGTACCTCGGAACATTTGTTCCAGTTCATGCTCCTTTTCAACTATTCTACCATGCTTTTTCCATTGCAGATTCTCGGCCTCCGCTTCTGTGACAGGGCAGAGGCGCTGTACTCGTGGCTTATGCATCGTACCTGCCGTTCACTCCCCCTTTGGCTCAGGCTGTACCATTCATCGGAATCCTGCTACTCCTGTCCTTCTCCCCTCCGAGCCCGCCGCCCGTTTAATATAGCACAATGACCATTCGTCCCCTCCACTCTATCCACGCCCCCAGAATCCCAAATGGAATGGGGCGCCAACCCGGCCCAAGTGACTGAGGCCCACGTCGTCGTCAGCCAATGCTGGGCGTCGGCATGTTTGCGCCAGGAACGAGACGCCATGAGGACTGGTGGGGACCACTTCCATCCAGCCTTTGCCAGCCCGTAGAAAGTCCATGGCCGACGCTGGTGCTGGGTACCTATGGTATGTACCTAGGCAATGCATGATGACTGCTGATGCCGTCTCGTTTCCAGACTTCTCCGGCGTCTTCTTTCCCTCTGTTTGAGACTTCATCGGCTTCTCGGTGTAAACGAGCTTATGTGGGATTCCACAGTACCTGGTCGTATCCCGCTGCTCCAGCTGTGAGTCTGTCCTTTCTTCTCCCATTTGTTCTAGACCTCCCCGTCTTGATCTAGCGGTTATAAGACTATCATCTATGCTCTGCTCAACCTGCATGCCACCCGTCCCCTTCGACTTTGTCCCCTTCCACTACCTCGACCCTTCCCCCCTCCCTCTGTATCTCAAAGAGGAAAACGACACATTCGACCTGCATCGCTCTGCCTCGACACCACTCAACACACGCAACTGAAGACATCCTGTACCCTGCTCCCGCCTGTGCCTCTTCCGTTATCGCTCTAGCTCCTCTCTCTCTCACCTGTTCCACACCACCCACACCATCTCGTCCATCGTGAGCAAGGTTCCCTCTCTCTGAGCACACTAGACAAAAATACACACACACCAGAGAGGCTCGAAGCTGCGCTACTGCTGCGCCAAGCTCCAACCTTCCACGGGCCTACCCCTCCATAACGCACACCACGCACCAAAGGCACCCACTCTTCGGGCAGAGGTATCCTAGTTCCCACCGCCTCGGACTGGACTGCATCCATCACCGTACTGTTATCCGTAGACAGCGCGCACCTCACCTCTCTTCCGCCTCGTGCGTGACCGACTTCTTCTTCCCCCCCCCTGACACTCTTGTCTTAGAACTCGGGTCTTGGAAGGCGTCACTCGCATCTTAAACGCTCAACCCGCTGCTGAATCCTTGCCGTCTTGCTGTGCTCGAGGTAGAGTTGCCTTTGCTACACACGATAACTCATCCAGGGGTCACCGCTTTATTTGCCTGCTGCACCTACCTTGCAGTTGCGCTTGCGCCGTTATACTGAAGGCCTGGATCTTCCTCCGCAACCAGATGGTCGTCGTGTTTTCTTTCGACTTCTGCACCTTGCCTTTGACCGACTACCCTTGAATATACGACGCCTACTCCCGTTTAGGATCTCGCCTTCTATCCAACCGAGAAACAGTACAACACTGCTAAAATGGCCGCCGCCGTGACCGAGCACTCACGGTTCTTTCCTTCGCATGCCGATGCGCTGACCGCCGATGACTTTGAAACGGCCTCGATCCGCTCGGCCGCGCCGTCCTACTGTGAGTTGGACCTTGTTACTGTCACGAGGGCCTGATAAGTGGGATACTGGGAAGACTGTAGTATCGTGAGACGGTCATGGGCGCCTGACGTGTCTGCGCTTTACCGTCTTTTAACGAGCCACAGAATAGAAACTCGAAGCTTGCTGACACACGGCGAATAGTCTCAGATGCGCCCTCCTACCACTCGACCGTGCCGAACCCCGAGCCCATCCCCGCCTACTCGCCGCCGGCCAACAGCAGCGATGTCAGCCGCGGCACCCACGGATCCACCCCGTACCCGAGCTCACTGCTTCCTGCCGCCCCGGCCTCTAATCGCTCCGGCAGTTCGACCCCCCAGCCCCGCCAAGCTACCGGCCTTCCCCCGATCCCCCCGGCGCCACCCATGGCGCAGCTGCTCGATCAATTCCGCATCCAGACCTGGTCGGCCGCGCACACGAACCCGACGCTCAACAACGTCGCCCGGCGACGCATGAACCAGGGCGCCGACCCCGTCGCTCACCTCCGCCGCTTCATGTCCGAACGCATGGCCGAGGAGGAAGCCGCCCAGCGGGCGAGACAGTCTCGACCGCTCGAGGACCCGCACCTGGTCGGAGAAGAGGCCGCCGCGAGCGCTCGTCGGGAGAGGCTTGCGCGGGAGTCTGGCGAGGACATCCTCTGGGACGAGGATCGTCGATGGAACCGATTTCTCAGTGGGTTTCTCATCCCTTATTTATGACTCGAAGAGCCCGGGCACTGACTTGCCTCTGCAGGCCAAATGCAGACATGGGAAGACCGCGAACGCAGCTGGCGGAACCTGCGCCAACCCGCGCCGACTCAGCCGCGCAAGAAGCTGACCCGTCGCCTTACCGGACGTCTCTGGTAGATGATAAGCCTGTGGAGGCTGCACATGTGATATGACTGAGAAGCGAAGGGTCCCGTCATGCATCAGGGCGGAAAAGGAGTATTTGGGTCATGTTTTATGTGTTTTCTCATCATTCATCCATCCATTTGCGTCTCGACAAAGAGCATGTCGAAGCCGATGAATCCTCTTGGAAAGGATATGGTTCTCGCCCCTGATTTTTTTTTTCTTTTATTATAAAGGGACAAACGTTATTGCGTTCGGCACTCTTTCTTCCAGGCCGGGACAGTATATGGTCTTCTCTTCTCCGTCCTCACGCGCTTTGGCGTGGGGGACGTTCCAACGCTTTTTTTTTTTTTCTCCCATTCCTCACTCGACATCGAGCAGGGCTAGAACTATTTCTGGGAGCGAAGGACGGGAACGGCCGTCGACTTGCTGTCATTTCGTTTTTAGGTATCAGGCAGTAAGGGCATATAGCATAGGGACCCCCCGGGGGCTATTGGCCTCGAGGGGGAGGGGGTTGCATGAACCAAATTGAAGAACAGATTCTCCATGAAGAAAACAATCGGCGTAGCTGAACGGGGTGAAGGCACACACGGAGTGTCTGTTCGCGTGCCCGCGACAATAGCCGAAGGGAGGAGGATAGCAGATAGGAGGTGAAAGTACGGGGGGGGGAGGAAGCGTTTGGTGACTGCGTGTCGTTTCCTCTTGCAGCCGGGGGAGCACAGCGGTTAAGGCATCTTCTTGTGTGTCATGTATCGTCGGCGTGTAGCCAGAAGTCACGACCATGCCTGATCTCGGTCAACCTCATGGGCTCCGAAAGGGGCAGCGTCTGGCTTGCTGTATACTCACTCTCTTCGATGAGACGTCCCTTTTACGGAGAACCACTCGCACATCCCACCCCCCCAACCGAAATCTCTCACCTAGAGAGGTTTCTTCCCAACCTCTTCACCCAACACCATCACGGCCATCTCGCCACTTACGCATGTTCAGCGTCCCGGTCAGGACGCCCAGTTCCACAGCCACAGGCGTTTTCCCGCTGTCACTCAGGCCCCGAGAAAGCCGGTTTCAACTTGCCATTGCTGCGTTTCGAGACTAACAAAAGACAAAAGACAAAAACAAAAACCCGCAAGCCCTCCGGACATGGAAAACCTTGGTGGGATCCTCCCCTTGTTTTCCGAACCGTAGCCCCCCCATCAAAGGGGGAGTTCAAGGACCCCCCTCCTCGAACCCGCCCACCCCCATGACTTCGAGGGAGGGCGGAGGAGTGATGAAATCGTCGTACTAGACCTCGCCCGGCGCCGTACTGTACACGGCAAACAGTGAAGAGAGTAGGGGGGGGGGGGGGGGGGGGGGTTCACTGAGACCCAGTGTGAGAGAGGGTTCCTGCCTCTTTTTTCTCGAGAAGGTATGGCTGGCCGGGGTGGCCGGTCTCATATATCTCCGGCGGGAAGGGGGGTTAATCCAACACCGATTGACGAAAAACGTTGGTTGCTGTTGAAGTCTAGTAGCATGTTAAGGATCCGATGGGGCAGAACGTCGAGGCCAAGTCGACATACTCTAACCCGGGAACTGTTGCTCCATCACACGTTTTCCAATCGCATCGTATTTCGCACACCCTTACGATGTTTTCTGGAGTGGATCTGCCGGGTCTAAGAAGATGCAGCCGTTGCTCACCAACGATGCCGATGGGTATCGAGAGGGAGACGTCACACTGGCGGTCAAGAGGGGGAAAAAAGTATCCTCGAGGACACGCCAAAGGGAATATGAGACAAGCTGCTTTCGACAAATTTCAAACATACTGGACCCGAATGCCTATCATACCTTCCACCGCCCCGTAAACTCTCTTCTAGCCCCTCACACGTAAATTCTACACGAGGGTCCTGATGTAACGCCGTGCCATATGCAGGTTTGGACCGGAAACCACCCAGATACACCCTCTCTTTTCATGTTTCTCTCCAGCCCAACGTCCGGCGGTTCCCTGGTTTAATGTACAGTGGTTTCGTTGAAGGGCGTGGCTAAGCTGTAGTGGTATTTTTGATTGTCATTTCGATTATTCGAGGGACTGACGGAGGGTGTTTAGCCCTTGGACTTGGTGTTCAGAATAAGGGCGACAATGAGACTGGGATACGGGTTAGCGGACGGATGGCGGCAAAGAGCGACGGGGCGCCATTACCCGTAGAGACCCAAAACTTCGCCAAAAATGAGAATCAGAACCATGCCGACAAAGATGCGCGATTGCTCCATGTACGAGCGCACACCCTTATCGCCGACGATACCAATCGTGTAGCCAGCCGCGAGGCCGGTGAGGCCGACCGACAGGCCGCAGGCAAGGTGCATAAAGCCGCTGTCTATCGGTTAGCAAACAAAAGCCTCGAATATCGAAATCTCCCCGATCGGCATGTCACTGACTTGAACAAGCTGTAGTTGCTTCCAGCGCCGGGAGGGGTCAAATCTTGGGCGATGAGGACGGATATGACGAGGGAGTAGACGGCAATGATACCGGACATGACGACGGGGATCAGACACTGCGCAGGCGTTAGAGAACTCCGTTTGATCGGGCGGGTACTTCGGGGCAGCATGCCTTCATGATGAGGTCGGGTCTAAATGTTCCGACACCAGCGATGCCGATTCCAGACTTTGCGGTACCGTATGCGGCGCCGATGCCTATTTGATACGAGTCCTATTTAGCATATTGTCTTGGTCGCGTCGGGAGCAGGGTAGCTGGGCTGTGTGTGTTGCAGCAGAACGTACATCCGAAGATCATGGCAGCCGCAATGCCGGCCTATGTTGGAGCAACGTCAGCACAAGGTTCGGTGGTCGATGTCATAGCTAGCAAGCTTGCTTCGTCGACGACGAGACAGCAAGGCGCGCGGGGAGGAGAGGCGGAGAGCTTACCATTCCGATGAACGGCGCGAACTTGGGGGCGAGGACGGAGTCTTCGGCCATGTTGGGCAACGATGTAGTCGAACTCGATGCGGAGGGTTTGTGGTGATGGCCGACGGAAGGGGGATATGCGTTTCGAGGATCCCGACCTTGGAGCTTGGTGACGGCGACGAGGTCCAATCAGAAGTTGCAACCCGGACAGGCTGAGAAACTCGTGACGCGGCAGAACCATGGGCCGAAGCACCAGCCCCATCTCCAGCGATAGTGTGGCTAATGTGGCTGGTGTCGTAGCGGCGGGCTGGGAGTGGGTGTGGTTGGGTTGGGTTGGGTTGAGTGGAGCGGCCAGCTAGGTACGTAGTACGTAGTACGTTCTCCAGATGGCACGTCCGTCTTATCGGTACGGATGCGGATAACCCATGGCCTTATCGCCGGCATGCACATGTGGAGGAATGGAATCCCGTCCCGCCAACCCAACTGTCATCGCGTGTTATCTCGAGTGAGTGCTTTGGCCGTTGTTTCTCGTCCTTGCCCAAATGGGGGGGGGGGGGGAACGAGCCTAGGCGCAATGGTTCAGATTTGGCTTTTTGTTGCGCCTCTAATGTCCTAAAGCTAGATGGCACCCCTGGTTGGACAATAACGGCTTGTGAGACGGGAGGCTTCGTCAAAGCCTCCCTTACCCCGAACACCTGCGCTTTGGAAACATCCCGGAGGAGTAGTTGTGTGCGGTTGCGCATCAGCCATCATGCAGAGGAAGACCCATTTCTCTCCCAGTAGTTACGCTGCCCACCCTCACGCACGACTTGTTCCTCGGTAGTCTCCTGCACAGAGGGTCTGCTTGAAAACGAGGCACTGCAGATGCCAGCAGCGCTACAAGTTAGACACTAGTATATTCTTAGGACCTGACGGCTCCTAATCATGTCTGAGGAATGCGCAGGCCACTCAAGCGGGCGTCTTTTAATATCGAAGCAGAGCGCCGCGACTTCCTCACGACGTTAGGGGGGGAAAACGGTAGATCGGGCCAAGTCCCGACCTTGGAAGTCCTAGCCTTAGCGCCTCTGTAGATGGTCGAACTTGCACGTTTTGGGGGTTTGGCCATGCTGTTTTTTCTTTCCTTCTTTTCTTCTTCTTCTTCTTTTTTGACATTGACTTGACTGGCGTCTGATTGACGGCGATGCATCTGGGTGGTGAGTGGCACACGCAGACGATTCGACTCGGCTTGCACCAGACCGTGACCGACTTATATGCTGTGCCGCGACTCGACTTCCTTGGCTTGTCGCACCCTCGGGCCAAGTGTGAAGCGAGGAAGACAGCGAGGGAGGGAGGAAGAGGAGCAGGAAGGAGGCATTGGGAATTACATTGCATTCAAGTTGCACGTTGCACTTTTTTCTTGGAAGAGGACGCGCATCCGTCAGATCCGAGTAAGGCGGCGCCGCCGTATCTGTCCCTGCTCTGCCTACCTACCTACCTTTCCTTTCCGAGGTATCTCACATACCTGGGTATTACATACCTACATGGAGACAGACCACCCTACCTATTTACTACGCAAGTAAGTGTTAGTTCAGGTGATGAGCGTACGAATTCCAGCCCTAAGAACCCCAGAGAAGGATAAGTGAGGTGGTTGGCCCCTCACAGCGGCATCCCATCATCCCAGACTGGCGGTCCAACCTGTCCTTGTCCCGCCAGGCCTGTTGCCAGACTTTTGACCTGGTACTGTACATACCTAAGGCTAGTAGGGTATCCGTACTGCGTAGGTTATCCCCAGCTTTCGACGCCTGTGACATCCCAGGTTTCCCATCTCGGTCCCAGTTGAGTTGAGTTGGCCCGGTCCAGTCCAGTCCCAGAGTCCAGTCCAATTCGGTTGTTCGTTTCTGGGGGTCCATCCTAGTTAGCCCAATACCAATGACTTAGCACCGCCGTCGACCAACGGGACCACCGACAGACACCCTTTTTCCACCACCACATCCACCTCGAACCATCACTTTTTGTCCCCCAGCATTTCCATCTCCGCCAGCAACCACGTTACTCAGCATTTGCTATCCACGCCGCACATCCCGCGCTACGCTGCTCTCTCCCGCCGCCCCATCCCCTCCCCGACGCTCCTTTCGCGGCACCTCGGAAACCCGTAAAAAAAAAAAAAAGATACAAAACAAAAAGGACAAACGAAAAAAAGAAAGGGAAAAAAATAACCCAATTCCATCGGGTGTTGCCCGGTTTGGTATCTTTTTCCTCCTTTCTCTCCTCTTCACCCCCTTCAACGCCTCGTGCCCGGGTCAGGGCCCTGTGCGTCAAAGTCAAGTCAAGCCAGAGAGGCCCATAACGTCACCCAACCCATTGTGGAAAGGAGACGGGGAATAGAACAAAGGCGAAACGGAAAGCAACCACCACGGAGAAAAAAAATCCACCCTCGTCGCCGGCCGCCGCCTGCCTCTACGATCCGTTGACGATTGTCGCCGCGGCCTCGTTTCGCAAACACTCAATTGTGCCCTTTGAGCGGCGTGCGCGGTCCTGTGCCTCCTCACCATAGCCGGCGGCCGTTAGGCCTCGCGTTGTTAGTACCGCACCTCTCTCTCGACTCTCTTGTACCACATTTTTCTCCACTTGGCACACTCGCCATCTCTCTCTCTCTCTCTCTCTCTCTCCTTAAACCAACCCGCCAACACACACACGATCAAAAGCTGATAAGGGTTCTCACTACCGACTATCAGCTCCATCAACCCAAATCATGGCCGAATACCACGGCGACCCGAGAGGTCATTCGTCCAACTACCAGCGCGATACCGCCTTCTCCAACATTTTCGGCGCAGCCCCCCCGCCGGGACGTTCCCAGACAATGACCTCCTCCTCGATGCCTCCTCAGATGATGCCGCAACAGGGCAGGACGCAGACAATGTCCTCCTCCACCATGTCGTCTATGCAGCGCCAACCACCCCCGAGAGTGCCTCCGGGTCAGTACATGGATCGCGAGCCGGGCTCTCCGAGAGGTGCTTCCGTACAGCCCAACGGGTACGCCGCACAGCAGCGATCGGCATCCGGCGGTTACCAAGTTCCCAATCCTCAAGCACACTACATGCACCAGCAACAACAGGCTCGCCGCCCGTACGGAGGGCCCGCCGGACCCATCCCTCAGCGCGGCGATGTTAGAGGCCCGCCGCACCCGCCCCAGGGGCAGTACGGTCCGCCAAGAACCGCGACGCAGAGATACTACCAGGGAGGAGGAGGAGGAGGCCCGGCGCCGGCTTTGAACAGCGATCCCTACCGATCGCAGTCTCTCGCCTCCGCCCCGAGGCCGAACATGTACCAGCCTCCTCCGAGCGCCTACGGCTCCCTGCCGAATCAACAAGCCCCGGCCAACGCTTTCCGCCAACCCCCGTACAACCCGAGTTCGTCTCGAACCACGGCTCAAGGAAGGGTCGTGCCGGAACGCCACGATGATCGGGCCATGTCCATGACCGGCTATCCCTCCCATGACCGCGATATGCATCAATACCAAAACTCGCACCAGACCATGAGCGGGCGGGTCATCCCGAACAGGAGGGCACCCGTGGAGCTGCCCAACACCGGCGGTAGCTTTGGGGCAGGCTATACGCCGGCGCCCGGGTCTCAGACGAGGACGACCAGCATGGCTTCCTCGAGTGGTGATGCCCTTAGCCAAAGGACAATGTCGATGGCGTCTACAGTGGCGCCCACGATAACACCTTCGGATAGCGACTCTGCGACACTGGCGCATAGGCCCTCCATGAGCAAGTCCATGGACGGTGAACGGCCGCCGACTGGCAAGATCCGACCTCCCCTGGTATATCCCGCGTTGTTGTCGAGGGTTGCCGACTGCTTCCGACAAAAGATCATCACCGGCGACCGGACGAAGAACGAGCTCACGTATAAGAACGCCTTCAGCGGCGCCGAGGCCGTGGACGTTTTGTCGTACATTATCAGAACGACCGACCGGAATCTGGCGCTGTTGCTGGGACGAGCACTCGATGCGCAAAAGTTCTTCCACGATGTGACATACGAGCACCGCCTGCGAGATTCGACGTCGGAGATGTACCAGTTCCGAGAAACACTGATGGAAGAACCCGAAGAGAAGCCCCCCGTCAACGGCGTTTTCGTCCTCCTTTCCGAATGCTACTCCCCAACGTGCACGAGAGACCAGCTTTGCTACTCCATCGCCTGCCCTCGCAGACTGGAGCAGGTGTCTCGATTGAACCTGAAGATCCAGCCCGGCCTGAAGAAGGAATCCGACCACGCCGCGAACGAGGACGACGTCGACCAGACGGACGAGCAGAAGCTGTGGATAAACTCGGTGCCGAGGGAAGTGGCCGACAGCGTCGGCGACAAGGAGAAGAAGAGACAGGAAGTCATATCGGAGATCTGCTACACGGAAAGAGATTTCGTCAAGGATTTGGAATACCTTCGTGACTTTTGGATCCTGCCCTTGCGGTCCAAGGCTTCTCCCATACCTGCGAATCGGAGGGAGAAGGTCGTCAAGTCAATCTTCAGCAACATTGTGGATCACCCGAGTCTTCACGCGGTGAGCTCGCGGTTCGCCAAGTCGTTGACGGAGCGGCAACAGAAGAACCCGGTTGTCGGCAACATTGGTGACATCTTCGCCGAGTGGGTGCCTCAATTCGAGCCGTTCATCATGTACGGATCCAAGCAGCTGGAGGCCAAGTTCGAGTTCGAGAACGAGCGTTCGGCCAACCCGTACTTTGCCAAGTTTGTGGACGAGATCGAACGCAGGAAAGAGTCTCGCAAGCTGGAGCTCAACGGTTACCTCACCAAGCCGACAACACGATTGGCCCGTTACCCGCTGTTGCTCGAGAACGTCCTCAAGTACACCGAGGACGGCAACTCGGATAAGGAAGACATCCCGAAGGTGCTCAAGTTGATCCGCGACCTGCTGACCAGGGTCAACGCCGAGTCCGGAAAGGCCGAGAACAGATTCAACCTGAGGCGCCTGCACGAGCAACTGCGCTTCCGGCCAAACGAAAGAGTCGACCTGCGGTTGACGGAGGAGGGCAGAGAATTGGTGTTCAAGAGCCAGCTGAAGAAGACACCGCAGGACGCTTCCGAGATCACCGCGTTCTTGTTCGACCACGCCGTCCTGCTCGTGAGAATCAAACAAGTCGGCAAGGGCGAGGAAATCAAAGCCTACCGGCGACCGATTCCCCTCGAGTTGCTTGCCATTCGGGAGATGGAGGAGGTCATCCCCGACTCCGGTGCCATGAAGCGATCGTCGTCGAGCTTGATCCCCCAACTGCGGAACAACACGAACGACAGCAAGAAAGGCGAAGGCTGGCCGATCACGTTCAGGCATTTGGGCAAGGCCGGGTACGAATTGACCCTCTACGCGTCGAACCAGGCTGCACGTAAGAAGTGGCTCGAGTTCATCGACAGTGCCCAACAACGTCTGAGGGCCCGCGCCGACTTCTTCAACACCAGCGTCATCTCTGCAGGGTTCTTCATCGGTACCAACCAAGTCAACTGCGTCACGCCATATGATGGTGGACGCAAGCTGCTGTACGGCACGGACAACGGCATCTACCTCTCCGACCGCAAGAGCAGGGACGCGATACCGAGGCGTGTCATCGAGACGACGAGCGTCACCCAGCTCGACGTCCTCGAGGAGTACGGCCTCCTTCTGGTGCTGTCCAACAAGGCGCTCTACTCGTACCCTCTCGGGGCGCTCGACCCGAACGAGCCCGCTCTTTCCAAGCGACCCAAGAAGATCCAGAGCCACTGCAACTTCTTCAAGACGGGCATCTGTCTGGGCAGGCATCTTGTGTGCTGCGTTAAGTCCTCGGCTCTCTCGACTACGATCAAGGTGTACGAGCCCAACGACGCCATGTCCAAGGGGAAGAAGCAAAAGGGCTTTGGCAAGATGTTTGCCGGCCAGGACGAGCTCAAGCCGTTCAAGGAGTTCTACATCCCCACGGAATCGTCGTCCGTACACTTCCTCAAGTCCAAATTGTGTGTGGCGTGTGCCCGCGGTTTCGAGGTGGTGTCGCTCGAGACGCTCGAGACGCAGTCGTTGCTTGACCAGGCCGACACGAGCCTCGACTTTGTTGCACGGAAAGAGAACGTCAAGCCGATCCACATTGAGCGCCTCAACGGCGAGTTCTTGCTCAACTACTCCGAGTTCTCCTTCTTCGTCAACCGCAACGGTTGGCGGGCGAGGCCGGAGTGGCGCATCGATTGGGAGGGAACGCCACAGAGCTTCGCCCTCAGCTACCCGTGGATCCTGGCGTTTGAGCAAAATTTCATCGAGCTCAGAAACATCGAGAATGGCGCCGTGCACATTGTGCCGCATAAGAACATTCGGATGCTGCACAGCAGTACGCACGAGGTAGGACCGTCTTCCGGCTCTTTGGTGCAATATCCCCCGCTCACACTCATTAGATCATTTTCGCGTATGAAGACGAAAAGGGCGAGGACGTCGTCGAAGCCATCGACTTTTGGAAGAGCAATAGGAGATCGGAAATTCCCTGATTGGCATCTGCGTCGCTATAGCATCTTGCCTGTTCCTCGGGGGAACCCATGTTTGATTAAAGATCGATACCAGAGTGATTTGACTCAACTTCTTTTGCAGGCTTGTCGCTGGCAGAAGTTCTACGGCGACGAGGGCCGTGTACCGGCTGACGCGCGCCAGACCCAAGGGGCAATGATTTGGGAGGGGATGTCTCTTCTAGAGCAGGCAAAGGCAACCTGTTTTTGTCACAGACGTACGGTTCTGTTTTGCATTCTTGTTTCTATTTGGATGAGAGTTTTCGCCGGGTTGGTACAGGGCCTCATTCTTATCCAAGGGTTTGGTTGCGGCAGAGGAGCGAACGAGAGGCCGCGACAGGCGGGGGTGGGAGGCGGCCGGGGCGAGACAAGAATGAGAAGAGAGCGAGCGACAGAGGCGGCCGAGAACAAACTCGAAGCAAGCTGTTCCCATGCAGAGATGCGGTGGCGTTGCGCGATTGTGAGGTGAAGAAGCAGAAGAGCATAGCGTGACGGATTTGCTTGTGCATCGTCGTCGTCGGAGCTTCGAGGTCCGAGGTTTGCATACGGGTGCGCGGGGCGGGCTGGGTTGGATCCGACTTGTTCGTAATTGCATGAGCGTGTTGAAGAATGAGACCGGGATGGCTACCGACGACGGATGTCCTTGTGAATGGCAGTGGCGTGAATCTGGTGCTGCGTGTTAATGCGTTGTATTCCCCACCCAGTCATGCTAGAGCCATGGCGAGAGCTATTCGAGAGGCTGTTCCCGAAACGGTCTCTGGCTTTCTCCGGTCACTGTCTGCTCCGGAGTATTTACTCGCAATACCCCGGAGGCGACGCCAAGGAACGGTATAGGGACGTTGAACGCCGCCTCAGGCCTATTTAGCCGTCGGGCTACAATGACCCCCGAGTGAGGTCTGGGCCTCCTCCTCCTCCTCCTCCTCCTCCTCCTCCTCTTCAGCATTGTTCAAGCCATCTGCTGGGGTGGTTATGATGGCGTTGGTGGTGGTCGTGGCGGTGTAGTTTTATACTAATCACCTTCGCAAAGCTCACAGCTGCTGCTCTTTGGCCTCCTACTACTCCTGCCCTTGGACTGTTCCTCAGCGTTGCCTCTGGAGTATCGGGTATGGGTAGTCCGGGGTAGACGGTGACTGTGGGGGGAGAGGCCCTTTTCTACGATCAATCCCTTAGAGTCCAACAAAGAGATGTTATGGTTGAACCCTTGACCTCGCAATGAGCATCGATGTCCAGTTCCAAACCAAGAGATGCCGAGCAGAGGATAAAGGCTGTGTCTGCCTTGCGGCGTAGTCTTAGGACGGGAACGAACCTCTGGGGCTGTTACGCTCTTTGTATGGGCGTTTCTAACACGGCCGAAGATTCGAGTAGAAATGTACCTTTGGATTCTGATCTGGAAGACATGACATGGTATGCTAACCTTAGCGGGCACCGTGAAGAAGCTGCTGGCAGATTCTGTATACTCTAGTATTAACGAGCAAAGATTGTAGATGATGCGACTAGAGGGAAGGAAAGAGCATATTTCGCTTGATACTCGACCGTGGAAGGCAGGAAGGCGCCACCCAGCTCTTTCCTGCCAGATGCACCTTCTTCTTTGGCCTTCTTAAAAGGCATATATAGCTCCTTACGCTCTTCTCCTTCTCAACTTCCACCTTCATTTTCACTCAGAGTCACAAATGTCTCAAGCAACACAACCCTTGTCCCCTCAACGCTGAGTTTCTCAACATTCACCCAAAGATATTGAGAAACCCTGACCTCATCCTCATCCACAAGAAAAAAACCTACCCGGGAATCAAGCCACCCGGGACATTGCCAAAGATGGCTTGCTTACCCAACCCCGAACGGCTGCTTGAGACGGGCAAGTTCAGCGACTTTACCATAATCTGCCAGAGTACGAAGATTCGTGTTCACAAGGTTATCCTCGGCTCTCATTCCGGATACTTTGCTGCCTTATTCCGCCGCAAAATGAAGGTAGCTATCACTTTCCTACTTAAAGTTATTGGATTGAAGCTTGCTTGGTGCTTGAGGCGAGATGGCAACTGACGACCGACCGCCCACAGGAAGCTGTCGTCACCTTTGACGACGTCGACCCGGGGGTGATGAAGCACCTCATCCGATTCTTCTACAGCAACGACCAAGAACTCGGCTTTGAATCGTCAGACCTGAAGACCAACGTGGGCGTTTGGATCTTAGCCGACCGTTTGCAGGCGAGACGTGCTATGAAAGAGGTTGAAATCAGCTTGATGGGCTATCTCAGTAAATACGAACACAAGAAGGCCGCATCTCATGAAAGTCTTATAGACATGGTGTTTTCTCATCCAGCCTGCGCCGAGTCTGCCGTTGGTCTTATCTTTGCAGATGCCATGTGGGCTGTTTTTGCAAAGAGTGATTGTGCGAAAGCCGCTCTCGCGCGCCTCAGCAAGTATACCGAGCTGATGCAAATAATGCTCATATGGTCCCATAGCTATATGCAAAGAGGGGCCGACTTTAATGAACGTAAGTCGCTCGTGGCTTGTGATCCCGACGCTGTAGAAAGCTGGAGATGCCAGGCGATCTACATGGTACTCACCGACGACACCGCCGAGGACTCGGACACCGACGACTCGGACAGCTCGATCTAGGTACGTTATTCTTGAAACCAAGTGCGGAACGTCACTGACGTAGGTAGCTTTCTAGCTTGGGATTTTCACCGAGATATCATACTCGAGGGTTGGTCTCATCTCGGACACTTCTGAGGAGCTGGGGCCTATGAAAGTCTCGGGGATGGATATTCAGTAAACCACTGCACCATGGAATAGGACATACCCTCTGATTCGGTTCTAGGATGGTTAAGTTTGGATGTTAACGCTGGGAGGGGGGGGCAGGTCAGGCTAGTATTTAGCCATACACATCCTCCAATACACATGAGTCGATTCTCAGCCAAACAAAGCTAACCTGCCCTGACTATAGACGTTGTCGACTGTAAAGTGCCTCTGCCCTAGATGACGTCTGATAACATTTCACGAGCGAACAAAGAGGGCGATGATTGACATGTAATTACATTGTACATTTGGTATCAAGATATTAAAAAACCAAAAACCAAAAACGCAAGCGCCATAATGCAAACCACGCGAACCGTCATCGACACGCGATGCGCTCAAGGGCGCTACTTCTTGTGACCGGCCAAGTGCCACTCAAAGACGTTCCTGAACCTCTCCTTGCCGTCGCCCTGGATGACGTCGCCGTGGCAGGGGACGATGGTGTCAAAGTCCCAGGCGTCGATGCGGCGGATGCTCTCGTTGAAGGCGGTGCGGTCCTTGCTGCTGATGAGGTACCACTGGAAGCGCCTGGTCCACCTGAGGTCGCCCTGGGTGGTCTGCAGGCCGCCAAAGAGGCGGTTGGCGAGGCCGGAGGAGGTGTCCCTCTCGGCCTCGGGGGCGCGGGAGTACTGCTCGGTGGGGGGCAGGTTGAAGAGGAGGTCGGCCTGGATGAGGAGGCGGTCGGGCCTGTAGAAGAAGGCGATCTCCTTGTTGGGGTGGGCGTCGACGTACTCGCACTCGAAGTCGGCGTCGAAGTCGGGGCCGACGGCGACGACGGGGGGTTCGCCGGCGGCGGCGGGCTTGAAGACGACGGCGAACTCGTCGGCCGGGTTGATCTTGGGGTCGGCCGTCTGCTTGGCGCGCTTCTGGGGCAGGCCGTCGGGGCCGACGAGCTTGGCGGCGGGGAAGGCGGCCTTGTACTCGGAGAGGAAGATGTGGTGCTCGATGTCGGGGGCGACGATGTAGGCGAGGTCGCCGCCCTTGTCGGCGATCTTGGCGCGGACGTGGTCGGTGAGGGCGACGGGGGAGAAGATGGCGAGGCGGCCCGAGGTCAGGCGGACGAGGGTGCCGCGGCCGCCGATCTTGACGGCGCCGAAGCGGGAGAAGGGGACGGAGAAGGTGGTGACGTTGGGGGTGAGGTCGCGGATGACCATGACGTCGGCCGGGTTCTGGGGGATGAGCTTCTGCGACATGGTGGCGGGCGGGGGGGTGAAGCGGTCCTTTGGATCGTGGGAGCGAGGCCGGGAGGGTTTCTGCTGCTGCTGCTGCTGGTGGTGGTCGGGGGAGTCGAGGGCGGCGTGCTGGCCCTGGTTGGGGGTCTGGGAGGTGTTGGTGTTCGCGTCTGTGTGAGAGGACGAGGAGGCGCCGGCCGTCGATTCTTGGCCCCGGGAGTGAGCCTGCGACGACGGGTTGTGGGTGGCCGTGAAGGCTCTGCGGTGGACGCGCGAGGAGGGGTTGAGGGCGCGGCGGGCGTGGGCTGATGCGGCCGGAAGTCTGAAGACTCTCTGAATGGTACGAGTGTTAGAAGCCGTGATGTGTGTGTGTGTGTGTGTGTGTTGATGATGGATGGGGGAGGTTGATATTGTGTACGATGTAATATGATTAATCTATACTGATTCGTGACCAGGAAGGGTGGAAGGAGGGCATCGGCGGGTTTTATGTGTGAAGCAATGCGACGGGCATTGACACTCGACTTGAGGATGAGATGAGTTGGCAGGGTGGGAAATCAAGCAACTGTCACTGACGGAAAAAAAAAAAAAAAAGCACGTACCATTTTGGGAGGGGAATTGGACGAATCGGACGTTCTAGAAGTGTGTTTGTATAGGTGTACCTTTTGCCGGATTACATGGTATTTGATATGTGGAATTGATATTGAATTGGTACGCAGCAGCAGTACGATGTAGTGTGGTAGTTAACTGTAAACGTACACTAAACGTGCCACACCCTCCACCTCCACCAGGCGAACCGGGGGAGGGGGGACATGACATCACGAACCGAGGGGGTGTGGGAACCGCATCAGAGTGACATAGGTACTATGTACACAGACCTGCCGGTAGTATCCTCAGTCGTCAGTCGTCAGGTCATCGCGGCCGAGGCACAGTCGGGGTCGGTTGATCGCAGAGTCCGTAAAGTCACCCTGCCTTGGTACTATGCAATCCGTCCAACAAGCCCCTCCATGCACAAAGCGCGCTGCGATTCCGCCCGACTCTTGCGGGAACCGGTGACTCGAGTCTATCCGCTGGAATACCTACCGTATCCTCTCGGTGGAATCCGAAAGGGAGCCGAGGCACGGCGACCCGGCTAGGCCGAGAACGGTAATCTTCTAGACGCTTTTTCGATCCGCGCTAAGCCTATCGTGGAAATCCCTCCACACCCCTTTCTTTCCCAGGGCCCCCGGGACGACGGGCGCTGGTCTCGATTCCAAATCGTGGCGCCGGACTGGCTGTCAGAGTTACGCGTTCAAGGACAACCTGGTTTTGATCCCCTTCTAGTCTCTGGGTTCGCCCGGCACGCACAGGACCACGAAGTGACAAATCCCGTTTGAAGAGGATGTGCAAGATAATGTACCCTGGCCGGCGATCCGAACGGAAATAGTCCACTGACCGACCGACTGACTAACTGACTGACTCCCTGCACTTCTCCGGACACACACACAAACACACAAACATAGACATACACACACACACACACACACACACACACACACACACACACACACAAACACACAAACATAGACATACACACACACACAACACCCTCTTCCAAAATCAGACAGAAACCTTCCCACCAACTGCCAAAACCAACCCGTCAAGGCTTTCCCCTGTTGTCCCCCCCCCTCATGACCTACCCACCCACCACCACTCCGCCCCCTCCCCGACGGCCGCGCTGTACGGAGCCGTCCCGCGCAGCCGCATGTCCACCCCGCCGAGCCCGAGCCACGTCGACCGCTCCGGGTGCAGCGCGCGCTCGACAAAGTACGCCCGCGTGTACCCGTTGGCCATCTCCCAGACCCGCTGCACCGCCCACGTCGCCGCCAGCACCTGGTACGTGTAGTACAGCACGCACATCATCCCCGCGTCCTTGACCACCGTCGCCACCCGCTGCGGCGGCGGCGCCCGCCCCGGCGACCCGGGCTTCCACCGCCTTTCCGGCAGAAAGAAGCCGCGTAGTACGCAGCGGGCATGCACCCACGCCGCCGTCTGCCCCCACGACAGCAGGTGCACCCGCGCGCAGGCCCAGAACGCGAGCCCCAGCCGCGCCGCGTAGTGCCGCCCCTCGTTCCTCATCTGCTCCCGGATGTCCACGTCGCCCCGCATGACCCCCAACAGCCGCCAGAGCAGGAGCCCGTCGTCCTCGTCCTCGTCCTCGTCGCCCACCTCCCCCGCCGCCGTCTCGCTGCTGGCCCCGGCCCCGGTGCCGGTGCCGCCCTTCCCGCAGCACGAGCGGTACCTCCTGTACACCCTCTTCACGTTCCGGACGACGTCCTGCGCGCCCGCGGGGAGGCCGTCGAAGATGGGGTTCTCCATGGCGTTGCAGAGCCCGACGCAGGGACAGGCGCACCGCCCTCCGCCCCGGGTCGTGTTGTCCGAGTCGTCGGAGCCCTCGCCGTCGCTGGAGTTGTCGTCGTCAGCATCACCGCCGCCGTCCGCGTAGCCCGGCCCGTACAGCTTCTCGCTCATCTCCTGGTTGGCCGTGCACTCCTCCTCGAGCCGCTTGTCCAGCGCGCCGTTCGCCCGCCTCAGCTGGCCCGCCTCGACCTCCAGAACCTGGATCCGTTCGAGGGCGTCCGTCAGGTTGGTCTCGCACAGCTTGCGCGCCTTCTCGGCCGCCTCGTACATGGCCTGCAAGTCCCTGACCTGCCTCTCGTGCTCGGCGTGCCGTCTGCTGGTGCGTTCCTCGTGCGCCTTCTTCGCCGCGGCGAGGGCCTCCGCTCCCTTCTTCCTCTCGTCCACCATCTTCCGCACCAGCTCGTGCTCCCGCCCCGTGTTCGGACTGTATTCCTCCATCGCCCTCTCGTACTCGCCCTTCTGCTTCTTCTCGTCTCCGGCGCCCTCGCCGCTCTGGCTGTCCGTCTCTTCGGGCCCCCGGCAGAGCATGTTGGATATCACCCGTCGCATCCTCTCCAGGCTTCTCGCGTCGTCCTCCGCGTCGATGCCGAGCGCCCGCTCGATGCCCGTCACCAGCGTCGCGCGCATGTCCTCCGCCACCTCCGCCCGCCTGTCGGCTTCGCGGAGCCGGCCTGCCATCCCCTCGATGACCATCTGCGCCGTCTCGAGCGGCGCGCTCCTCGTCAGGAGCTCGTTCGAGAGCTTCTCCCTCAGGTCCGCGGCCTCCTTCTTCAGCCCGGCCGCCTCCTTCATGAGCTCCTCGTGGTTGTACACCGTCTCGCGCATCTCCCTGTCCAGGCCGTCGCGGATGGCCTTGTCTTTGAGTTCCTCCATCAGCTTGACCGCCTTCTCCAGCCGCTCCTTTTCGCCGGCCAGCGTCCTGTTTTTGGTCTTCTCCACCTCCGCCCTGGCCCTCGCGGCGATGAGGTCCTTCTCGAGCTGCCTCTGGCGCGCCTCCTGCGCGGCCCTGTCCCTGACCGCCTGGTCGGCGACCCGCGACCGCTCTTGCAGGCTGCTGTTCTCGTGCCTGAGGGTCCTGACCATCTCCTGGAGCTCGCTGTCCGTGCCTTCTACCGAGCCCTTGGACAATCTGGCCCTGAGGTCCGCGTTTGTGGCGGCGGCCTCGGCGAGGTCCTTCCGGAGGCGCCGGACCCTGCTGCGCACGCAGTCGTAGTCTCGCGAGTTGACGCCGGCGTCGATGAGCCCCTCGACCGCGCTCTGGAGCGTCTCCGTCTTTTCCAGCATCTTATCCATCGTCTTTTTCCAATGGCTCAGGGCATCATGGACGGTTGTTGGGATGACGGACTTCAGCATGCGATTCGGGTTGCCGTCGTCGCCGGAGAGGTCGCCGGAAGCGACGGATGTCGGTTCGCTGGCGGCGTCATCGTACACGATGTCGCGGCGGTCCGCGTACTCTCCTCCTCCTCCTCCCCCTCCGTCCTCGACACCCTCGTCGAGGGTCACGGTCCGAGACTGCGACGGGAGTGTCGGCCTCCGGCTCCGGGCCCGGACCCTTGGCACGGGGTCGTCGACGGGCACCGAGTCCTCCACGACGCGGCTGATGCGTTCCAAATCCTTCTCGCAGGCTTCCGCATAGGAGCGGAGGCTGCCCAACTTCTCCTGGATGCGGCGCACGAGCGCCTCTTGAGGCCGCTGGCGGCGGGGCCGTTTCTCGATGTCGCCGTTATCGATGAACGAGTCGAGTTCAGGGAAGCCGTCGACTCTGAGCCTTTCCCTCTGCAGGATCATCCCTTTGAGTAACGCGTGGATTACCTCCCCAGACGGCAGCGGCAGCGGGTGCACCCAAGTCGTACCCTTCCAGTAGCCGGCCTTTGCCGTATGCCATGTCCCGTTTGCAAGGTAGCGGTAGAGGGTCCGCTCTGGGTCGTCGTCGAGGTCGTCCAGGTCCTCGATCCACTCGGCCAACTCCCCCTCATGCTCGTCGATGGCACTCCGAAGGGCCTCTTCGTCCTTCTTCAGGTTCGTCTGGGTCTTGCTGACCTTCTTCCTGAGCCTGGCGATCCGCCTGCGGATTGCGGCGGGGTCCTTTGGGTCTTCTTCGCCATTGTCGGATTCGTCATCGCTGGGTTCCTCGCCGCCGTCGTCCGGCTCGGCCGTCTTCTTCTCGTCGGAATCGTCCGCGCCGTCGAGCCTCTTTTTGAGGGCCTCGATCTCGGCCTCGAGTGCGCACACCAGCTGGATGGCGGAAGCCTCGTCGTCTCGGAACCGCTGCTTTCGCTGTCTCAGGACCTCGAACTCCTCGCAAGTTTCCTTGATACCGCGCAAGGTCGCGGCGCGCTCATCCTCCTCGTCGGAGGAGGATTCGGTGGTGGGCGAATCGGGCACCTGATCGCCTGGGGGAGATGAACGCGACGCGTCATCCGTCGTGCTGTCGAGCGTCTCGGGGCGGTTGGGCGTCGGGGTTTCCGAGGCCCTTGCGATCCGCGAAAGGCTGATGCGGCGGGCAAGCTCCTGATCTAGTTTCTCGACGATACGAAGCTGATAATTCTGCAACCCGGTCGCGGTGTCCTGCAAGCGCAGACCCGATTCGATGCTTTTCTTGAACGTGAAATATGCCTTCAAGTATGCCCCCGTCGGGCCATGGGATACTTGGGCCACCGGCGTCATGTCCTCCGCGTGTGGCCCCCCGTTCGTCTGCGTGCCTGCATCGCAGGGTCTCTTCTTTAGGAGCGCCTCGGTGTGCGGGACGTCATACAGCTCATCCTGGAGCTTTGCTATTATCTTATCCGAAACGTCGAGCTGGGCCTTGAGTTTTTCAGTAGCCTGTGTGTGCTCGAACTTGATCCTCGCCATTTCGGACGCGTGGCCACGACCCTCGTCTTCCGCCATTTTGAGCCGGGCCTCGAGTCCGTCAACAACATGTTTGTGCCAGACCCTGAAGCGTTTCACCTCGGCGTTGTCCGCGTCGACGCGGTTATCGAGACGCGTCGCGAGATCCTCAATTTCCCACTCATAGATCTTCTTTTCTTCGTCGTATTCCTTCCTCAAGTTATCCAGCTCGGTCTGTTTGGACCTCAGCGCGGCCGCGCGGGTGCCTTCCCAGACCCCTTTCTCTTCTACCTCGTGGCGCCTTTCCGCCTCTTTGCTGGCTTTGTAATTGGCCGCGCTCAGTTGTCGCTGCAAGTCGGCAACCTTCTCCTCGAGCCTGTCGATTTCTTTGCCGAGGTCTTCGTCCTGGCTGTCGTCGCCGTCGCTTTCGCCATCTCGGCGTGCCTCCAAGGCGGCAAGCTCCGCCTCGAGTTTCTTGTCGTGGGCGCGGCAGTCGTCAAGTGCTTTTCTCTTCTCCTCGAGCTCTTCCTTCTTCTTCTCGAGCTCCTCCTTTGTTTTCCGGGTCACTTCGTCCATCTCCTCCATATCGCCGTCCATCTCTCCTAGCTCTTCGTTGTTCTCGAGCCCCTCCTCCAGAGCAGCGTTTGCTTGTCTGGTCCCCTCTTCTGAGTGCCGACGGGCCTTCAAGTTCTCCCAGAGCTGCTGCCTCTCTTGCTCCAGCTGGCCGCGTTGTGATTCAAGCTGCTCGATTGTCGCCTGAAGAGTGGTGGTCGTGCCCCGGACATCTGCCAGCTGTTGATGTGTTCTGCCAAACTGACTTTCGGCTTCGTCGACGCGTTGCGATAGTGCCGAAACGAGCTTCAAATAGCCTTCCGGGTCGTTGGTAGAGCTGAAAATCGCCCCCTCATCGCCTGCGCCTTCTTCCTGCAGCATAACTCTTGCTTCGGCCCATCTGACCTTTGCCTTGCGTTTGCTGGCCTTTGGCTGGACTGCCTGAAGCCTTTCCTTGAGCAGCTCGTCAATCCTTTGTTGCAATGACAGTTCGCCTTTCAGCTTTCTGAGCTCCCTTGAGCGTCGTCTCGCCTCTCCTTTCAACACCTCAATCTCCATGTCCGCCTGCTGCCGTTGAGCCTGGCATTCCCTAAGATCGGCTTGCATGTCTCGCGGCTCGACTGCTGAGGCGCCCTGAAGTCGTTGTTCGTCCCGCTTGGCGGCGTCCTGCGTCGGTGTCTGAGCCCTGCACTCCGATGCGTCGGGTTCCTCACCGGAGGCTTTGCTGGTCTCGGCGGTGACGGCGGCCTCCTTCAGTTTGTGGATCTCGTCTTGCAACTCTTTGATTTTGTCTTTCTGCTTCTTCGTCTCTCCATCCAGTTCTTCAAGTCTTATGTCGGCTTTGTTGCGTTGTCTTTGGCATTCGTCCAGCGTCTCACCCAGTTTGGCGGAAGCCTTTCTGCCAGTCTCAGCGACCTCCTTCAGTCTCTGGATCTCGTCTTGTAACTTGTTAATTTCGTCTTTCTGTTTCTTCGTCTCTCCCTCCAACTCTTTGAGTCTCTGGTCTGCTTCCTCGCGACGGATTTGGCACTCATCCAGCGCCTTCTGCAGCTTAGCGGAATCGTCTACGCTGGGCTTGACGACCTCGGCGGCCTCCTTCAGCTTCTGAATCTCGTCTTGCTGCTTCTTCGTCTCGCCTTCCAATTCCTCGACTCTCTGCTCCGCTTCCTCGCGACGGGTCCGGCACTCGTCCAGCATCTTGAAAAGCTCCGCAGAACCGTCTCCCCGGCCCATCAGAGTGCATTCGGAACCCTTAACATTAATCAGCAACAGACCCAGACAGGGGCACAAACAGCTGAACTTACTGCGGAGGATTCCCTGTCGAGTTCATGGAACTCGTCTGCGAGATTCTGTCGCACAGACAGGCTCATGGGCTCCGACGCCTGAGAGCAGTCTAACCCGAGGCCGGTGGCCGTCTCCCCTCGCGCGACGAACCCTTCCGATGAAGTCTGGGATGGCTGACGATCAGGCATGACGACGGCGTGGAGGTACCTGCGGTACTCGCCTTTTCCAACCAGGGCCTTGAGACTGGCCTCCTCGGCCTCCCAGATGTTGAACATGTTGTGGGCGGCCTCGTCCACGGCGAGGGCGTAAAGGGGAACGAACTCCTCCATGACCATCTTTCGAGCCCCGTCAAAATCCTCTATAGCCCTATCACGTTCCTCCTCGGCCTGTTGCAGTTGCTCTCGCATCTTTGCCATGTCGCCTCTCACGTTGTCGAGAAGCTTTTCGTACTTCTCTCGCGGCAAGATTTCGTTGTCCACCCGGAAGGTGACGGGCTGTCGTTCCGCTTCGGCCTCGGAGAATTTTCGCAGTTGCTCATCCTTCTCGTGCTGGAGCGCTTCGATGACCCTCTTGTCCTTCTCGTTCTCGGTTTGCATTCTAAGGAGGTATTCATCTTGGTGCCTCATCTGTGCGGTGATTTCGTCGTCCTTTTGTTTCTGAGCTGCTGTCGTTATCTCGGCTTGCCTCTCTAGGTCTGCATTGTCTCTATTCAAACCTCTGAGCTCCTCGCGCAGATCGGAGATCATGGTTCTCAAGGTTTCCACGTCGACAGATGGGGCAGCCTGGCGGTTGCTCTGACGGGCTTCCTCCAACGCGTAGTTGAGCTTCTGCATCGATATTTCTTTTTCGTTGCGTTCGCTCTCAGCTTCTTCCAACTTCTGTCGAAGTTCTCTCAGCTCCGAGGTTGCCTCATCTCGCTCAGTCGCGCAGCTCTCGACTTGGGCTCTGAGATCTTTGATGTCGGACTCGTGCGCCTGTTTGGCGATGGATTCGAGCTCTTCCAACTTGGCGTCCTTCATCTTAGTGGCCTCTTCCAGGGCCAACTTCTCCCTTTCGAGCGTCGCTTGTGCCGATGTTGACATGTCAAGTTTGGCCTGCGTACTTTGCAGATTGGTTTCTTTGTCACGGCACTCTTTGGACAACCTCGAAGCAAAGTCCTTGAAGAGTGCGTCGATGGTCTTGAGTGTTGTCCCGGACTCTTCATCTGACGGATGCTCCACGAGTGCAGGGGGAAGATCGTATGCTTCTGTGAGCTCTCTCAGGTAGCTCTTCATTTCCTGAAGCCGCCCCTGTTCTGCTGCATATTCTATCCTTGCATCGACCTCAACTTTCGAGGAGTCGGATTGCGGCAAAGAAGTGACCTTGCCCCGAGGACCGGAGCCTCCCTGCCCTGAGACGCTCGGGTCTTGGGATGGTGACATGGATGTTGTATTTTGCTCGAGAATCTCGTCGGTCTGTGCAGGTGCTGGCGGCGCAACTCGGCCAGATGATGACTGTCGTATAGCTGTCGGATTCGCAGCCCGTGACGGAGTGTTGCTTTGAGACGCGTCTCCAGCAGACGAGGCCTTGGCCGCTGGACCATGGGCAACTATATTTGCGCATGAGACCGTTTTGGTGGCCCTGGTATTCTCTGGCGGCGGAGGTGGGACGCTATCAGTGGTGTTTCGTGCTTCTTTTGACTCATGTAATGGTCCCGCCAAGGGGCTCTGCTGTTGAATGGGCCGGCCACGTTGGTGGCCTTCTTGGGGTTGGTTTGTGGACGAGGATGCTGCCCGGGAGCCGGTTCGGCCTGGGGAAGGGTCCCTTCTCAAGGCGTCCCCGTCTGGGTCTCCGGCCATATTGCCGTCTTTGTCAGTGCCTCTCGGTAGGGTGGACTTACAATCTCTTGTGTTCCTCTAACAAACTGTTGTCCTATGTGGGCTATCTGACACTCCCGCTTTTGAGAGATGGCGAGAGAAAGAAAGCAGGAGAATGGAATGAAACTGGTGCAAGACGGAGAAAGATGATCAGGGGCTTTGATTCTCGAGCAATGCCATACTTATGAGATGGCGCAAGTCCACGACTCTGAGGGCTTGATCCGGCGATGCGAAGCTGGAATCGTGTGAAGCAAACTTCCCAGAGCCTCTTTCAGACTGTCAGGCACAATGCTTTACGGTTAAAAAGCCCGAAAGTCTTTGAAGCAGCAAGTCCACACTTCGGGCCTTGATGGATATTGCAACTGCGCCGTTTGCGTGTCTGCATGTGTCATTGTTGTGGCCACTGGGGCCGTTGCATCGCCAGACTTGGAATGGTCCTTTGAGCTTTGAGATTCAAAGTATTACTTGGAAGGGGGAGCACTATGTGTTCCCAGGACGTCAAACAATGAATTCAGGCGCCGGTAAAAGACTTGGCAATGCCCGATGATGGTTGCACACAAACCCTGCATTTCTTATCCATCATGAATGGACCTACTTAGCTTGCCTTTCAGGGTTACCTTTGTTTTTGTCCCATTCAATGGAGTCATGGAAAATCGTTTAATGCGTCGCCAGTAGGTGTAGGAGACTTGCGCAAATGCCGAGTGTAAAGAAGCTAGGGATCGTGAAGGGTATCTGCAAGGGACACCAGTCGCCCTTCAAATCCATTGATCGGGTCTCAAGCCCTGGCTATTCCCGCTCCTCTAAGAAACGCCTTGGGGGAAAAAGAAAAAAGAAGGAAAGCTACTAAGTAAAGCTCATCCAGATAAACGCCATCCCAATCTGCCAACCAGCTATTCTGTACATCATTAAGCACTGGGTGACGATGGACTGAGAATTTATTGCCAAAACGCCATGTTTGCTACCATGCCCATTACTAGCTGTACCATCCTCTGGCACCAGGGGTTTGTGTTGACCCCCCTTCTTTGCGATGTGTGATCATGGGCTCCTGAATGTCAAAGGTATCGATGATGTCTTGCCAAGTTTGCATATCCATGGAGAAGATGGCCTGCTGCTTTGCCGTTTCGCGCTTTACTGCTGCACGCCCGGCTGTGCCATCTTCATCTACGTCGTCGGCTTGAAAGGGACCTGGTTTCGTTGGTTAGCAGACTCATACTGGCAGGGGCTTCGGGAACTGGCTTACTGAGAGACGGATACTCGTCACTGTCGAATTCAATCTTGACCTTTCCGTCGCGGATGAGGAAACTGACGTAGAACATGTTCTCAACAGTCTGGCCGAAGGATTTGGGATTGACGACGAAGCGAAGCAGATCAACGCCTCCAGTATCGCGAAGGCCGTGCTGCTGCATGAGCGCAGTCTGTTCTTCTTCGCTCATGTCGTTTTTCTCGAAAATTTCATAGAGCTTCGTCTGGATATCGCCTTGGACGCTCTGCAGCTGCTTCAGAATCTTGCCGCAGATGGCGGTAAGATCGTTCTCCTTTTTCGCCAAGTCCTCAACGTTCAGCACCTCGGGTCTCGTCTCGGCGAGATTGTTTGGCCTGAACGGTGCGCTTCGCTTTGCAATCTTCCGAACCTTCTTCTCAACTGACAGAGGGCCGAGGAGGAAACCAGGCAGGGCAGGGCGGCGGTTGTTGGGCAGCGAGGCGAAACGTCCGAGATGGGCCCAGTTGAATGCTTCGTCGCTTCCCTCGTCCTCATCGTCGTGCGAACCGCCTTGGGTGCGGCGTCGCCGTCTTTGGGTGCTTGAGAGCTCCGGCGCTGCATCATCGGCGATCCCCCCGGCTTGCCGCATGTAAGTGCAGCACTTGGAAACGAACTCGTCCACGTCCACGCCCTCAGTCGAGCTTCCTTGCATCAAGCGAACAGTCTTTCGGTATGACAGGTCGACGGCGCTGACAAGCAGACGGGAATCGATGGTTGCTTCTGTGGTCTGCTTGACACCTCTGGCAACTTGCTGGGCCATCATCAATGTGTCTTTAAGTCCCGTCGAGCCCGGCAGCATGTACTCCTCCATATTCTCCGCGATGCCTTTCTGAAGGTCTCGCAGCTTGCGCTGGATTTCTCGGCGCTCTTCCATCGGCTGGTCAGGGTCGTAGACATCCGAGTCGTAGTCCTCGCCTCTCTCGACGGAGCGGGTCGCTCTTCGGCGGGTGGGGTGGACTCCATTTGCCGTATCTGCGCGCTTCCGCTTCCCAACGGAAACATCACGACCCTTTCCTTTGTCTCTGTGAGCGAGTTGGCCACGCACAGGGCCCCGCGCATCGTCTTCACTCGAGGATCCGGAGGAAGACGACGACGAGCCACCCACCCTCGCCGGCATCTTGGTTGGATTATAGGGTGAGGAGGTGCTTGAAAGGTGTCGTCGGCGGATCGATCAGAAGGCTGGGTGTGTCAGTCTGACTCATGAGCAAGTACAAGCAGAAGAGGGAGACGGCGATTTCGGTAATGTATCGTGGGTATCAATGATGTGGGATTTGAAGGAGGAACTCGCGCGTCGGATCGCAAGACATGGAAGACGCGACAGGCACTTCCCAGAGGGGCGCCAGGGCCCCTCCCACTCAACGCGCTCAGCAAGGTCCAACAAGGTCTAATTAATTAATTGGTATCGGTATCGAGTGGAGAAATGTGGCTGGGATCTCTTATCGACACGCGATAAAGATCTAGATTGTGGCTTGAGCGGGGCACTTCCTACCTACAGTGTACATACAGTTAGGTACCCACCGACCACACCCTGTTCTGTTAGCGGCCACGGCGCAGGTGCGCGCGCGCCCCCACTGAAGCTTCCCGCTGTTTGTCAGCTGCCTATCGGTGGTTATCCATCCATCCCGCCGACTTGCGCTACGCCAACCACCGACCATCTTCGTCGCATTCCCCCAAGACTACAACTATCTGCAGTTTCCCACCTTCATCGCATAATGGAATCGTGACCTTGGACAGGCTCCTGTTGTCAAGATGGAGCCGTTCTCATTTGCGAGCTCCGAGTCGCTGGATTTCCCAGTGAGCATCCGAATGTATGTGCCCTGCTCTGCCCTTCCAGAGCGTTGTCCCACATGTCTAGAAGTGCGCGCGACTAACGGTGGGTGTTTCTGCTGTAGAATCAACCTAGAGGGCGACGAAACACCATTCTTACATTCGACTCTCCTGGAAAAGGCCGAGCTGAGGCACATTGGCTCCAATCAGAGGTACCGAACAGCTTCCTGCGCCGTTGCTTGTCGTCGTCGCTGACCTGCTAGTTCCCACTCGGATCTCTACGTCACCGTCCAAGTATGGGCCGGCTCCAAACCCTTGACGGTGCCTGTCCAAACAGCCTACAAATCTTTCCGCACTGAGAGAAGGTGAGTGATGAGATCGGGGGCTCGCGGCCTGGAAAGGGTTCTGACATGCTGCTGCAACAGATGGAACGAATGGCTCACGCTGCCGATTAGCTACAAAACCCTCCCTCTGAACTCCTGTCTGGCCATCACGTTATGGGACTCGTCTCCCGCTGGGGGGAAGCATGCGAGAGGTCATGCGATTCCCTTCGGAGGCACGACGCTGCCGCTCTTTGACCGAGATAACCAGGTGCAGAAAGGCCGACAGAAGTGCATGGTACACCGACACAAGAACGCCGACGGTAATGACAACACGACCACGCCCGCGGTGCCCCGCAAGAAAAGGGATGGGTCGAGGAAGGGGGAGGCTCCGCCGGTAGATAAGGACGCCGAAGAGCTGGAGCGCATGGAAAAGCTGTTCAAGAAGCACGAAATGGGCGAGATCCCGAGAGTCGACTGGCTTGATCAGCTCGTCTTCCGGGGGTTCGAGAAGCGTGGTCTGCAGTCGGCAAAAGCTTCACTGAAGACCATGCAACGTCAGAGGGCAACAAATGGGGATGCGCCCGAGAAGGAGAGAAGCACCGACGACGAGAACGGTGTCGTGGACACCGAGTCTCACCCGGGATTCTCCAAGTTTCAACTCAACGTCGAGTTGCCGCGATTCGATTTCCCCGTCGTCTTCGCCGACTTGGAGTACGACCCTCCGCCAATCTCGAACCTGCAGCACATCTCTGCTTCTCAGTCCAACGTCATGCTGAAGCCACCTCCCGAGGTACAGTTTGGGCCTGGTATCAACGCGCTTGGTGATGCGGCGGGCGGCCCTGGTAGTCGGCTGATGAAGGTCTACGACCCAGAGGTCGGTGCTCGCGACAACCCGGCCGAGAGCAAGCACAGGAGACTTGTCAGAAGCCAGCATCGTCATGGCGTTCTCGACAAGGACCTCAAGCCGAATGCCAAGGTCCGCGATGAGCTGAACCTCATCATGTCCTATTCGCCAACGCATACCCTGACACCAGAGGAAAAGGACCTGATCTGGAAGTTCCGCTACCACCTTACTCGCGACAAACGCGCCGTCACAAAGTTTGTCAAATCGGTCAACTGGCAGGACCAAAGCGAGGCCAAGCAGGCCGTGCAAGTCTTGGGACGCTGGACCGAGATTGACGTTGACGACGCCCTCGAGCTGCTTGGTCCCACCTTCGACAACCAAGCTGTTCGGGCATACGCGGTGGAAAGGCTGCGCAAGGCGGACGATCATGAGCTGCTGCTGTATTTGCTTCAGCTGGTACAGGCACTCAAGTACGAGCATATCCGGGCAGACTCTTCCCAGGAGGCCATCCAGGACTCTTCCTTGGCCAAGTTCTTGATATCCCGTGCAGCCGGCAACTTCCTTCTTGGCAACTACTTCCACTGGTACTTGATGGTTGAATGCGACGATCACAGTTCCGAGCAAGGGCTGGATAACCGCAACATCTACCGAAAGGTGGCTTACGACTTCATGACGGAGCTGGTGAAGCGGCCAGACGGCGTCGAGTCGAGGAAGACCCTTTTGAGACAGGCCGAGCTGATCGCGATCCTGTCCAAGATCTCAGGGGAGGTCAAGACGTCGCATGAGTCCATTGCGAAGAAGACGGATCGCGTCAAGCATTTCTTGGCGGACCCCAAAAACGAGATGTTGACCATCGACCCGCCGCTGCCTCTGCCCCTCGATCCCGCCATGCTGGTCGTTGGCGTTGTCCCTGACGAAACGACCGTCTTCAAATCATCCTTGTGTCCTATCAAGGTCACGTTCAAAACCACCACGGGGAAGAAATACCCAATCATCTTTAAAACCGGCGACGACCTGCGCCAGGATCAACTGGTCATCCAGATCATCACTCTTATGGACCAGCTACTACAGAAGGAAAACCTGGACCTCAAGCTGTCGCCATACAAGATCCTGGCCACAAGCACGACAGCAGGCGCATCCCAGTTCGTCCCGTCGGTCAGCTTCCAGAGCATTGCTTCAAAGTACAAGAACAACCCCGCACTGACGTACTTGAAATCCAACAACCCAGACGACCGGCAACCTCTGGGTCTGCGGCAGGAGACGCTGGATACGTACGTCAGGTCTTGCGCAGGATACTGTGTCATCACCTACATCCTGGGTGTCGGCGACAGACATCTGGACAACCTTCTCCTGGCGCCCGACGGACACTTCTTCCACGCAGACTTTGGCTTCATTCTTGGACGGGATCCCAAACCATTCGCGCCGGTGATGAAGCTCTCCAAGGAAATGGTGGACTGCATGGGCGGCGTCAACTCGGAGCACTTTAAACAGTTCAAGCAGTATTGCTTCCTGGCATACACTGCCCTGCGCAAGTCGTCCAACCTGATTCTGAACCTGTTCAGTCTGATGGTGGACGCCAACATCCCCGACATTCGCCTCGAACCCGACAAGGCTGTTTTGAAGGTCCGCGAGAGGTTCCACTTGGAGTTGACCGAGGAGGAGTCGATGCTGTTCTTTGAGAGGATAATCGAAGATACCCTTGGCGCAATTGCACCGGTTGTCATTGATAAGCTGCATGAACTTGTACAGGCTTTTCGGAATTAGCGGGACTCTTTGGATGTCAGTGGTGTACACTACGGCGTTGAGTCTAATTCAGATAGAGCTGCAGAGTCGTGTCACGGACGCCTCATGAAAACACCCAATCTTACTTCTGGGCCCAGGCTCTCTCGCCACCAACCGATGAGTTTCTTTATATGCCGATGACTTTCCCGGCCTGGACCTGTATTTACCAACGAGACCGCGCTCCCGAGAGTACGCCAAATCTCACAGGTCTTTAGGGGGGGTGCAAGCTATCCATTTCTCTGGATTGTTGTTTCTTGTGACTGGGGTCGCCACTACTCTATTTCCACATGAGCGACAGACTCGGGGAGAGGCATCAACGCCTGCCTGGTTCTTGCCGGCCTGACGGACATTTCCACGATACCTGGCAAGCACTCTGGAGTGCTCTCTCCGACGACCGAGTTCGAGGGGCGTCGTACCGGATTCTTCAAGCAGAAACCCAACCGTCTCCACACACCGTCCATACATCATCTTCTTTTTCGGGAAATCAGCACAACAATTTCAGGCATTTCATAACTGGAACCGAGATAGCGACTACGAACCATTCACAGTGCTCAAACTTCAACTTACATAACGGTATCTGCTTTGATCCCTCAATACGAACGAGACAATGAACGGCAATCATTTCCCTACCTTTGAGAACCGCACTGCCTGGCTGGCTGACGCCATGAGAATCCTCGACCAGGTCTTCCTTCATTCAGACCTAGGACGGGATTTCATTAAGCGCGTGGCGGTCTTACGTGACCGCGTCCAGTCTTGCGCCGCCCGGCATGACTCCGAGGTCGACAAAGAGATAGCGATACACCGAGACGCCATATACCTACAGCACGATGTCCACAGGGCCACCAACTATCACAACTTCATCCACCGGCTCGAGGAGGCCGACACCCTGAACCTCGTCGCGTGCTACCTGCCAGAGAGTTCGTGGGTCCAAGACATGCTCCGTAAGCCCGGCTTTATCGTTGATTGCTATCTCTGCCGTGAGTGGGCGACCGGCCACGACCAGGCCAGAGACTGCGGGTTCCCCACGATGCTTCCCGTCGTGTTCCTCCGACACTTTACGGACGAGCGCCGGGACTTTTGCCAGTGGCTCCAGAAGCTGGTGGCCGGCTTGGCCATGCTCCCACAGCCCCCGACGCCGATGGACGGCTATATCGCCCGCGTGGCCGAGTACAGCCGAGCGCACAGCCACGGCGAAAACGTCTGGACGTACGAACGCATCTTTGAAACCATGAAAGAGGCCAAGTTCCGAGCTGAGGGGCGCCAGATCAACTACCGGCAGTTCCTGTGGACGGGCTGGGGGGACACGCTCGGGAGGATCAGGCACGACTGGGCCACGGCCGCGACGCGCGTCCGCGGCTTCCTGGCACCCGACCGATCTGAAGAGCTCGTGAAGGCGATCCGAAACGACGCGGGGACGTACTACGTGCGGTCGCTCAGGCTCACCGGGGACCAGCAGTGCGTCGACCAGCAGCCCAGACAGTGGGTGCTCGAATGGCTGCGGCACTACCGCTCCGCGTCCAAGCCGCGGTTCAAGCGCTGGAGGAGGATCCTGACTATTGATCGCGTGTGGCCGCTGTTCTACGTCGTCAAGAGCCTCGACATGTTTGTCAAGATACGGTTCCGCGAGACCGGCCGCGGGTGCTGGGAGTACAGGTGGATCGGCAGGCTCGACACTCCCGGGTCGGAACTGTGGACGCTCGTCCGTTCCAACGTGTGGGACGAACAGGCCAGGCGCACGGCTGCCGAGTGGAGTGAGGAGCCGGAACGGGGGAGCGGACACGAGGGTGGGGAGAGCGAGGCGAGCCGCGGGCGTGTCAACGAGGGCCAGGATAACGACTCTTGAATACGACGCGAACGCGGATGTTCTACAAAGTCGACGACGAAGCAGATGTTGAGACCCCAATACTGGTGGGAAGGAAGCGAGTGTGCCAAGAGGGTTGAAAGCAGTCAGTAATACATAGGTACACGACCAAGTACCGATATATTCTTGTCTCGTCACGGAAGAATCAGGCCATGCTCTGAATAGTGTGCGTGTGTGTGTCTATGCCACTTCCTCATCACTTCATTACATGTTGCAGAAACTACCGAGTCGGCGCTTTGCATGGGCGGCAAGTCGCATTTTTTTGATGGTTCGGCCGGCCCAGACCATCATCCAAAGAAAGAGGGGAGGAAAAAATGATGTGAAAAAAAGAAGAAAAAAACACCCAATCTATCCCGTATGCTACAACCTACAACGGTCACAGTCTATACACACACACACACACACAGTGTCATCGGCCATTGTCCTACTCACGTCTCGCCAAAGACAAAAACGCCCTTGCCCTTGCGGAAGCCGCCGAGGGTACCCTGGACGGCGTCCTTGAGGACCTTGTCCTCCGTGTCCCAGTGCCAGGGCACCTCGTCGACGGGGACGTCGCGGAAGCGGCCCTCGCGGATCATGCCGAGAATGTCCTCGACGGCGAACTTGCGGCCGCGGGGGTCGCGCTCGTTCCACTTGCTCAGCCAGAAGCCGACGAAGCGCAGGTCCTTGAAGATGAGCAGGCCGGTGGGCAGCATGACGGGCTGGCGGGCCATGCCGCCGTACGAGACCATGGTGCCGCTCTCGCCGAGGCTCCTCGCGACGGCGGTGGCCGACTTGCCGCCGACGCAGTTGAGGCCGAGGCCGACGGGCTCGCGGCCGGCGCGGGTGAGCTCCATGAGGCGGTCGCGCCACTCGCGGGCGAGGAACTCCTTCTCGGTGACGACGACGGTGGCGCCGAGGTCCTCGAGCTCGTCCTTGAGTCGGGCCGTCTCGGCTTCGGTGTCGCGCTCGCGCACGACGTTGATGCTCCGCAGGCCCCAGAGCTTGCCGAGCTGGATGGCGGCGCGGCCGACGCCGCTGTTGGCGCCGTTCTGGATGAACCAGGCGCCGCTGCCGGGGTCGAGGGCGCGCATGACGCCGGGGTTGGAGTCGCCGGCGCGGATCTCGCCGGGCCCGTAGGTGCGCAGGATGCGGTAGGCGGTGCAGGGGTTCACGCTGACGGTGGCGACCTGGGTCGGGGTCAGGCCGTCCTTGGAGACCTTCATGACGTCCTTGGCGTCGGCGACGGCGTGGGTGCGCCAGGTGCCGAAGGAGCTCGCCGAGGGTATGACCCAGTCGCCTTTCTGGAGGCCGAGGTCGCGGGAGCCGACGGAGACGACCTCGAAGACGCCCTCGTTGCCGGGGATGGCGGCGGGCTCGGGGGTGCCGATGAGCTGGGTGAAGGGCGGCTTGGCGCCGTAGGTGCCCTGGATCGTGTTGATGTCGGCCGGGTTGATCGAGGCGGCGAGGGCGCGCAGCAGGACGGCGGAGGAGGGGATGGAGGGGGAGATGGAGTGGGTGTGCAGCCTGGCGGGGTGGGAGCGCGTTGGTCAGTCGGTCACTTGTCGGGTTCGGGGGGAGCGTGAGAGGACTCCGACGACGTACTGCAGGACGTCGCTGGGCTCGCCTTCCTTGGAGAAGACGAGGGCCTTGGCCTGGGTGTAGCCGTACGGGCCGGACTTGTGTCGTCGGGCGACCCGCGGGAGGAGGTGTTGGTGCTGCTGCGTATATCTGCCGGTGGCCGGCCGCAGCGCGGAGGCCAGAGGCCGAAGGGTCGTCGTTGTGCGCAGACTCGACGCCATTTGTGTCCGTCTAGGTGGATTTCGGTGCCTCGGATTGGTGACAATTGACCCAAGATGAAGTGTCGAGGGTATATTGTTGGAGGGGGGGGGAGAAAAGCAGGTAGGAGGTGAGAAGCTTCTCGTACAGATGTAAAGTACGGACTAAGGTGAAGTAAAATGCATACCTAAAGGTACCTACCTACTACGTACCTACCTAGCTCGGCAAAAGCTCACAATGACGTTACCCGCCATACGACGCCGACCAATCATGGGGCTAGCGCGGCCCCTCCCCCCCTCTCCCCTTGGAGGGGGTCCCGCTGTCTGTCTCTGCGATACACCACCACTACACCACCACACCACACTTACCGCGGCTGGCAGCTCCCATGTCCGGGAGAGGCACGGCAGCCCAAGGACAGGACGGATCAACGGCTGGATCGGATGACATGTTGCCGTTGCCCGCTCGCTCGCCATGACACGCGCAGAAAAAGCCGTTGATGTTGCGCGCGGATGGGCTGCAAAAGTTGATATACGGCTGCAGGGTGCGTGGCTTTGACTGACTGACAGGTTCTGGCATCCCCTCTCACCCTACTACCTAGACCAATTAATTGTATACTACGGAGTACTAGGTGACTAACTACTACGGTAAGGTACCTACCTGCCTGGGTATGTAAACTAATGCACCCGCTATTCTCCAGCAGAACCAGCAGGATGCTGCCTGGCGTTTCCGCACTACTGCATTACATCTGCAAGCCTCTCACCACATACAGCATGTGTCTGTCTGTCTGTCTGTCACCCTTCCCCTCCCCCCCCAAGAGGCCAAAGCGCAAAAGAAGAAGAGATAAAAAAAAAGGTCGGATGCAGCGGGGTTCGCTGCTTGTGTCCATTTACTGTCTTTTGAAAGTCGTTGTGGCGGTATGAGATGGGGTTTCCTCCCACCCCACAGCTGGACGGATGCATGTTGGTGATTTCATCAGCCCATTTCTTCTCATCTCTCGTGCTCTCATCACGTTGCTTGACGGACCAATTGCTGCTTGCAAGGGCGACGTCGATTTAAACTCATCGTAAGCCGTCAAAACCTAGACTCTATTGCGGGCCGCATTGGTCAAAAAAAAAAAAAAAAAAGGCACCAGCAGCGTCAGGACATACATGCTTGACCGCTCGCCTCCTACTGATCGTGACCTCTTCTGCCCTTTCGCCTTCTGGTATCGTTACTGGCCTCATGCCATCTTGGGATCGGCGTCCGTTCCCAACTTCTCGGCCTTTCTTTTCTCTTTCCAGCCTTCGTCAAACCCTCGACACATAAAACATGTACAGGAAAAGGTAAGCCGTACGGTAGGAGAGGATACAACCAGCAAGCCGTAGAATACTGCAATTATCGTCCCATGATGCCTTTGTATTCCAGACAGCGCAACGAGATGAAGTGAAGAGGGGAGAGAAAAAAAACAGCAAGGTAATAGAAAAAAGAAGACGAAAAAAAAAGGAAAGAGAAACCGTAACAAAGAAAGTGTAAACATCGTATGTCAGAATGAGCCCGCGGTGCGAGCTGGGTATCTTGCATAACTTCTTCCAATCTTGCCTCCGCTCTTCACCACTCTACCGCGCCTTTTCCCACCACCAACACCACCACCTCTCTCTTATCCCCAGCTCTGGCTCAAAAAAGAAGTTCAACTGAAGGAGTACGCTAGGAAATCGTGTGGGTGCATCCGCTCGGATTCGGTTGTTCGCTCGTCGGCGCGTGCCGGTTCGATTTTCGTGTCCGACAAGGTAGCCGGCTCCCGACTCTAAAAACCGGCAAGTCTGTAAATATTGTTCCATGACTCGTTGCGGGGTTTCGCCCCCCCTGCCACCACCACCCCACGGGGGTAGGTGGTTACTTGATGTTCTTGAACAGGTCATCTCCGAGACTGCCGCCGTCCGTCAGGTCCAGCTTGGCCTGGAGCGCGCTGAGCTCGGGGATCATGGGCGGCGGCGGCCCCTGGACGACCGGAGGAGACTGCAGCTTGCTCGGCGTATGGCTGCTGCTGGTCTCGCTGATGTTGGGGTGCTCGTAGACGGTGCTGGATCGCCTCTGAGGCGGTGAGGGTTCCGAGGACCTCAGTCTCTTGAACCAGCCGCTGGTGCGCTTCGTCTTCTTATCGTCGGCGATGCTGCCTGCGTTGCGGCTCATGGGACGGGATGGGGGTCCGCCGCCGTTGGCGTTCGCGTGGCTGTCGCCTTCTGCATATGCTTGGTTCAGTAAAGTCCGGCTGAAGAGACGACGGATGCTGCCTTGTCTGCTCGACAATGTTGGAGAGAGCGGCATGTCTTCCGAGAATCCTTTCGTACCGTTGGTGGTGGCGGGCGAGCCCGGCACGGCGGCCGCGTGGCCATTCGTCTTGTCATTGTCCTTTGCCTTGACGGCCGAGTCGGACTCCTTGGTTTCGCTCACGCGCGGGGTCTGCGGAGGCGTGGGGACCTCCTGGACGGGGCTGGGGAGCGGAGGGGGGATGTCGGTTCCGTCGGTCAACGAGCCGAACTTGAAGTCGAGCTTGGGAAGCTCGAATCGCTTCGATGCGCCAGTGGTGGAAGGCATGGCGTGTTGCGGAACGGGCAGGCGTGTGTCATCAATTGACTTTGCGGTGTAAAGGCGAGGTTGGGCCGGGATGGGACTTTTTTTGAAAGACGAGGTTTGCAGATGCAGGAACTCGGTTGCGGATACGGCCCAGTCAGAACAGACGGACGCGTGACAAGGCGGTGCGGTTCGCCCCGTGGTGTGTGTGTTGTTGTTGGATGGATGGAGACCAGGGTGGTAGAAACAGGCCCAGTCAGTGTGTGTGCGAGTGCAGGTTTGCCGTCTGGGACAAGCAAGGCGGGCCGAGTGTGTGATGCAAGCGTCTCCAAGGCTGGAGACTGGAGGCGAATGATGCAAAATATAGCAGCACACTAGAGTGTAGGCATGCAGAAGGTCCCGCTGATCAGATGGAGCCGGGACGAGCAATGGATACGGACGGCTCCCTCGATGACTGTCGACTGTCGGAGTGTCGATATTGATGAAGTGGACTGCAGGGTTCGGCTCTGGAGCGAGATTGGGTACTTCTGCTGGCGGTGGGAAAGGCCGGACAGGCGAGCGACGCGGCGTATCAGGGACTCGGGGAACTAACTGCAGGGTAGTGCAGCAGGTTTGAGCGACGTATTGCCGGCGTGCTGGGATTCGTACGGGGTGTGGCGGTACGAGAAGGGCGATGGTATCGTGCCACGGGGGTGATTTGATCGACTTGAACGCGTAGCCATAGGCAGACAGGATAGACGTCAGGACGAAGGCGTTGAGAGTCTCAATGGCCCAAAAGCAGAGCTGAGGGGTCGATTCGGGTCACTGGGGGGACCTTCTTTTGAGTCTGCGGGAAAGACGACGAGGACGAGTTGACAAGAATCGGAGAAGAAGAGTCCTAGAGGCGAGGAAAGGAAGACCCTTGAGGGAGGGGGGGGGGGGGGCAGCGGAGTAGAAGAATGGAACGGGCAGCCAGTCAGCAAGGCGAGGCACAGGCACCGGGGCCAAATGGGAACGAGACGGACGGTACGATACGGACACAAGAACGCTATCCGGGTTGTCAATCCAGTCCTGGACGGGTTGGGCTTGTTTGGTTTGATGCTCGAGCGAGTGTGTTTCCGGTGGTTAGAGGGACAAGCTTTCGTGTGGGCAATGGCTGTTGTTGGGCAGGATTGGTTCCTGACATGGCCGGACGCTGCAGGGATCCGGCACTCTGCGTGTTTGGCGGTGCTACGCAGTAAACTACTGGTAGAAGTCCCAGGCGGTTCGCCGACAGGGGGGGTTGGCCTTTGTACTGTGTACTCTGGTGGGTAGCGGTACTTACGATTAGGTAGGTGGGTATTGATGCTTCTCCATGTCCCTTGTACCTGCATGGCTGGTCCTGGCGAATTGTTCCTTTACTTTTCTCTCTCTCTCTCTCTCTCTCTCTCTCTTCTTTTTCTCTTCTTTTTCTCTCTACTTTTTTTCTTCTATTTTTATTTGTATTTTCTTCTCCTTCGGTCTCTCTATTACACAGTTGTCTGTCTGTGTGTGTGTGTTTCCCCCTCTTCTTTCTTTTTCCTTCATTCGTTTTCTATCCGATCTTCTTCTGCCAAACTCTGCGGAAAGAATAGGACGATATGACGTGCATTCATCAGCCACTTGCCATTTATTTTACTCTGCCCAGGATCTGCTTGCTATAAATGTTCAATGCTACATTCCCCCCCCCCCCCCCCCCATCGACGGGATGGCATTGCGAGAGATGGACGGAATATGGAAGATGGAAGATGGAAGATGCCGTTCCAGGCTGGGATTTCCCTGTCACTATCGGCGTTGGGGCTACTACCTACTACGTATGATAATGACACTCACTTGCTCCAGACGCGAGAGACGCGAGAGAAAGGTCGCGGCAGGCAAAGGCAATAAAAGGGTCGTGCCAACGACAATGATCAAGACAAGTATGACTGACGCCTGTGAGCTCAAGTCATTCGTTCACTTCACTGGCTGCATTGTCATGGTGGATTTGATTGATGTATGTACCCCGTACTTTTGCTCCGGACGGATACATACGTAGTAATGTACGGATACTTACGGATATACTCCGTACCACCCGCCTTTATATCGCTCCTTCCTTTGCCTGCCTCTTACCTGGTCCAAAAGATACAAGGTACCTTGGTCCCTTACAGATACACTACAGAGTACCTAACCCACCTAGGTAGGTAGGTACACCTAGGCAGTGGATGCACTTCGTACCTTCCTCCCAAGCTGCTTAACCGTCTCCCGCGCAATAGGGGATGCTTACATAATTGCACATCTCCCTCAAACGCAATCTGAGCAACTTGGAATTATCAAACGTCCCAAACGTTGCTGTTTACACCAAGATGCGCCAAAACCACGCCTGCAGGAAAATTGTCCGTGGATCTGCACTAGCACAACTCTTTCACAACGCCCCAGTTGTGCACCGACCGAGAGATGACAACCCGCCCGCGTGGTGTGGTGCGTGCATAACGGCGCGTCGCAGCAGCGAGCTTGCTTCGTTTGCTTTCTGCCATGCATATCCCACGAAATTACCTCCAGAGCAAGGTACCATCCGGTGGCCGCCTCGACATGATAGCATTGCTATATCTCGTCGGCATTCCTTGGATCCATCCATCAGGCGAGCCAATCCATTTCACACACATGTATCCGTACCCTCCTTACTGATGGCTCGGAAGGCCCAAGTGCCCGGCAAATAGGAAGCCTTGCTTGCACCTTTTCTCTCATTCCGTCATTGGGATCGCCGCCCGCCATCATGTTTCGGGACTCTTCCTGGACATGATATGTGCCCGTCGCAGCCAGCCATTCCAGCATTCTCGCGACGACGCCAAAAGACAAGCGACCCTCGACGACCTGTTGCGTCGAGCCGTCTTATCAATAATCCCGTTTCAGTAATCATAGCCAACCAGGGGGGGGGGGTCCTCTGCCGCAGACCGGGGCAGGAGAGGCAGACTGCATTGGCAACCCGCCGTGTTTCCTACAAACGTCAAACAGTCCCCTTCCCGTCCGAATTCACGCATAGTCGCCCCGCGAGGCAGGCCTCCTCCTGCGGCAGCGACAATGTCCGCCCATCCTCTAGACATTGCCAGCAGCAATGCCATTCTTTCACGGCACGACACCGCCAAACATCGACCATCTTGTTTGCTTGTCGTCCAAGCACGAGTCAACGACGCCATATGTATGCCCAGGCTCTGCTCATCTTGATTAAAACACCGCCCTGTCACCCTCTCGGTCAAGCGAGAAACATTGAATTCCTAAACTGGCAAGCGGCCCCATCTTGGATCCCCTCGCTTGCAGGCCGCTAGCCACAATCCCCACGACCAACGATTCCCCGACGTAAGGATCCTTGATCCTTGTGTGTGGTGATTCCCAGATCCTTGCCAGCACAGAACGAAGCCAGGTAATCCCCATTTCGCGGCAGCTTTTCCTCTTTTTAGTCCTCCTCCCCCCTATCATCTCTTCACCAACGTCCCGTCTTCCCAACCCCGCTCTGCTCTGCTCTGTTCTGCTCTGTTCTGCCCTGGCACGACGGGGCAACGTATCAATACTTCCTCGAGGATGATGCAGCTAACCAGTAATATCCTACGCCATCCTATCCGTCATGGCCCATCATCCTGCCAATCCAAAGGTACATACCGTTTCATGCAGCCCAAACCACGCGGCGAGAGGGGACCTTGTCCCGGCTCCTCGGATTCTCAAGCAAGCAAGGGGCATTGAAACATTTAATGGAAATGAATTTCTCTTTGCCGACCTGCAGGTCACTTTTTTTCTTTTTCTTTTTCTTCCTCCTTTATTTTCCGCGGCTGTCTCCGAGGAGAAAAGAAGATGAAAAACGGGCCGTGTGTCCATCGTGTGCTTCCCCGCCGACTTTTTCGCCGTGCTAAGAAGACCTTTTTTTTGCTATTGCAACACAATATCCGACTGTTATGATTTCCAGATCTCGTCATCAGCATTGTTGCATTCCTCTCCACCGCACTTGAGACGTCAAAGCGGCTGCGCCGAATTGAGGCCCCGGAGCTCTGTTGCACGCCGATATGATATACAATGTACTATATCGGCGACCGGAAGCAACACAGGCATGGCCCATCGTCAATACCCCTGATCGTAGCATTGCTCGCATGCCGTGGTCCCATGGTACCATCCATAGTTTGCGACATCACCTGGCATTACTACGGTTCACCTCTAGAAGCCCCCCTTCCTTATTTCCTTCTTTCCTCCCTTCCTCAACACGCGTCCAAGAGCATGATGACTCGCTCGGATTTGGGGAGCTGCCGTGATTGAGGTTGCACATGACTGGAGCAGCGTCGTCGTCTATGTCACCGGTGGGAGATCGGAGAGAGTGTGGAGTCGGCCTGATATCTCTGCGAGAAACTCCGCTAGGCCCGGGTCTCGGACTAGTCATCACGCACTGATTTGCGAAATCGGCTCGCACTGGCCTCGGCGGGCCGCGGCGCCGCCATCGGACGACGACACATGGCCAGGTTACTTTGGTACCCACGAACAGAGGCGGCTTTGGGGGAGATGAGTGGCGGCGTCGGAGACGCCTCGTCCTCGTTTGAAGGGAGGAGGAGGGGGGGGTCCGTCCGTTCGTCCCGAACGTATTTGTCGCCCACTACGCAGACAAGGACGAAGAATGAAAACGGCACACACACACACACGGCGAGTGCTGCTGATGATGATGCCAGGCACGAGCTGTGCCTGACACAGAAAGACAGAGAACCCGCCGCAGCTTGCCGATGCGACGAATGTCCTCCGAGGATTCCAAGGAAAAGAAGAAGGGAGGCGGGCTACTCGCCGCGTACTTCTGTATGGGCGGAAAGAAATTGAAAAAAAATCGTCTCTTCACAAGGCCCTAAAAGAGAGAGAAAAAAGAGATGGAACGCGTCGGGAGTATTCCACCCTCAACCCACCCGTCCGAAAATAGACATCAAAAGACATGAGACGCAGCTCCTCGTGGTTCCCGCTATGTAGATAAAAAATAAAAAAAACGCTTGGTACTCAAACACACTGAATAGTCTCACAGGTGCCAGTTTTATACACAGGTGGTACAGATACCCCCCCCCCCCCCCCCCCCCCAAACAAGGGACCCATCGTAACGCTCCCGAATCACCTCCCGCTTCGCCAGCTGCCGCGTGTGCTCCCGCTCGCGTTCGTTACCGCCCCTCTCCCGCCCCGGGTCCTCCCGAGGTTCGAGGCCCGAGTCCACGCGGCCGCCGTATCGCCCGCCGACTTCTTCAGCCTGTTGCCGAGGCTGATCCTCGCCGCGCTCATCACCGCGCCGCCGCCGCCACCGCCCTGCATCCGGCTCGGGATCCCCGAGGCGCTCCGCACGCTCTCCCAGTCCCCCCTCTCGTCGTCTCCGTCGTCGTCGACGACGTCGTCGGGCTCCTCGATCGCCGGCGGCGGTAGCACGAACCCCCCCCTGCCCATGACGCCCCCCACCATGCCGGTGGGCCTCCGTACTTGAAGTATGCCATGATCAACGTTCCAAAAGGGTCTGAGCCCTTAATGTCACCGGAATCCCGAGAAAAGCGCAGACACCGAGGACGTGCGAGCACTCTGAATCGCGAGAGTTATAGAACGAAACGGCAGGTCGGGGCCGACAGGGTACACCGCGAGTGACTAGTAAAATCCTCGCATGTCTTCGGCCCGTGAACGTCGGTTGCCTGACGATAAACAGCTGTACAAAACGTGGTGACTTCCTTTTCTCTCGAGTAAGCAGTATCCGAACTCGACTCCCGGTGTCAGTTCTGGGCAAAAGTTAGGTCTGGTGCC